TAGGATAGGTTTGTGGGCCATCATTGGTTTGTTAACAATTTGCCATCAAACAAAAAATCTTTGAAATTTCATCAGGGCTCTGTTTTCTAGTGGGGCCTTGCTCTGTCCCAGTGACCTTCAAAGTTCCCATGTTATTCTCAGGGAGAAAATGTTAGTTTACATTTTAATATATGAAGTTTAAAATGTACACTAATAATTGAACAAGTGTTATACTAAAATTGAAATTAATGGATGCATGACTATCCTGTAAGGATTTACTATAGTCCAGTCCTATTAGAATTTGAGTAGGGAAATGAAGATAAAAAATTGAAACCTTTTGGAAATAATTAATTAAAGTCTCCTGAACCCACAAACAATTTTCTGGGACTTTCTTCAAAGTCCCAAAAAATCCCATGGGGACTTTTCCACCATTTTGAAAAGTAAGTCGGCCATGTTGGATATGCATGCGTGTACGGATTTGGGTGTTACTAGTTGTATTAATTTAGTCAAAGCACGACAAATATTTAATGTGCCGCATTAAAATAAAAAATAAATAGGTATAAACACAGGTCCGTGAAGTTGGCGTACCCATATTAGCGTATCCACTTTTGATCATACCAATCGTTAGTTCATCGTTAGTTCTCGATAGTTCCCAAATATTTTCGTTAGTTCTCAAAAAATAAAAAGGTTATAGCCGATTATAAGTGGGTACGCTAACTTCACACTTCCGGGTTCTAGCACGCGCCGTTTTCTGAGGAGAAATGTTTACATCTATATACCAATCGTTAGTTCTTCGTTAGTCCTCGATAGTTCCCAAATTTTTTCGTTAGTTCTCAAAAAATAAAAAAGTTATGAGGCATACAAAGTGGGTACGCTAACTTCACAATTGTACAATTTCCAGCGGGAACAGTTTTTTTACTATAAATGCCTATATCTATATACCAATCGTTAGTTCTTCGTTAGTTCTCGATAGTTCTCCAATATTTACGTTAGTTCTCAAAAAATAAAAAAGTTAAGAGGCATACAAAGTGGGTACGCCAACTTCACAATTATGGAATTTCCAGCGGGCACAGTTTTTTTACTATAAATACCTATATCTATATACCAATCGTTAGTTCTTCGTTAGTTCTCGATAGTTCTCTAATATTTACGTTAGTTCTCAAAAAATAAAAAAGTTAAGAGGCATACAAAGTGGGTACGCTAACTTCACAATTGTACAATTTCCAGCGGGAACAGTTTTTTTACTATAAATGCCTATATCTATATACCAATCGTTAGTTCTTCGTTAGTTCTCGATAGTTCTCCAAAATTAACGTTAGTTCTCAAAAAATAAAAAAGTTACGAAGCATAAAAAGTGGGTACGCCAACTTCACAGTTATAGAATTTCCAGCGGGCACAGTTTTTTTACTATAAATGCCTATATCTATATACCAATCGTTAGTTCTTCGTTAGTTCTCGATAGTTCTCCAATATTTACGTTAGTTCTCAAAAAATAAAAAAGTTAAGAGGCATACAAAGTGGGTACGCACACTTCACAATTATAGAATTTCCAGCGGGCACAGTTTCTTTACTATAAATACCTATATCTATATACCAATCGTTAGTTCTTCGTTAGTCCTCGATAGTTCCCAAATTTTTTCGTTAGTTCTCAAAAAATAAAAAAGTTATGAGGCATACAAAGTGGGTACGCTAACTTCACAATTGTACAATTTCCAGCGGGAACAGTTTTTTTTACTATAAATGCCTATATCTATATACCAATCGTTAGTTCTCGATAGTTCTCCAATATTTACGTTAGTTCTCAAAAAATAAAAAAGTTACGAAGCATAAAAAGTGGGTACGCCAACTTCACAATTATAGAATTTCCACCGGGCACAGTTTTCTAAATAAAAATGCTTATATTTATATACCAATCGTTAGTTCTTCGTTAGTTCTCGATAGTTCTCCAATATTTGCGTTAGTTCTCAAAAAATGAAAAAGTTACGAAGCATAAAAATTGGGTACGCCAACTTCACAATTATAGAATTTCCAGCGGGCACAGTTTTTTTTTAAAATAAAAATGCTTACATCTATATACCAATCGTTAGTTCTTTGTTAGTTCTCGATATTTCTCCAATATTTACGTTAGTTCTAAAAAAAAAAAAATAAAAAAGTTACGAGGCATACAAAGTGAGTACGCTGACTTCAAAATTATAAAATTTCCAGCGGGCACCGTTTTCCGACTAAAAACGCTTAAATCTATATACCAATTTTTAGTTCCATGCATTGTAATTTGATTCATCTTCACACAATGAAAATCAAAGTAACACTGACATTAGAATAACTATCACATTATGATTCTCTCGAAGAGAAAGGATTGCTTATCAGTTCCAGGATAGCGCTTATCTGTGATATTCGCAATAGTAGTTGCAGGTGTCACTCGGTTAGATTATTTTTTAGGGGTGATAATTTTGATTACGTTATCAAAATGATTAACAGTTGAATATGTTCAGTTAATTAGAACATCCAAAAAAGACAACGCTTCCAAAAATTGGTTTTAGATAAGCAATGAAATCATATTTATACCTACTTAGTTGTGTGAAAAAGTGCATTTTATAAAAAGTCCATCATGGAAACAAAATAAACTATCCATCAAAATGAAAACCAGAGTCTGCTAAGTAAAATGGTATAAAGTAATTTATAAGCAGTGATTATTTGAATTGGATTAAGCAGATAAAATATGTACGATCAAAGAACTTCTGTTTGGTTAATTAAACTAATCGTTTGTATTGTTTGTATTTGTTTGTGTTCGGTATTAGTATTATAAAATTACATCATTAAACGTAACACGTTACGAGTGACAGTTGCACGGATCGAGACTGGAAGGTCATACGGACTTGAACAAACTGGAGACTGGAGTAGTGGATGGAATAAATGTGTACAACACATTACTAGCATGGCGTATTGGGTATGGCGGGGTCGAGACAATATTTATTTAGTTGTATAGTAGTATACTGTAAGCATTTTTCGTTGAATGAAGGTGCGCGCTGGAAATCAGAAGCATTAAATAAGTTAATCTATTGATTTTTGGCTATACGTATATTTATTTAATTTTTTTAGAAATAACAAAATAAATGAGTGAGCCCATCTTACGATTAATATTAAGATATAGGCACTTTTAGTCAGACAAGGGTGCACGCTAGGAATGATTTGGGTTGGAGGTTGGCATAACCACGTTTAAGACCTTATTGCCTTTTTATTTTTTAAGAACTAGTAATAATATTGGGGAACTAACACGACATAACGAAGAACTAAAGATTGGTAAATAGATATAAGCGTTTTTAGTCAGAAAACGGTGCCCGCAGGAAATTTTATAAATTTGAAGTCAGCGTACTCACTTTGTACGCCTCGTAACTTTTTTATTTTTTTGAGAACTAACGTAAATATTACAGAACTATCGAGAACTAACGAAGAACTAACGATTGGTATATAGATATAGGTATTTATAGTAAAAAAACTGTGCCCGCTGGAAATTCTATAATTGTGAAGTTAGCGTACCCACTTTGTATGCCTCTTAACTTTTTTATTTTTTGAGAACTAACGTTAATATTGGAGAACTATCGAGAACTAACGAAGAACTAACGATTGGTATATAGATATAGGTATTTATAGTAAAAAAACTGTGCCCGCTGGAAATTCTATAATTGTGAAGTTGGCGTACCCACTTTGTATGCCTCTTAACTTTTTTATTTTTTGAGAACTAACGTAAATATTGGAGAACTATCGAGAACTAACGAAGAACTAACGATTGGTATATAGATATAGTCATTTATAGTAAAAAAAACTGTGCCCGCTGGAAATTCTATAACTGTGAAGTTGGCGTACCCACTTTTTATGCTTCGTAACTTTTTTATTTTTTGAGAACTAACGTTAATTTTGGAGAACTATCGAGAACTAACGAAGAACTAACGATTGGTATATAGATATAGGCATTTATAGTAAAAAAACTGTTCCCGCTGGAAATTGTACAATTGTGAAGTTAGCGTACCCACTTTGTATGCCTCTTCACTTTTTTATTTTTTGAGAACTAACGTTAATATTGGAGAACTATCGAGAACTAACGAAGAACTAACGAATGGTATATAGATATAGGTATTTATAGTAAAAAAACTGTGCCCGCTGGAAATTCTATAATTGTGAAGTTGGCGTACCCACTTTGTATGCCTCTTAACTTTTTTATTTTTTGAGAACTAACGTAAATATTGGAGAACTATCGAGAACTAACGAAGAACTAACGATTGGTATATAGATATAGTCATTTATAGTAAAAAAAACTGTGCCCGCTGGAAATTCTATAACTGTGAAGTTGGCGTACCCACTTTTTATGCTTCGTAACTTTTTTATTTTTTGAGAACTAACGTTAATTTTGGAGAACTATCGAGAACTAACGAAGAACTAACGATTGGTATATAGATATAGACATTTATAGTAAAAAAACTGTTCCCGCTGGAAATTGTACAATTGTGAAGTTAGCGTACCCACTTTGTATGCCTCATAACTTTTTTATTTTTTGAGAACTAACGAAAAAATTTGGGAACTATCGAGGACTAACGAAGAACTAACGATTGGTATATAGATGTAAACATTTCTCCTCAGAAAACGGCGCGTGCTAGAACCCGGAAGTGTGAAGTTAGCGTACCCACTTATAATCGGCTATAACTTTTTTATTTTTTGAGAACTAACGAAAAAATTTGGGAACTATCGAGAACTAACGATGAACTAACGATTGGTATGATCAAAAGTGGATACGCTAATATGGGTACGCCAACTTCACGGACCTTATAAACACACCAAAAACCAAACTAAACTTGATGATATCAATGATCCACATGAGTCTGATGTAGGTGTAATTAATGTCTCTTTGATTAATTAGTTTATATTCTAAGTTTCATTCAGTAAATGACAGTAAGATCAGAGCAATGAAAACCACTATTCGATGAAAAATGTCCCAACTTGTTGATTTATCTATTAATTATATTCAGCAATGGTTGTGCGTCTGACATCCAATGAAGCCACTGGTGGAGGTGAGGCAAGAAGCAGCAACGGAAGTGTTACAAAACCGAAGTGAAAGTTGTTGAAGTGATAGCTACGTGCTAAATTAATGAACCTGACTGTAAACAAATTAATGATAAAAATATGCCACACGTGTGGGAAACCTGTGTTGTACAAATCTGATGTTTTCACGGTTATGATGTGAACGTTTGAGAAGCATTGCAAGAGTTCGAGCTTTATTTTAAACACTTCAGATCCCAAGGCTCAGTTGTTAAACTTTGATGTCTGATTGTTGCCAAAACATTACTTTTTACTTATTTATGTTAGAACGTTTTAAAATTTGTGTGTTCAGCGTTCAAGGTACTGTATATCGATCAGAGAGCCTTGTTGATTCCTTTGACTGCAATACAATACACTTTTGAAATCGGGTTGTTGGAACAATTTTCATCCACGTTGAAGACAGTTCCATATTTAATTTTAAAACACTCGAATTTTATATTTAAAAAATGTGCGTTCAAATTCAAACCGTCGCAAAATCTCTCCACAAATATAAACGGACTGCGGCATCGCGTTGATTTGGACGTTGGTGGAGTGATGTGACCATGTCGTCGGTGGACTTTGACGACGTCTTGGTCCAGATTGGAGAGAGAGGCAGGTATCAACATGTGATGTATTATCTGCTATGTATCCCAGCGACTTTGCCTGCTGCCTTCCTAGCCTTCAGTCAGGTGTTCGTGTCTGCAACGCCGGACCACTGGTGTCGTATCCCGTCCCTCGAACACTTCATCTTTGGTAAGTACCTGAACAACTTCAATTAATGTAAATCTGAGTGGTTGTAACGCTAAAAGTAATTAAAAAGTTGCCGGTTCGATCAGGGCCCCCTTAACCTTAAAAGGTGTTTTTTAACATGCGTTTTTCTACAATTAAAACAACCTAAAAACGCGAGTTTACAGGCCTAATTTTCAATAGTTTACCCCCCAGACCCACCGGTGTGACCCCCCCCCACCCTCCTTAGTTAGGCCTATGGGTTTGATTAAAGGAAAGTCGAACATTTTTTGACAGTTCGAAACTGGGCCCAGCTGACCTAGATTGGGCTTTGCATGTCCCCTGACTGCTGTACTTATAACTCTATCTCGCTCCTTTTGATCTACACTAATCCTTATCTTATATTTAGGTTATACGCATCCTTATGTTCCCGTCTCAATGTGATCATAGTGCTCATCTAACAATCAAAAGGTCGCCGGATCAATTCTGATAAAAGTATGAAGTTTTTTGACGGTTCGAAAATGAACCCAGCTGTCCCTGATCCCTGGACTTTAAAATATGATCCTGGCTAATGAAACAGCTGATAAGTCGGTAACAAAGTTACACGGACCCTCACTCCATTCTTCTACATTCATACTTCAGTCATATTTGGGTTAAATTATGCACCTAGGTGGCGTCCCCATTTCATTGATGACAATAATATTAACTTTGATATTAATAATAATGATAGGTTTTGCAGCCTGTAAAGTACTTACATTCTTTAAAAAGTAAAACGATATTCTAGCAATTTTTATTATTAGAAGTTTATTTTTAACCAAGCTTTAATAACACTGACAGTTAAAGTAGTTTAATCATATCGGTTTTCATAAATCTGATTCTTAGTAACTGTTTGGTTATGCGTACGTAGTTTGTTTACTCTGACACGAGGCCAATCAGCTGTATACACGGACAATCAGCTGTTGGATGTAAAGAACAGCTGATGTTTGATTAATTGTTCTTTTCTCTTGTACATTTTCCCGTGTGATGCTGCCACCACCTCTCATAGAAAATCTAACTCTCACTTTAAAATAACAAATTTTTACTTAATCATACAAATAAAATAGTCTTTTAGCTAACGAAACTACAACAGTTTGTTATGAACTTTGAAAAAATATAATATTTCATGGTTTATATCAAATATACGATAAGTAGGAAGCCTACTTCAAACTGCGGCCAGGTTAGTCCCAAAATTGTGTAATTTTTAATACTAACGGAATTCGATTATCTAAAAATATATCCAATACTCCAAGTAAAGTATTGGATTTTAAGACACCCTTCCATTTTGTATGTCTAGAAGTGTTAAACAGTTAATTCTTAGTCTAACTTGTGGCATTGAATCGTGCTGCTATGAGTTCATATGGCTTCGCAGATTAAATCTAAATAATGAACAAACCTTTTCAAAATTAATGTAAATTAAATTTAGCTCGTTTTTAAACTTACTGAAATTGTTAAGATAACTTTGTTTTATTGCTTATTTTTTTCATCTATGTTTAATTTTGTCATAATGTAGGAAAATAAAAACTTGTATGATTGATAAGGGTGTTTTTTACGGTTGCTAGAGCGATTTATGTACAGGGCACAACAGGGCTCACAAAGAGGTTTACAGATTTGCTATTCTATCATTTGGCCGTTTATGCTCCTTGAAGTTAAGTTACGTTTGTATGACTCAAACAATATTTTTCAATGAAACTTCGATTCAACATCAAGTCCCAAAAATGGACCGCAGCAATCAAATCAGGCAATGTCTCAATTTGTTGTTTTGTAATTAAAATAAGTTGGTATGAATTTCAATATGCCACCATTTCAATTCTACACCAATTAGAACGCTGACATTTTCACAAAATATTTTTAAACATTTTCTAAAGTTTCTGAGATTTTGGTACATAAACGGTCTAGTGATATAAAACCGAACCCCTTCGTGGGACACCCTGTATGCACACATTTTCTTTATGGTACACAAAGTCTCAATTTATCTCCAGGGCTATCGCATTGCAGTGTTGCGGCGGGTTTTGGTTTAGTTCATAGAGCGATAGTTATGTTTTACTGCCTAACAAACCATCTGTTAAGTTGCCTGCTGTTTACAATAACAAGAGCGATGAGAATATCTTCGGATTTAGCGTAAGTCATCTCTATTCTGGGCCAGATCTCTACCCGTGCGTGCGTTTGGTCAAGTCTCGTCTTTGAAACTGGTAACTTTGGAATTACAACCGTACACAGAGTAATGTAATAAATTAAATAGGCTACACAAATTTAAAACCATAACGTTTTGTACAATGAAACAGGTAAAAAAGTTAGTTTTCGTTATTAGTCCCTAAAGTAAAGTAGGCGTTTTTAGGACGAGTTACGAACAATATTTTTCATTACATTGTCTTATATTACAGCAGAAAATACAAAATACAGTAACACTGATTGAATTAGGTTATGTAAGAAACAATCAAAGTTTGTTTATGTCTTGTTGAAGCATTTTAAAGGATCAGAACAGCTGATTTGTTTTTTAGATAAGCTTTGACATAACCATATGATTCGAGTCCGTAAAATTTTACGGACTAGTCCGCAAAAAGCTATCTTTAGGGACTCAAAACGACCCGTAAGACAGCTGTTTTTGAGACAGTGTAGGCCCCTAATGAAAAATTAGTTTTATGACAGTAACTTGTAATGGCTGTATATTTTTGTGGCTTAAACCATTGTTTTTCTTTTTGATAATTATTTATCCACCGGTTCGTGATCATTTTAGGCTCGCAATAAAAGGGCCTGGCTCAACCAGTTGTCTTTTGGTAAGGAAGAACACATGTCCTGATAAAGCTAGGTAAACATTAGCATTATAAGCTGTGTTCTCATCAATTATACGACTTCAGAATTCAAAGGAGTCTAATAAATCGTATTTCATTATTATTTTACTCTGTAAGTACAACAGGTAGGCCTTACATGCTGATTAAGATGATACTCCTTAACTATAGACTGAAGTTATCACCTACTGCATACATACTGCCCCATATTGACGAGTAGACAGTTAGTTAATACTCAGTATTCCGTGATGACGCTGTTTCAATTTTTAGTTTTGTTCTTCAATTTAACACGGAGAACTAACATTAATGATCCAGGCAAGAAGGTTGACGTGGTCTTGGCTCTTGAGCAACTACGATAAAGATTCTGGTAAAAAGCTATGAGTCAGCATATCGATAGTAATGCAGTACTGTACGCTTTGTATGTGTCAGCATTGCTGATAATTATGTAGTTATGTAGTTGCAAAGATGGAAAGGTTCCATTGAGTAGCTGTCACAGTAACGTTAATAATAAAATTTTGCTATATTATCAAGCAAAAATGCTACCAAAGATGACCTATCCTTTAGGATTGATGGATTTGAGCCAATATCGAACCTTTGGATCAATTTACGAAAAATCAGAAACAAGTTTTAATTCATTACCTAACTAAAACTAATATCACTGGTGGTTTTGCTCCTCTTTCTGTTTTTTAAAGCACTAGCTTATTTCTGATGTAAAAAATATTTCCTCTTCATTAGTCAAATTATTTGTTGCGTTATCCAATTCAAGGATTTCGCTTCATCTACGAATATATAAGAAATATTGCCATAAATACTTTGTAGGTCGAGGTTCTTATTAAATGCATTTGTCTGCATTCAAGAAACAAGTCCGCCATAGGGAATCAGGCAGTTTCGCTAGACCCTTTATACAACTATACAGTACTTACTAAAGTGAATCACGAGTTTGTCTGAAATTCACAATATCGAACCATCGCCCTAGTGGCACTGTTGGTTAAACAAATGCGAGAGTGGTTGTTGTTTATAGGTAACAACGAGAGGTTTGTGTACATATTTTGTTCTGTTGCCCCAGAATATAGCAGTCACTTGAGGAGTGCTCAGTTTGTGATGACGTAAACCCTTTTATCTTCCACTCGATCATTGCTTGATTTTGGTTTGTGATTCGTGGTTCCGTAAGTGGACGTTTCATTGGATAGCCAAAAAATATATTTGGTAAATGCTTTCTGAATGAATATATTTGTAGGTATTTTAGTTTCAAATTCTCTAAAATCAACCTTGAAATGGTAAAAGCTAGAAATGTGAAATTTATTATACATATAAATGTCACCATACTAAATATGGTCTTTAACATACTAAGTAATCATGCATTATTTTTCATGTTTGCCACTTAGACAGATGTTATGTTATTATTATGATTTGAATAAAATAACCTACAGACGGACGCACTTTCGGATAAGTTTATATATGTTTTCCGGAACAAGTTCACAAAAAGTTCAAGTAAGTTTTGTAAACCCACAAAAGTTTAGGTTTATAATAATAGTGTTTTCGGTTTTATATACGATCGTACCATCTTATAAATGAGATATCAAACGACGCAGTCTTGGTTATCTGTTGACAGTTCCTCCGATCAATATTGATATGAGAATGTGATTGTTATCAGCATCACTCGCCCGCGTCGCTTATCGAATGTCACTTGGTGATTGGGTCAATCAAATCAATAAACAAGATAAAGAGCGAGCCCATGTAACATCTCCAATGCCTTCCTGCTTGTACCATACGACCAGGGTAAACTTTTATAGTTTCAGGCTTCAACGAAAGTAAGAATATGGATGAATACGGTATGAATACATTTTAAACAAGTTCGTCATTACAGCAATACGAGAACGATTCAAACATAGAATAATTACTTTATCTTTTGTGTTTTTTACGCCAATGGAATTGTTATGTTTTGTTAAGGAACGGTCCAAACACTGATCTTATACCAACTAATGCCACCACCGTGGACATATTTGTATCACGAAGAACGAGATGAAAGCATCATTAATACAAAGCCAAATGGCACCCTTGTCTGGAAACGATTTAAGGCGAGTACTGTAACCACTCGGCAACCCAGACAATTTGCATTAATTTTGGCATGTTAGTTTATGTAGGTATTTTTTCACAGTCCACTTGATTTTGTAAATAAATACAACAGTATGTGTAAGTATTCACGCTTTTGCTTTTGTTTACCTAGTTGAACGACTCAGACTTTGACTAGTGTTTTTCAGGAAGACTGCCCTTAACTCCGGAGAAAAAGAGGGTCGCGAAGATGTCCTCTCAGATGTTTGAAGATAAGCATTTTTTGTTATTTACTTAACAGAGTGACTGACTGTTCTTCACTTTATATCTTTGTCTTACAGGAAGAAGCCACAGTTAGCTGACTCTAGAGTGTAAGAGAGTCGTGGAAATATCATTTTTGGATACTGGAAGATTGTTTTTCTTGTTTACTAAGTAGAGTGACTATTGTTTTATCGTTGGCCTGTTATGTTTCAGAACTCCAGCGCAACAGGGTTCCATTAAAGGTTAGCTCTCATTTGTTAGACCATGGGCTTTTGCCCTAGTAACGTAACCATAACCGTAGTAGACCTAATTCTTACATTTTCATGTTGGATTACAGGAGGGCTGCCGTTATCGCCAGAGCAACAGAGGTTCGTCGGAGTTCCCTCGCAGGTTCTGGAGGACGGGTCCAGGAAGTATGACCATTGCCTCGTGTACGATATCAACCTCACCGACTGGTTGTCTCTTCACAACGGCTCCTTCCTGCCTCCCCCAGACCCAGAGTGGCCTACGGTCAAGTGTCCGCATGGCTGGAACTACGACCACAGAGACTATGACAGCACTCTGGTGACAGAGGTCAGTATCAGTGATAACAATACTGTACCTATTACACTTTCTATATTGCGCTCAATAATCCATAAGTAATAGGCAAACGTAAGTGACACGGTTACTAAAAAATATTATCATATTTTTGGTAGTTTATACCCATAGGTTTCATTAGATCTTTAAACAACTTTAGCAAGACTATTTATGTAAAAAACACTACAAAAACATATTTCTGTAATACTAAGAATGTACCATCACGAGGCTCATAGTACTCTGTTGTATAAAAATGTAGACCGAGTTAAAACTGAAGTTCGTAGCGAGATGTTTGTATACTCCAAGTGAGACACGGTCATTTTTATTTTATGACGCTCTTCTTTAAAGCTCTAAAGGGATTCTTTGACACCAATAGAACACCTCGAGAACCCTAATCCAATATGTACGCAAATGTCAAGCAAGTGTAATAAAACTTATTTTAGGGCTATAATGATGTTGACCAAAGAAACATAGTTCCATGATTTGTGGTATAAACATTTGGGTTTTTTTTTCATTCTAACTATAACTTGTATTGTTCAGTCAGAGTCAGTCATATTGACTAAAGACCACGCCATTGCACTTTTTAGGGCAGTTCCTTTAAACATTCGTTGCGATCACTTGAAAAAATATGCTGGAAAATACTCATAATCGTAACGATTCAGACACTCGATATTCACTTCAATAATAATGTTTAGCCCTTGTTGTTTTAATGTTCAGCCTTTCAGTGATACTACTAAACAAAGTAAATTCACACTTACTACGAATCACACTTGAAAATGAGTATGGAACTCAAAGTAACGTTATCCACTGTATCAAAGTAAGCATGGGGATTGACGCCTCCCAAAACAATATGACAAATGAAATAATAGCGGCTGTTACACAATTTGACACCGTCACGGAGCGGCGAGCGGCCGTTGTTGTTTATCCACATGTCTCCCAGCAAGAGATGGGTGTCGTTGGTCAGACCTAAGGTGCGTGACCCATCAGGGCATTACGCAGAAATGCATCACTTAACAATTTATTACTCCAAATACTCTGCTCCGAAAAGAATACTATGCCTTACCACTGCTCCAAAAAGAGGCTGATGCACTGCTCCGAAAGATCTGTATAGTGACTAGTGACTCCAAACCGTGTTTCCTTGCAAGGCAAAACTCCGAAAGTAAGTGCTTCGAAAACGTAGCTTGGAGCAATGTTGTAGGAAAACCGTAGTACAACTTGTCCTCGACTTCAGGTAATTCGTCTTTACCCTAGGGATAAAAATAACTACTTTAGCCCCACAACGTATACGCTGCAGTGCAGTATAACGACAACCGCTTGTTGGAGTGATAAAAAACCAACAGTAACCCCCATTGAATAATTTTAGAGTTTGTTACGAATGTATGTCAATGGTGTAATCTAGAAATCCGTCCCTCTAACTTAATCAAAGCAATGAATAAAACTCCGTCTAAGGCAACATTCCATCTACAGACCACCTGTTGCCACTATGTAAATCAGCTGCTAGGCATACTGCCAACCACACAAACCTGTATTATCAGTTTGCGAAAGCAATATATTAGCGTGAGTGTGAATGGAAGCAAGTTCCAATCTGATGTCGAATTAACTACTCGGATCGGATGAAACGCATAATCACAGAGCTGAATTTTTATTGATGTTCATTGACCAATTAGGAATTTTAAACTGATGTTAGATCATTATTTTTTCCCTTTTCATTGTAAGTTATAAGTGTTGTATTTAGGTTAATTAAATGGTTTTGGCCGAAAAACAGTTAGCATATCTTTTGGTCCATAGTAAAAATATGGTTCTTATGACTTTAAATATATTTGTTGAAGAAATATACCTCGTATAAACCTAAAGATTGAGTGCCGGGTACAGATTACAACCATCAAAAATCTACTGGCAATTCTCAGGATCGAACTAATTACTGTGTTAGGTAAAAACTCTGATATGTCTCTGTAGAAACATTAGACTTTAATCAAATACCAGGGCAATATAATCATCCATCACTCATTTCTCACTCATATTTGGATAAAAATCAGGGTCGCCGGAATTTTATCCCCCTGGAATTTTACCCCCTGGGCAAAGCTGACGTCACTATGACGTAGCAACCTGAGTGGCCAAAAGTTTGTTCGCGGCCGGAATTTTACCCCCGCGGATTTGGAAGTCTAATGAAAATAGTCAGAGAGTGATTAATTAGATTAGCGATAAAAACCGGAATTTTACCCCCTGTCCATATAACTAGCGTTTAGGCAACTGAAGATGTACGGGCCGGAATTTTACCCCCCGGAATTTTACCCCCCGGAATTTTACCCCCCGGAATTTTACCCCCCGGAATTTTACCCCCTGGCTAATTTTAGAAATTGAATGATTGATTTTCTTATTTCTGTTTTTAATTAATTGTAAACATTTCATTATTTAGTAGCCTATCTTTATTTATTTATTTTGTAATCTCAACTAAGTAAACAGAATTCGCTGTTTTATTTTGATCATATTAACCAACAGTTGGCTTCAAAGATCGAATCCTGACACTCGAATCTCAAAATTAATATTAAAACCCTGTTCGATTAGTTAATGTTACATATAAATTAAGATAGGCTACTTAATAATAAAATGTTTACCATTAAATTAAAACTGAATGACGATAATTAATCGTTCTCACTAATTTATATCTGGACAGGGGGTAAAATTCCGGGGGGTAAAATTCCGAGGGGTAAAATTCCGGGGGTAAAATTCCGGGGGAAAAATCCGGGGGGTAAAATTCCGGGGGTAAAATTCCGGGGGGTAAAAATCCGAGCCGTACATTCTAGGTTTTTATAATTTGATGTGTTCTGATTAAACTCACAACCGTGAAAATATATGTTTAATTCCGCGTTTAATCCATCGAGCTGATGTCGCGAAACTCCAAAGTTCGCGGCCGGAATTTTACCCCCTGGTTTGTGACGTCACGTTTGCCCAGGGGGTAAAATTCCAGGGGGATAAAAATCCGCTACCCCAAAAATCAGACGCGTCCCTGCGTCCCTATCTCAAACTTTAATATACAGTAATGTAAAGTTAAACATATCTGGTATCTGAGTGATAGTGCTGGCCAAAATAATAGCCATATAACTGCAAGAAGGTCTTAGATTCGGTTGTTCAATAACGAGACATGTAACTAACTAGTTGTACATATCAAAACTAGGCCCAGTAGTCCTTGATTGTTGTACATGTAATCAATGTTCCTGGCTAAAGAAGCGGCCAATCTTTGTGAGAAACAAAGCTATAGAGATCACATCACCAAAAGCTAATCTATGATAAATCACTCTACCTTGATTATTGAACTTCCATTAATTTTCATTCTAAAATACGCAGCTCCTTTTCATTTAACAGGAGGCGTTGTTATCTTTAATTAATTACAGTACAGGAATAAAGACAAATACGCATTGAGGAAACTTAAAACTGGATTCAAAGCTGATCAAAAACATTTTCTTCCGGCTATGTTTTACCCCAATAGACCATAAGTAACACACTCAAAGCATTACTCATCCGAAACTCGTGTTTCGTTCAAATCTCGATTAAAACATAAGTCTAAGTTGGGTCCCTATCTCAAATAGCAACATGCAATACATGATTTATCAACAAAAGCTAATATATTAGAAAGCAATAGTTTTGGAATGTGTATGTATGTCTGTATGTGAGTTTCATGACAGTTGTAGACACGCGTGTACAATACTTGTCGCGTGTTTGGTAATTACCTACTAATTTACTGAGTGGTGTACAATGTATAAACCTGTCTCCACGCAAGTACACGTAGCGCCAAGCTCATCAGATAATGTTACTTAAACTACACAATGAATAATGAACGGTCCATTTGGTAGATTGGCCTAATTTCCAGAGAGAAATAACACCATTTACACCCTGGCAAAAGTGAATACCTTGCTAACTAAACCTTCACTAATTACTTCTTTGAACATTTTGAGATAACAAAATATTTAACGAACCATGGTGGATTTCGTACGTTTCTGCATTATTTAAACTGACGAAAAGATAATATTTTAACATATCATAGCCACAATCAACTTATCTTTTGGTTGTTATTTTGAATCAAATAACACTAATGCCTTTGACTGAGTGTAGGTAAACATCTCATAATATTTTAAAATCCGAAACCTGATTTGATGTGCTTTTTCTAGTAGCCTATTGTTTAAGTTAACCATATTTTCTCTTTTATTACGAGTAGAGGTTTTATAAATTGTTAATGTCAGAGAAAAAATTACCAATAATTGTTTAATTAACTCATTCATTTTGTTAAATTAGTTTTTAACTGCCATAAACTAGCTGTTACCCACGGGATTCACCCCGTTTGACTTCGTTTCCCCGTATTAATAAAACTATTGATTGTTTAAGTTAAGCTGAAATAAACAAAACAGATGTAAAGCAGGTGTAAACAGATGTAAAGACCTTGTACAGTAATACAAACAAACAATCACGACTCATTTTAATAATGTGATAAATTGAAAGAATAACAAACAAATAAGTATTTTTAACATTAGGTAGACAAAAATTTCCCTATAGAAAGGAATTACGACCTTAAAGGGCAATTAATGAAATAATGGATAGTTTTGCGCAAGGTTTCTCGTCAAGACGAACATTTTAAGTATATGGTTTATGGGGGCGTGAATTGTAGTTTTCTCATAAGTTCATGAGTACTTTGGAGTTTATGGATCAACCTTAAAGTTGTCATCAGCTGATTCCTAGTGTACCGCGGAGCCCGGTGGCAGTATGTGTGGTTATGGCTGTGGCTGTGGCTGTCCAAGAGAACCTGTTCACCGTCGCGACCGCAACTTTATCCGCATTTCGGTTGTGGTCCAGCAACCATGGTCGCTTCCCAAGACCAACCAGTCACACCCACTGAAGCTCTATCTGAATGTCGAGTGATCATACAAAACATAATGAGCCAACCAAGGTTTATTAGACAATGTTTTAATCAATTGAATCGTTTAACTACCGTACTGAACAATCTTGTAAATCTTCTGTTCCTGTTTGAAATAATCTATCTATATATTAAATAGGCGAACACGAATTTTGTGATAATTGTTTTGAAGCTGTTATGCATCCGATCACCAAGTTTAAGGTGTCGTTGGATAGGTCGTGGCAAGTAGATTTACCATATCAAAAAGTCTTTGAAATTCCATTAGGGCTCTGCCCCAGTGGCCTTCAAAGTTCCCATGTTATCCTTATGGAGAAAATGTTTGTTTTAAACATATGAATACTTTAAATTTACACTAAATATTTAAAACATCAGATTATATTAAAATTGAAATCAATGGATACATGTCCTATTTATTAGATTAGTTGAAAAGATTGGAGTTTTACTGCATAACACTGTTTTAAAGGTTGAATGAATTCAAATGTCAAGATACAGTAGTTACACTATTTGTTGTGTTTTTTTAAATCTTTCTTTTACTGAAACTAAATAAGGGGGTATTATTTAACGAGTGGAGGATATGAATGTCAAAGGAGCAATGTTTTTTATCGAGTTTCGTCAATTAATTGTAAGGGATGTTGCCTGCATTCTGCTGTTATATGATTATTTATGATAGGTGCTGAATAATAATGATCAGAAGTTCTTAATGTTCGTTTTAAATATGATTTCTTTCATTGATAAAACTGTGTGATTATATAGGTGTGATTATATAGAATAGGTAGGGATGGACGGGTCTTAACCTTTCAGGACATTTTCTGGGCACACATATTTTTAATCTTCATGAGGGGATTACATTTAGTTTATGATTTAGCCAGAACGGGATTTGTTCCAACCATCAGCGAATTTTTGCAATTGTGAATGACGATGATTTAACGTCTTCGCGATCGTAGGAGTTGTTCACGATTGTACCGGTGACGATGGCTCCTTGACAGATAGACGTTTAAGATTTTGACACGATGTAGCGTTTTGGGTGGACTAGACTGACTGACGGTGGGGTAATGTTGGTGATGAACGTTATATAATGACGGTGGATGATGCGATATGGTACTGTGAGACTAATTTAAGCGTGCTGATTCTGCTACCAAATTATTACATGAAAGACGTGTTGGGGACCAGAGGACGGAGATCTTTTACCCAGACCGGAAGCTTGCATAGCCAGCTTTGATTTATGCTAATACAACTAATTTATTAAATCTATCCTTCCAAAACTTGTGACCTAGAAAATGACTATGAATGAAATGATTGGTTGGTGATTGAACCACTTAAATCAGAAATGACTTAAGAATTTACTGAGAAGATCTATGGAATTCTTCTGGGGAAAACGTGTTGCCCTAATCATATCGAAAATGGTCCGATGCTGAAGGCCTCGGACCGTAATTGTTTGATTCCTACATAATTTCCGAAGTCGGGGCGACCCTTGTAGGTCTCCCCTTTCGTTGCTAACTAGCCTGGCATACTAATCTAATATCTAGTATAAATACTGTAATTATTCTAGGGACTTACTGTACTTACATTCACTGCCACATAACGTGCCCTGCACTTATATGAAAAAAATAGTTTTAGACTCCTAAAAGACTAAGTAAAACCTGAAAATCGAGTGTCTGTAAAAGTAAGTTTTTGTGACTATGATCGGTTTCCCCGTAGACCCTATTTATTTCAAAAGCTATATTGTTCAATTTTACTTTTTTTTATTTCACGCCAACATTATCCAATGCAGACATAAAAGAGTCAGCCAAAACCAAGTGATGATATAATAATGGATGATGATGTGGTAATTAAGACAGCAATAGCCTCTCACACTCAATTACAGGGTCAAGGACAAGGGGGAATGGGGGAGACAAAGTTATAAGCTCATAAGAAATTAATCTCTCAATTTTATGTTCTTTATGCTCTTGATTAGCCCAAGTTAATGTATTAAAAGCTTAAAACTCTTAAAAACCCAATGGTCAAAGGGAAGTAGATCCAGTTTAAAACCATACAAAAGCTACTGACTTTTCTCAGATCAAACAGTTGACCTTCTTTTGCCTTTATCATTCATTGTAGTTACATATTGAGACAGAAACATGATCTCGTCAATTTTGTGGATTTTAGCATAGATAAAAAGTGTTGGTTAGTCTATGATTTTAGCCATGAATATGAGTGAATCAAGAGTGTAGAATGGAGTGAAACACCTTTTGTGTAGCTCTAGATCTGGCTAAGTTGGGCTCCTGTCTGTTTCTTTAGCCAGGGTGATTATCAAAGGCCCATCAATGATCAAGAACACTTGGGTCTAGTTTTAAATCATCACGACTTTTCTCAGGATCGAATGGGAGAAATTCTGATTGTTATGCTAGCACCACCTAGCCACCACATAACATTTTGATAACATCGTGACTTACTATTTATCTAACTAGCAACATCTCACTGCTGCAGACAAGTTGTTTGTTGCGGTACAAACAACCTTTATATGAGACCTGTTGCTCTAGATATGATATCAGATATTTGTACTGGTCAGTAACTCCGAATAAATTTATGGCCCTGGTACTGCACACATATATGATGCTTTAAAAGGTCAACTTCCTCATTCGATTGTATGTATGGCCTATTTCTGTGTCCATGTTGTGTAAAATGTTAGATTTAAGCTTCACATTACATGTTGAGTTGTTTATGATAACAAATCACCAAGTGCTAGTATAACATTTTTTCCAAAAAAATAGTTTCATCATAAAATTATATGATGGTTTTTATTTAGGAAATTCCTATTTTGTATTTATTTAGAAGAGATAAGGGAGAAAAACAATGGATTTTCCTCCAAAATAACTGAATAAACCATATCAGCTATTGATTTGATCTAATTAATAGATATTCTGTAGTTGGGTGCATCCTTTTTTGCCCAATGAGGTATTTAAGCTCGCCAACAATTTGAACTAGATGAGTTATGACTTCACAAATCTGAAAAATTTAACGGAGAAAACAATTATATTAGTTCACATAATTTTCTTTCTCGGTCAAAATTGTTTGCCACAATTCTTGTGGACTGTGGTGATAATGATCTGTATACTTCCACTATATTTGGATATTATCTAAAAAAATTGACAAAGAACTTGCTGCCAACAGGAGGTTGAGCAAAGTTGAGGGGGAACCATGTAACTTACCTATCAGAACTTTACTAATGGAAGACAACAAAGGGACAGTTAGTTCAAACGTTTTCTTGATTTGCACAGTAGCCTATGTTAATTGACTTAGCCTATATATAGAAATATGAAATAATCTTAAAAAAACACAATGATAATACAGTACAGTATAAGCTTCAAATCTGTAAACTACTAAAAAAATCCCTTTGTAAACAACATATTATTATTTTATATTGCAATTTTGATACCGTCTATAATATAAACAATAGTATATTTCATCACTAGGGCGTAAAGTGACTCTTTTCAACCCAAGCTCAAGTTTCACAAATGAGGCGAAGCCGGGGTAAAAAAATTAGCAAGAGTTGAAAATAATTAAAAATAGATTTTACTTTTGTCTACAGCTCAATCTGTTGTAACTTATATTTGGTTGAAAATACACTTATTGCCCGTTAAATAATGTTGAACCATGCGATTGCTTACAATCAATTTTTGTAAGGTTTACAACAGCTGACTTTTGCTAGAGACTAATAATGCTGTTGGAGTAAAAGAGCTACTTTATACCCACAACACATGCGTGAAAAACAGCTGCTTTTGTTGCAGTATGAAAAAAAAAACTTCATATTACCATTCACTATTGGATCGTCAAGTATATTATAGTTAGTTTTTACTTTTTAACTACAAAATCTTAACTTAACTACTATTTGTTTACAGAAAATCAAATCAACCTCCGAATCAATTGTATTTATGATTCTCGATTCAATTAGAAGCTAGTTTTATTTAATGCTGATTTTATTAAATTTTATCATTGACTATTCAAATATAGTAGGCCCTTTTATATATCATGGTGCAATATAGTCCATATAGTACCTTAATAGTCAATGGTTTGATGGCTTTAAAAATTAAACTTATTTATAATCCAAATTTTTAAAAGTGTTACAATTACGGTTTTTAATAGTAAATTTATAAGGCATCATGGATGTCTATTATGAGATGAAAAATCAATTTATAAAACGAGTATTTATTAATTGTTTTAGGGGCTACTGTCCTATCTGGGCTATTGTATTTTTGTACAATGTATAAAACAATTGTGTATATTTATCTCGGGATTGTATTTTGGTGTCTAAGGTGTTATGTTTGTTCAGCTAGATCTAGTCTGTGACAAGAGCTGGTGGGTTTCCACATCAACTACATTTTTCTACGTCGGCTCACTTTTGGGAAACGTCGTTTTTGGATGGATAGCAGACAGGTTTGTGAGTGTGTATTTAGTTATATAGTATTTCTATTATCTTTATATTTTACTGCATATAAGTACTTAGCCAGCAGTTCCCAACATTTTTTGTCTGGTGACGTACCTGTATCCTGGCCATTTTTTACCATCTACCTATTTAATGAGCTTGTTTTAAATATAACATAAAAACAAGATTTGTGATTTAAATAGTTATTTGAATGACCGTCTAATTCGGGCTTTATAAACCAAGCTGAATTAGGACCAAATCCATTCTGCCTGGAGAGGTACGGCCCTTAAAAAAACCATTCCCCTAAGTAAGGAAAAATCGTACAAACTTTCCTTGGAATGGTCATGAATCTAGACCTCCTGATTGTGAAGTGATGTCATCACTGATACCACCTCATTCGGTCACATTAATAATAATATAATGAAACTTAATACCAGTATAACTAATACGACATACAAATACTAGATTTTACTCTATATACCTCAAAATAATTAAAATAATTTTGTCAAAATGAAAAGACCCATATTAAATTGATGATCAAATGAATTTAAATTTGTGAGGTTAGACATACAGTATTATTAAAGGATGGACACTCGATACTGCAATACACAAGTGTTTTAATTTGTCCATCCTGACGATAAAATCATCTCCGAATCGCCTGTAGGAGTATCACCTCTGATTGAGAAGACGTTAGACGTTAAGGATTAAATAATAATATATATTTTATACTATAAATTGATTATATCCTAGTTGAATTGCTCAAAGTTCATAGCCCAATAAGATAAGGTAAAACGCCGACTTTTGTAATGTCTCCAGATGGGGCCGTCGCAAGGCTTTCTTGTCCATTCTGTTCCTGATGGTGTTCTCGTCCATCGCTACATCGTTCTCACCCAATTATCTCGTCTACACAATTTTAAGAACAGTCAACGGACTCTTCTTTCCAGCCATCTTCCAGATCCCCTTCATTCTTGGTATGCTATGGCTATTTGAATTGTTTTTCAAATTTTTATTTTTAGAGAATTCTCATCACCATTTAGATGATATTTTATAAGTAGCCTAACAAAAACTCTGTATTAGTAGCATGAAAGTAATTTCTCAACGGTATTTTCATTTATAAAAATTAGTATAAATAAAGCATAATTGTTAAGGGAGTAATATTTTTTATTAGTTTTAGTTTTGTTTGGAGGGTTAGAGTGGCTTAGTCACAATGGTTTTGTTGAGGAATGTCTTGTCACTTTCTAGCTTTAATCTTTTGTCTGACAGGCCGATGACAAGGGATCATAATCAACCCAGTTGGGATCAAACCAGCAACCCTCAGAATTTGAGACAAGCACTAATCAGAAGCACACTTATCCCAGACATTAATCGTCAACTTTGTTTGGTACATCCAATAAACAAGTCTGAGGCATATGTGGATGCTGGGATAATTAAAGGATTGAAAGAGGCAACCAACCTCTCAAGAGTTTTGAATCATTCAATCAGCATACACACGTTGTTTCAGCACTAGAGATGATGGGCCCCAGGTACCGCACATTCGCTGGGATGGTCATATGCATGTTCTTTGCCATGGCGATGTCTCTACTAGCTTTACTTGGGTACTTCCTACGCCACTGGTTCACTCTATCGCTCGCCACATCTGTACCATTCTTACTGCTTTTCAGGTGATTACAACATTTGTTCCATGAAAAAATACCTAATACTTAAAACAAAATTATACAATAAACTGCTACTATTTTATGTAAAGACTGCTCTAAGCTAAGCTGATGTATGATTTATTCTTCATCTCTTCTTCCGTGTCATCTCCAAAATGTAGCTTTGTGTCTCCTGTTGACTTTATTATTATCTACATTCTAAATATATTGTTTTAATTTCTAGTTTCTCAGTTTTTTTATGTCCTTTAAATGATTTCTCATACTTTTATTTATTCTTGTTAATAAAATTAAATGCTCTATGAAAGTCTTGTGCCTATTACAGTTATTACTGGATCACTCCGGAATCTCCTCGATGGTTGCTGAGCAAAAACCGAATCGATGAAGCAGAAGTCATTGTTCAGAAAATGGCCAAGATGAATAAAAAACCTGTTCCTCCTAACTTTTTGAGGACATTGCAGGTAAATCAGTACAACTTCAATCCTTATAGTTTTACATGTAAGATCAGAGGTGCTACTGGTCCAGTGGCTAGAGCAAAGAACTACTTGGGAGCTACGTTCTAACTGCCAATGACTAACAGCTATTTGCTTTTTGATCATGAACTGTGGTTTAGAACCTCTTGTTGAGCGTTGAGCTACAACATAGTTCCACCCATAGTATCTGATGTATAAAATTTAAATTACCGAATCTAATGGATATTGAAATCTCTCTTTTTATTCCTCTACACACGAAAGTACCCTTTCTAAATGTAAAATGAGCTAAAAAAATAGGTTATTCCCGCTACTGCACGGCAAAATTACATAACGTTAACTTTCTGTGCATTTGTGGTGTAGTAACCGTTATAGGATTTTGCTGTACAGACCGATCAGCTGTTGCATTATTTGCTGTTATCTGTGACATAAGCACGGAAACTCAGCGTTATAGTTCGGTTTTTTCTTGATAATAAGTTGAATAAACAAAAATATACATGTTGTTTACAAGTTTTAGTAATGAAAAATAATGTTCAATACTTTTCTCAACAGTGCCATTGTGGGGCTCGATAGCTTTTTTCATGCTGTCCTTTTATAATTTAAATTATTTAGCTAGTTTGAAAATAAATCAATGGATAGAGAGGTTTAATTAAGATCCTTTTTTAATTGCTTCTGCCTCAAATTGCTCCTACTAGGTAAAATTTCAATAATCTGTTTTCTTCCCGGAAATTTGGACTAGGACCACCTATAAACCCCTTGTTGAACTGAATCTGTGCAAGGTCCCACTAGAAAAACAGGCTATGCTGCAGGATCCATGACGTCACACTAGTGGAAAGATTTCATTGATAAATTCATTGCTATCACCATTCCCATATGTTTTAGGTAAATAAACAAGCTGGTTGTTTGTAAGATTTTAATGGTAGAACTATCCACCACTGTGACGTAGTGTTGCGCTGCCCGTACTGCAGCATGGCCTGTTTTTTTCTAGTGGGCCCTTGGTTAGATACCCCTTTTAAAAAAATCATAAGATAATTTGGTTAATGATAAATCAACTAGCATTCTTGTAAATGGCTACTCTCAAAAACCTATTTATCTAATATTTGAAAATGTGCAAATTTTCATAAAAAACCCCAAAATTTGTAAGTTCCTTTAATACAAATAAAAAAAAATAAAGAGATTCAAATCAAATCAAATCAAACTAAAAGCAACACTTACTTCAGACAGAGTCACCAAGTCTGCCTGTGATCCCTCTCGGTTTGATTATTGTTATCGCCAATAAAACTCTCATTACTTTTGTAGCTTAATATCTTTATCACAGTGCATGATGCCTCAGTGGTCCCTGTTTAACTATTACGTCTAGTAGTACCTAAGTTAGTGCAACAATTACAGCTTAACAAGGTTAGATGTAAAGTGACTCGGACCACAGTGAGTACTGAGTGTAGCATTCCAAGTATCCATAAGTGCATAGAGTAAGAACTTCTAATTACTGTGACTGTATACTATGATATGTAGAACAGTCTCCTACCTTGGGGATTATAATTTGCCACCTTTCTTAGAATGGCAATCCCTAAGAACTTGGAAGCGGCAAGAGTCTCAGTTTTTTGCTTTTAATTCCGTAATCTTTTTAAATTATGTAGGGTCCTGTCAAGAAGAATTTGCTGATAATACGTGATGATAAAAATATACAAAACACTAGTTTAATATAACCCAAATTTTTAGTTCTTTATTCTATTAGGTAGAGAGTGAGCGTTTGGCAGAGCATAAGCCTTCAGAGCCAACCTCTGACTTCACAACTCCAATGGACATTTTGAGACATCCGAACATACGCACAAAGTTCTTCATCCTCTCGTTTGATTGGGTGGCTAACGCTGTTGTCTACAATGGCCTCTCGTACAATGCTACCAACCTGGGCGTAAGCGACTATCTCGCTTTTTTCATAGGTTGGTTTAATCTTTGTGGTTAATTGTTATCCTAACATTTATGTGACAAAACCAAACCAATCATAATCTGTCATCAAAACTGACTCAATTGACTTTCATGCTACAAATTTTATCACTGTTAACATAACTGCACTAGCATACTGTGATAAAGTAAGAAATTTAAGACCGACTCTCTCAACACTAAAATCTTGTAGAAATGTTTTTTCGTCAATACATTTACTAAAGAGATTACAAACTCCCTTACTTACCATTGCACAAAATAAAGTTTCACCTCATCATGTCATGACTGTAAATCCTGCTAGTATGTTGCAACGCTCACAGAATCATTGATTGCGATTTACCTATAAATTCTGACCCTTTGCGACTGCAACCTTTTTACATTGAATCAAAAATATTAAAATTGAATGATCAGAGGTTAGTTAAAATAACTTTGTAAGCATTTTTTATTTCTGACAAAATAGATCACAAAAAAATTTTAAAGTGACTTTAGCTTTGTAGCTAAAGGTAGTTGGAGTAGCTCACACACTGCATCTTATACGTTTCACCTTACCTACTCATGTAGGAGAACATCATATGACAAGCCCTTATCATAATTGCCTGCCATATTTGGAACAACCTACTTCTCTCCATGAAAGTGCTTGGTCGTCCCCGGTTTGAGGTGGCACTATAAAAATTGTACTCTAAGGGCGTGGCATCGGTTGGTGTGTCATAGAACTGTTTTGGTGCTTGTGTGATTGCTGACTGACTGTGTGAGTCATTTAGTTATGTAATTTTGTTTAAGTATTGTTTTTGAAGGACTGTTTGTATAATGTTTTATATTACCACATTTTAAATGAATGCAGGTTAAGTAGGGGCCTATAAGCAAGGGCCACGAACCTAACTTTGCCAGTTGAAATAAAGGATTTTCATTTCATTTCATATAGTTTTTAACTTAGAGATAACTAGACATTTTACCTTCAGGTTGATCTTTTTCCTGTCTTAAAAAAATGGAGTTAGTTGAATTGAGCCTACAACAGAGTGATGTATTCAATAGCATATTTGTGGACTCCACCAATTTTTTAACCAAACCAAATTGAATTACAACTCCTTATAAAACTATCACATCTACTATGTCATCTCAACTGTCTTAGTATCTAAAACTAGGAGAGGAAATACTAAGAAGAAGAAAGCTAAAAGAATTGTTACAGTAGCCAAAAACATATAGGGTAAGAAAATCTCACCCTAATATGTAATTTAAAATCAAAACAATTGGAATGTGTGTTTATTACTGTAACAGAAGGACTCCATCACATAGTCTTTATGGATCAGGTAACAATGGGTACGTATAGGGATTGTGTGAGAGGGACCTCTCGATGTTTGCTCATATAAACTTATCCCCACAATCTCATTGTTGTCGATGTTTTTGTAGGAGGAGCCATAGAGATCCCCAGCTATGTGTTGACATGGTGGGCTATGGACTATTACGGTCGCAGACTTGTTCTGTGTCTCTCAATGCTGCTTGGAGGAGTAGCCTGTGTTTCATGTTTATTTGTACCTGAAAGTAAGTACAGCTAATGCTAAGTAATTAAGTGATTGGTTGCCAATTAATAGATTATTGATTGAATCTTGATAAAAGTTGGCCTTAACTAAAATCAGCTCTCCCTGCTTTTTGAGTCTCGATATGTTCCTAATTAAAGAAATAGATTATCTTAGACAGTAACAACGCTACACAGATCGCCATTCATATGCAGCTAAAACATAAGCACCTTCTTTTCAAAGGCCGAGAAGTCTAAGGCTTTATCTGAGAATCAGCACTTAAAATTGAAGGTTCAAAACCATGGAGGGACCCATCTAAGAATAAATTGTAGCAGTTGACAGGATGGGCGAATTATTTAAATATTTAATAGCTGCATCAAATATCAGGCATTTTGCTGTTTATTGCTTGTCCTTAGACTAGTATTTGTGGGTGTGTATGTGTTCACCAAAAAGTTGTTTAACAATTTGAAAAAATTGGATTTTTATGTTCATAACATCATACTAAAATCATTTATTTATCCACGGAGTTCAAAGGGTTGGTCCAATAACAAAAACAAACCAATATTTAATTGAATCTTAATAATCTTTAACTCTTTTCAGAGGCTGTGTGGGTCACAGTCTCTCTGGCGATGGTGGGCAAGTTCGGCAATGCGGCCGCCTTCGCAGTGTTCTACGTCTTTGTTGGGGAGTTACTGCCCACTGTACTCCGCAGTCAAGCTATGGGCATCGGAAGTTTTATTGCTGGCATTGGACTGCTCAGCTTCCCTCACATTGTCAACTTGGTGAGTTCATTAAGTTGGTTGGATCCACTTGAAAATTATGCTTTAGTTAAGAGTCTTCATCACCCGTGGGGTAGTTTCATTTTGGGGTTGTGGCCTTGGGGGGGAAGTTGTGTAGACGGGTAGCGTGGGGTTATTATGCGCACAATAAAAAAAAAGTTGTTAACACACGACTACTAAATATGCAACTATGAAAAACAACGGCCGGAAAATGGAGGCGAGTTAGCGTAGCGAACGAGTTAACCTGAAGGCAAGTGAGCGTAGCGAACGAGCTAACCTGAAGGCAAGTGAGCACAGCGAACCAACTGCTGTTCGTTATATAAGAAGGTTTCAACTGAATATTATAAGATCCCCGTGCGTAGAACGGGTACACAGCTAGTCATTAAAATTAAAGATGTATCCAAGTAAAAAGAAAGATTTTACCTGAGAAATTTTGGGATTTAAAAAAGTCTCTGTAGAAGGTTCAATTCTCAGGAAGGTGTATTTGCTTCCACTTTTTTGAAAGGGACAACTGCCAGTGCAAAACCTTACTAAAAATAAGTGTACAGTAATTTTAATAATTTTTTAAATCATATTGCATTACAAAAAGTTCAAATAAAAACTTAAATAAAATAAAATGTACATGAATGGACTAATCTAGAAACTAGATTTTTTAAATTGTAGCACAAAGCATTTCCTAAAAAATATAAATAAATTAGGAACAATTTGTCCTTCATAGAGGATGCTCAATCCATTGTCTTGGACCTCTTATATAACAATACATGATTTTTTTGTTCAGGCAAGGTACAGCAGAGTTATGCCCCTGATTGTGATGGGCACTTTGTCCTTAGCTGGGGCTGCAGTGTCTGTCTTCCTACCTGAGACACTTCACATTCATCTGCCCCAAACTATTGCTGAAGGCGAGGCTTTAAAAGCCACGTTCAGCTTGTGCTCTATAACGTCCAAGCGCAGGTATACCAGTTATTACGAATTGGCATTAGCTATTTATTTTAAATTGCATGTTTTTACAGAAAAACATGTCAGTTTTTTTACTTTTAGAGTAAGTAACGTTTTGATTTATACCAGTTGAAAATACAGGTTTTTTTGTGTACATTTCCATCAGTTAGGTATTTCTTAAGGGAACGGTCCAACACTGGTCTTGTTACTATATAACAATGTTGATGTTGAGTTTTATAACATTTTAATAGCAAGTGACAAATGGCATCTCAATTCAGTACCTGTCATGAAATCTACGATTTACATAATATTAATTTTTAACACTAACAAGTTTTCTTTCTTTAGTAATCAAGTGTTAAGTAATCTTTAGTAGTAAGTATAACCTTTCTTAGTAGTTCAAGTGTTAAATATTAGTTCAAATAAAATATTTATACCGCTATTTATTTTTAGGATAGAATTCTGCTCTATTTGTTTTCCACTTGATTTGGTTTCCACAATCTGCTTCCTGCCAGTGATAATTGGCAAATCGTCTCTCATTCCCACAACTTTCACCAAACACTGTTTGCAGACGCAGGAGACCCCCAGATGCACCTGAAGACCACTCTAACTCCAAGCTGCCCAACGGAGCCCCCGCCACGGACAATGAACTTCTAGACATTGTGTCTCCCATCCAAGTCATCATCACAGATTTTGACGCAGAGAACTCACTTGAGCTTGAGACCAAGCAATAATGCACTTAGTGATAGTCATAATAAATGCCACTTTTTACAAAATCTGACTGGTCATTGCCCTTTACAAGAGTGTGCTTGATATGGTTTCAATAACTCCCACTGGAGAATAAGGCTTCAACAACTGTCTTCAACCCCCCTACAGCAGAAAACTCTGCACTTCTTTCCAACTCCTTCCTATATATCTAGCTTCTCTTTCAACACTTTGCTTCAAACTCTCCCTTGGTCTTTATCTTCTTCACCTTGCAGGCTCCTCCAGTCCTTGATTTCTCAGGGCATGGTTTGGTTTCCTCCAACGTGTGGCCATTAATTTCCTCTCATCCTCTTTATTTTCTTATTTACAGGCAGCTAGTCCATACCTGACCACAAAGTATTCATGATTCTTCAAAGACTACGACAATAATAATTTAATGTCGTTCAAAGGTTTATTGCGGACATTTTCCATCACGAATGTAAAAAACAATACACAACGTTTCGGGATCTGGAATCTGATCCCGTCCTCGGGTGAAAAAAACTTAACTAACACATTACAACTAACAATACACAAACGCCCAACCTAAGTTGGAATACACTACAGACCCTACAGACAAGCCTTTTATAGATTACTAGCTGGCCCGACAGACGTCGTCCTGTCCTAACGTGGTTTTATGTCAAATGCTTGTTCATTTTCAAGATCCTGGTTGAAGTTCGTTCGCTATGCTCACTCACCTTTACGTTGGAGCTCATTCGCTGCGCTCACTTGCCTTCAGGTTAGCTCGTTCGCTACGCTAACTCGCCTCCAGGTTGAAGTTCATTCGCTACGCTCACTCACCTTTTAGTTGCAAATTAGCTGTTGTCATAAATAAAAAAAAAATAATCGTGCTGCACCCTGTTGGTAAACTTATTAACTTTTTAATGCTATTGAACATCACAGAATCAAATTGCTTAGTTGAACCAGCTGTTAAGATTCTTTAATTCCATTTAAATATGAGTACTCATAAGGTTAACATGGGAAACTCCAGAGCCACTGGGGCGGAGCCCTTTTGACGGATCTGCACCAAACTTCACACAAACCATCCTTGAATAATGCTTAATAATGCCTGAAAGTTTCATTACAATCTGTCAAGTGGTTTCGGAGTCCATAAAGGACAAACAAACAAACATACATACAAACAAACATACATACAAACATACATTGGATTTTATATATATAGATAGTGTTTTGTGATTTGTTATTATTTGCATGTTGTATCATGACTTGACTGCTATACAGTGCATATTTTTTGACTACTACCCTCTGTAGTGTATTACAACTTAGGTTGGGCGTTTGTGTATTGTTAGTTGTAATGTGTTAGTTAAGTTTTTTTCACCTGAGGACGGGATTAGATTCCAGATCCCGAAACGTTGTGTATTGTTTTTTACATTTGTGATGGAAAATGTCCGCAATAAACCTTTGAACAACATTAACTCAACATCATCAACAATGAACTTCAAACAAAGAATAATATTTTAAATCGGTGTGTCACTATCTTTAAAGTTTTCCATGATTCACACCTCACCTGAGTAGGAGAACTGATTAAATGTAAAGCCTCGACTAAGTTAGTCTAAACATTTTTGTAATTCTCTACAATGGGTACATTTGAACACAAGCTCATTTTAAAGTGCTAGGAATTGCTACCTTTCCATCTATGTAAACTAGCTAAATACAAAGTAGATTCTAGTGATTCATCAAGATTTTACAAGTCTGTAGATGCAGCTAATTATGAAAACACTTGGTCTGAAAGTGCTACTTGTAAATTGCTTGTTTATTCTTAAATTTTATATTTTTTTATTTTTAGTCATAAAGTTTAACAAAAAAGTACAATGCTATTAAAAATTCCCAAATGAATTTTTAATAGCAGCATTCTAACAACCCTACAAACTGATTGAGAATATTATTTATATTAAATTAAGATCTAAATGTAACAGGGTGTCTACCAGTTCACTAACAGTGAAATAGGGGAATTGTTGGTTGCCCAACATTTTTTATCGGTGGAATCCACAGTTTTTATTTTACAAAAAATGTTAAATATAGGTAGTAAAATATAAAATAAATCCTTAAACACAAATTGTCAATGCCGGCAATTAGTTGCTCGCTATGGTAACTGCACTAGGTTGTTTACAGTCTCTGACTAGTTCGTTTCATAAAAAGTAAGAGCGGTTCCCTGACTCCATTTACTCATCAGACTTGGATACGATAATAACTGGGAACGCACAATAATTTTAGGCCGGCATGATATACGCCGGTTGCCTGATTCAAAATTTAAACATGGATGAATACGAACAATAAAAAAACATTGACCTTGTCAAAAGACTGCTTCAAAATGAGTTTTTACAGTGCATTATCTTATCACTAACCAATTTGTTATTCTAACTTTTGATCCGCATTATATTGTCTAAATCCACAACCAATCAGATTTATCAAATATCCCAACCGTATTGTCTCTACGCGTACGCCTGTGTTTTCCATCCAGATACTAATTTTTCGATGACAGTAAAAGAAGTAAAATAGGAAAATTCTTAGTCTGAAAATATATGACGTTCGACTTCCGTGGCCCCCTACAGTGCATTATGCAACATTTCGGGGACTTCCGTTACTTCGGTGACCGGTAGATGCCCTGTATAAACTTCTTTTTTCCAAAAAAAGTATTTACATACAAATTAAAAATAGTAATGGAGATTCATTTAGTAAGGTATGCACGTTTGTTGCAACAAAGTTAAATTACGCATAATTCAGGGAAACTCCTGCTGAAAGAGTGCTGCCTTTAGAGCAGCTACAAACATCTCCTAATCTTAAGTTTAATCCATACATCCAAATTACTTCAAAACTTCTAATGGCTACAGGTCGTTACAACATAAGAACCAAGTAGTTATAATGTTTTATTGAACCTCAACAATTCAGCGTAAATTATTTACAGCTTAAAAAAAAATCAAAATTTTAAAACTCAACACATTGAGTAAAATGAACACACAATTCAATGAGGGCTACTAACCGATATCACAAACTCAATAATTCGTTACATGAACAATTATTTTTAAAACATTACAATGATTACTAATTTAAAATTAACATGACCGAGATTAACTACAATCACAGAATGCTCCTAATGACTAGTTAATTTAAATCAAATTCCTTTCTTACTAAACGAGGCATTACATAACTAAAATGTATTATATATATTTATTTTATGAAAAATATCAAAAAACAAAGAAGACATGAACATAGAGGATAAAATCTAGTTAGGAAAATTAAATTCTGATTCAAGATGTAAAAAAGATAAAATAACATAGCCATGGTCGGGAGAATAAGACTTAAAGCTGCAAGTCTTACTGTATTGAGACTTCAGAGTCTTAATTAACAAAGTTATTTGTTTTATCTTATAAAATTGTAATTTTGTTGCTATATCTTTCCTTGTGACAAGTAAACATAGTTTATAATAATACAGAAATAACTAAGGACATATATTGCAAGAATCAAAAAACAGTTTTTAGGAAAGTTATTATCCCACACGCTCATTTTTTTAACTTATTTTGTATATCCAATGTGGAATTTATTTAATATTTGTTTCACTTAATGGTTATTGAAAAAAAAACACATTAACTATGTATTCACAAAACAATGATAATGGCATGAAAATGTACCTAATGTTAAAGAAAACATAACTTTTATAAAAACATATAAAAGAAAAATTTATTTTTTCAAATCCTACAAGTAATTTTATTTTCATACAACAAATATTTAGTAACCGAGTATGTTGTTCACAAGTAATATCCTTAACCCATTTGCACCGTCTTATTTATTTACCAAAAATTCCAGTATCACTGAAACATTAAAAATAAAAAGATATACATTTGACTATTTTAATGATGATTTATAGTATTTTATAGCTGAAAATAATAATAAAATTTAGATTTTTTATTATTTTGACAATTAGGATTAGGATATGTTTACACTATTTTTTGTATTTCTAAAAAAAATAGGTGCATATACTTGCCTGAAAAATATTAATACTATTTTTTTATTGTTATATAGTATTCTATAGCTCTGACAATAATATAAAACATATAATGTATATAAAATTTTGTATATTATATGTACATGTATATGTATTTAGGACACGTTTACACTTTTTTTCATATTTTTATTAAAAATAATTAAATAGCTGCCTGTATTACGTAAATATGAAATCATTCAAGGAACATAATATTTTGATGAACAAATTTAAATATTATATGTATATATTGTACGTATAAATGGTTTATTTGAAGAAAAATCAAATTTTCAAATTCAATGGCTGACGCCATTGAATTTGCCAGCCATTTGTCAGCCATTTTTTTTTATATGTTTTCCGATGCAAATGGGTTAATATGTAGTTGAAATAGGTGTAACTGTACCTTATAGACAAACATGTTCAATTACAATACAGGTATATAAAATATATACTTAATATATATGTATTTGCTTTACTTTAAATATATTCACTATTCAAAAGTATACAATATCTTTCATCCTCCAAAGATGGAGAAGTTGATAGACTTACCATACAAATTAAAAACATAATAACGAATAAGCAACGGAATGTATTGTAGGTGGGATTTCTACATTGCAGACAAGTCTCAAAGACAAAATATTTACTCTATTCTTGTTGCATCAGTCAGTATCAAGGAAAATCTGATAATCTTGAAATCTACAAAATTTGCAGGGATTAACCACAAACAATCAAATTAAAGCTTTAAACATGGACAAAAGTTGCTGGATACATAGATAAACGTTGCAAAGGATTAAAACATAACAAAATAACTAAAATGAGTTACCTAACGTAAAAATTCACTTATGGAGCTATAAAAGCAAAATAAGTAGATTTATTCACAGCACCGATGCAAATGATGAGACCTAAGAGTTTAACTTTCTTCTATACCATGAGCGAAGATCATCACCAGACCAGGTTCAGCCATCATGTCTTCATTTATGTGAAGATTGTCACACTGAAGAACTACGACTGCCTGAAAACATCGGGTATGGGTGAATATGTAATTTAAAACTAATTATGATGTTTTCACCAGAAACAATATAAGTGTCCATTAGTGTAATAACTAGAGCCAGTATTTACCAATATGTTTTTTTAGAGTCAAAAGTACTACTTAGTCTCGTTGATGTAATTAAGGGTGGAATATGTAGCCTACAAATGTTTTATATTTTACAAACCTAAATAACTTAGTATTTAACCATAAGTAATGCACCTTTCCCTAGAATTTTGTACTTTCGCAATTCATCAATCTATCTATATATTAATAGGCAAGCATGATTCTTTAAAACCTTTTTTCTCAGCTCGTGTGCATCACAGGGAAAATCTACGCATGCTGTCAGAAAGATATTTTCCTGTAGATGTGCAGAATTTCTTTAAAAACTCAAATAGGCTCAAATATAAGCACAAAAAATTAATTTGAAATTTAAAAAAATTAACATGGGCTTTACGGGTTGTCATGCTGGTGACGCATATATAGCTAACTAAATAATTTCAACCACGTTCTAACCCATTCTTGACTGTATAGAGTTGCTGATGAGCTGATGTGCCAGCACAAACAATCCTGGGGTATATGTATTTTAAACTTGACCACGTACCACCACAGTCGTCTCTGCATACCATAGGTTGAGAAACACTGAATTAAAGGACAAACTATCCCATTTTGATGAAAATACAAATGTGTAAACCTAAGTTTTTTTTAACAAGTTCGCTAACCAGCATAATTGGACCATGGGAACAAGGTTTTATAAGGATAAAAATAGGGTTTTCCCATTTTTTACCCTTAAAACATAAAACCTTGCAATTTTTTGCAATGACAAACCTTGATTGTCATTGCTGTATTTATTTGTTGATTCAGTTATTTTCCATAGCGACGATGACGATATGAATGTTTTAGTTTTGTGTCATAGACGATGTGCTGTAGCGTCGATGGGAAAGTGAAATTGAAATTATTACGTCGTGGGAAACTAATGATGATTTAAGTAACCTTATGAACATTTTGACCTCAGTCACAAACGTCATTATATACAGTCTATCCGGGAATGTCGGATATTTAACGGATAGTGTCAGATACCAAATTTGGGCTTGGGGAAATTTTGGATATCCGCACACCTCTACTTATTAATCTACTTTTATATCACGACAGATACACTGGTAGGCCTACTCTCCCTCACTTACTTGTTTGCCAGGGATCCTCTTACACACGTAGTTCTCGTATTGCCGTCGGTTGTTTTGCCGAGTCTCCAGTGAGTTGAGTCCCGACGGCCAGCTTCGCTCGTGACAGTTGTCCATCAAGTCGTCTATGATGTGTGTCGGACAACCAGACTCATTCAGCGATCTCCTGATCATTGCCTGTAATGCCATAATGTGTTAGCATTCCAAATTTTAAAGTTGGTACCTTTGACATGGAAATAATTTCATGGTTTCTTACCAATCATTATTATTATTCTTACAAATTTAGGCCTATTACATTTTATGTCTTTTAGCGAATTTCCCATAGAGGGAATAAGCTTTTACCGTAGATCTCATGGTAAGCCTCACTCGGGACCGATTTACTTTTTGTAGTTTTGATGTCCCCAGAGGCCAAAAACACAATACGTTCAGATTCATATATGTCCGTTAGCATGATAGCTCAAGCAAAAATCATCAGATTTGAATGAAACTTGGTACACACGTAAAAGCAGCTGACAAAGCTAGTAAAAACAAACCACCAAAGAAGAAGGAAAAAGAGTCAAAATATGACAAAATTTTTATGTTGTTCTGTAGAACCAAATTTTGTAAACAAAAAATAATATAAAGGCCTATATATATTACATTTATATATAGCAAATTATATATATATGATTTGGTGGAATAGCAGTTTAAGTTTAAATTGAACTCTCTTTCCACTAAGCTACCCTGATTTTCAAATACTAACAAAAGTTTTGGGAAAATGTATAGAAATAAAACTACAGTAGAACCTCGCTTTTATCAGAGGAACGTGTTTATTGACATAAAAAAATAGTAAAGCTGCGTTTTGAACAGACCACAGATAGGTAACTGAAAACTTCGGTTAATTTAACATGATATAAAACAGTAATTTCTAACTCAATCATAAACAACACCTAATAATGTATAAATGGACTTAAATGTGATAAATTGCATATTAAATTATCAAAATACAATTAGTAGGCTATTGCCAATCATGATAATTATGTTAAGTCATTAACCTTGGTTCAGTAATAAAAACTTTAACGTTTAAAACCACAGCTTTCTCAAAATTTTAATCAAACAAATAAATTGCCAAACATTGTGTAGCAAAATCAGCGTGCCTAGTTTATTTCCAGACAAATTCCAGACTTTTCTAGACAAATTCCAGATTTATTAAGACTAGTTTTTTCAACAATTGTTGACCAGACATCGTGTGTTGATACCGGAATGTATCGATTCTCAATTCTTGATACCAATACAAATTTTTATAATTGAACCAACACCAACCCCTGTCTTTATGTCATTAAGTATTATTAACAAAACGTTTTTTCAAAATGTTTTCAATTTAGATTTTTTGGATGATAAAAATCTTCCACGACCAAGTAGACATCATTGATTGCCGCGGTCACAGGAACGTCATCGTCGTCTCCCGTGGTCTTGGAAACGTCATCATCGTCATCCGCGATCACGGCAAAATCATGATCATTTCACACGGCCGTGTAGACATCATCGTCGTCTCCCTCGATCTCGGAAACGTCATCATCGTCTCCTGCGGTCTCCAAAACGTCATCATCGCCTCCCGCGGTCATCGTCGTCGTCCGCGATCACGACAAAACATTTCCGGTGGCCGTGTAGAAATCATCGTCGTCTCCCGCGGTCTCGAAAACGTCATCTTCGTCAACCGCGATACATTTCCCGAGACCGTGTAGACATCATCATCGACTCCCGCGGTAACGGTAACGTCATCATCGTCGTCCGCAATCGAGGCTAAATCATGAACATTTCCCGCGGCCGTTTATTCATCATCGTCGTCTCCTTCGGTCAAGGAAATGTCATCGTCGTCGTCCGCAATAGAGGCAAAATCATGAACATTTCCCGCGGCCGTTTATTCATCATCGTCGTCTCCCTCGGTCACAGAAACGTCATTGTCGTCTACCGCGGTCAAGGAAACGCCACCGTCGTCGTCCGCAATCGCAGCAAAATAATATATATTTCCCGCGGCCGTGTACACATCATCTGACTCCCGCAGCCACAGAAACGTCATCGTCATCGTCCGCGATCACGGCAAAATCATGAAAATTCCCGACTTTGTTATCAAAATTAAGACTAAATCCCGACTTTTCAAGACCATTTTGAAATTCAATACTAATTCCTAACTTTCCCGTTTTTCTAGAAAACCTGAAAATAAAAAACAGAACAATAGAAAGTCTAGCCCTCCACACAACAGCTTCCCGAAAACAGGCGGGTTTGCAAACCCTTTGTTTTGTTGAATCTAAAGCCGTACAAGCGCTAGAATCGGGTCGCTATCTTTACTCTACGTTCTGGGGGATTGCTAGGCTTCATGACAAAACTACATGACGGCCGTTTCCTCCTGGTCTGTGACTAAAAATCAGAGCATCTCTTAGTTTGCGCTGTCGTCTTTTGTTATGGTTATGGTTACGTGAGTTGTTGTGTGTTTGTTTTGGGTTATGTGTACAAAATGAGTGATGATTTGCGATTTAGTGAAATTAGGGATTTATTAAACGAAGAAATAAGTGATATACATGATGACAATGTTGAAGATGACTTCGATTTGATTTAGGTTTACCGCCTCAGAATATTGATTCAGACTCAGAATCCTTACTGGACTTTTCAAGTGGAAGTGGGGAAGAATACATTCCTGATTACGATAATTTGGACACAAGTGATAGGGAGGAAGATGTTGATGATCCAGGGGAGCCTGAAGTACCTGTAATGTGCCTAGTAATGATGTACCTAGCAGTAGTAGGCCTAGGCCTAGGCCTAAAAAGAAAAAAAGTTCCTCCAAATTTGCTCTGGATTTGAGTTCCACCAGAACCTGAAAAGAAGAACAATTCAAAATTTACTAGGAGGAACACTGGCATTCAAAATCTCCTGCCTAGAAATAGTAGCTGTATTAAATGCTTCTATCTTTTCTTTACCCAGGCTATCTGGAATATAATTAGTCAGTGTACAAATGCAGATGGCGGGTTATGGCCTGTCAGGGATTAGATAGGTCCCGTGTGTTGCTTGCACTATGTTGCGTTCAGGGACTCCATCATGGTCTGTCGGGGTTTCGGCCCTGGGGGAACCCAGTTGGAGGGACGTAAAACCAAGTAACCGGTATCCCTGGTTAGGATTGAGGGGCAACCCTCTTCCGAAGGGTTGCTTCGGCAGCCGGTGAGCCTGATGACCTTAAGTCATCCACCCATGGTGTGCCTAAGGTTGGTTCGTATGCTCCGGCCTACACCATGGGGCCTGGGTATGTTTAATTATAGGTACCGGGTTGAAGTCGAGGGGTTCTGGCTCTGTCACAAAATGAAATGAAGTGTACAAATGCGTCGGCAAAGAAAACGCTTGAAAGACAAAACTTGTCCCCACAATCGAGAATAAAAATTTGGACTGACTGTACTGTTGCAGACATAAAGAAGTTTTTTGGTTTATTCATAAACATGGGGATTTGGAAAATTAAGAATATAACAGGCTACTGGGATACAAGAGAATCTCAGTCACATCCATTTTTTGCTAAGACGATGAGCTACAACAAGTTTGTGGAACCTCCAACTTGGACAATGGACACCCAAGAGGCCATCCAGAATTCGACCACTGGTTCAAGGTAAGATATCTGTTAGACCATTTAAAAAAATCTTTCACAAAATATTTTGTTCCGGGACAGAATGTATGCTTCGACAAGAGCCTTATAGGCATGTAAAACCGTTGTGCCTACATACAATATGTTCCTATGAAAAAACACAAGCAGTTTGGCATTAAAAAAATTGAAACCTGTGATTCTGCTACACACTATGTCTTACACCTTGAAATGTACAGTGGCACAGATTTCTCGATTGATAAACCAGGGCCATTCGTACAAATATTTGTGTGAGGTGATGGAGAAAAGAGGTCTCCTCGAAAAAGGCCATCATCTGTTCACCGACCAATTTTACACCAAAGTACCTCTAGCATTGAAGTTGCATGAAAGGAACATCACTGGAACTATAAACAAGAATTCTCAGTTCCTTGCAACAACACTAAGCAATACTGAATTAGATGCTGGACAAACTCTTTACTTCAGGCACAAAGACGTCCTTCTCATTTCATTCAAGCAGAACGCTTCAAGAAAATTGGTTTTTGCCCTGACCACTGCTTGCCATGCAGAGGACAAACTTGTCCAGAGGGGGACACTCCGCACCAAAAGCAGCAAGTGCTGAACAAATCAAATAGAGTATGTGCTGTACGCAGCAGAAAGGCAACATATTGGTGTCCAGGCTGCAATGTAGGCAACACAAGGAGTGCTTTCATCAACTTCAGCACTATTGGAGGCATTTACAAGCCAAAAAGAAGAAGAAAGTGTCGGAACTCCAGTAGGCCTAAATGAACCCCAGACAGTGCGGTTTTAAGTTTTAAGGTTTTAAGTAATATAGTTGTTTAATTTTTTTCTTCTGTAATTTGTAAAGTAACCCCTATAGTGTATATTTTCTTGTTTGTAAGTGAACAATGAACAAAATGTATATCTTGGATTTTTAAGTTAGTGTACATTGAGTTTTTTACATAGGGGGACACCAAGTGTATATTTAAATGTTTGGGCAACTTTTGGATTCGGGCCCATACCAGAGACCTGATAAATAAGGTAAGGATATCAAATATGTATTTTTTAGATAGGCCAGTTTGTCTAGTTTTAGAACATGTGCAACATTATACATGTCAGTCAATTTGTAAACATTTTATTTAATTTTAACTAAAACTTTGCAAAATCACTGAAAATCGCTGGACCTTTTGGGGTCCTGTAATGGACCCTTGGAGGGCTAGTAAGCTACTGCTAGTCATAGGCTATTGCTACGCTGTTTCAGGATAGAAGAATGTCGATAAAAACATTAGATAACGCATAAAAAAGTATAAAATAATAGTTGCCTACTTATAGATGATAACAACAGTCGTCAATCAGGGTGTCCACCAGGCCAACCAGAAAAAATTCATGAGTAATTCATGAGTAAAAAAAAAAAATTCCAGGTAGTTCAGGTCGTACTTTTTATACTAAAATTTCCAACGTGTTTTGCCCCAACTCCCGCAATGCTGTTTTAGCGCGAACACAGCTCGCTATTTTAGTTATCCGAAAGAGCATTCTCAGTTAAGGAAAAAAATTATGATTGCTGAGATATTGCCTAACACATTTTTTCAATTTTTATATATTACTGATTAAATAATCCAAAAATTAAAAACTAATCCTTAAACCTGCAATTTATTAATAACTTCTTAAAAATATTAATATGTCTATACCAAAATTTATCGCATTTCTCTACAGACACCTGAAAAAAAGATTCTTAATACTGATAATTGCAATTTTACCAAATTTTCTGAAGGATTACTACACCAACCCCTGGCTTTAAGTACTTTCATATAGTATAATTTTGGAGTAATGGGTTGTTTTCCAAGTGGCCTACAGAAATAATAATGCAGAAATTACAAAAATTGCACGTAGCCAATTTATGTTTTAAACCCTTCTAAACACATTAAATAAATACCACATTAAAGGTAAATGAAGATATTTCTCCCTCGATCACAGTAAAGTTATCATAATCTTCCTCGATCGTAGCTTAATTCAAATAATTTTCCGTGGTCATCATCGTCAAGCAATATTTTTGGACATCATCATCCTTTCCTGAAGTCACGGAAACGTCATCGTTGTCTTCCGCGGTCACGAAAACGTCATCGTCGTCTCCCGCGATCACGGATACGTCATCGTCGTCTCCTGCGGTCACGGAAACGCCATGGTTGTTTCCCGCGGTCACGGAAATGTCATCGTCGTCTCCCGCAGTCACGGAAACGTCGTCATCGTCTCCCGCAGTTACGGAAACGTCGTCGTCGTCTCCCGCGGTCACGGAAACGTCATCGTCATCTTCCGCGATCACGGATACGTCATCGTCGTCTCCCGCGGTCGCGGATACGTCAACGTCGTCATGCGCGATCGTGGCAAAAATTTCCCAGTTAAATACAAAATTCACGCATAATTCCCGGTTTTCCCGGTCGGTGGACACCCTGTAAATACACCGATAAAGATAACAATGACATAAAAAGATTGCTTATTATTCTTCCTCTTTGTTCTTATATTCTTTCTATTCTCTTCAACCACCCATTCAACAAGTTGTCATGGTTACCAAATACCCAATCACAAAATGTTGTGACATAGCAAGCGAACTTCAAACGGATGTGTTGATGTGTAGGCCTTAAGGAGCAAACAATTAATTGTCAGTGCAAACAGATAGCTTGGCCTTGAAGCTTTGTTCAACATGTCTTTGTTTTGCTTCTGTTTACTTTTTTTCAAATCAACTTTGATTTTTCAAAAACAATAATTTGTGAGCCTACTGCATATAATGGGCAGAAATAGTTAAATTTTAAAAAAATTCAATACATTAGACTAAATAAACACAATTTTTAAAATTTTCTAGGTATTTTTCTTAGACAATGTGGTTCCTATTTTGACGGCGGAACAGTCGGACCAAGCGAGGAGTCGTACCATCCGAGGTCAGATTAGCGAGTTTCTACTGTTTAGTTCAATGCAGATCTTGGATGTATGATGGAATCTATTTAGACTAGGCGTATAGAAAATATTCTTTATAAAAAGTGTTCATGAAGAACAGTTAAAGTGTAACGATAAGTCAACATGTTGATGTTATTCACATACTTTTTACAAACCTCAGAAAATCAATAGTTTTTTTTACAAGTCGTGTTGCTAGGGTACACTCGAGATATTTCAGTATATGAAGGTCTCTCTAGCAGCCAATGAGTTTGTTCTTGAATCAGATTGGGATAGTTTCCTGCTTTATGTATTAGGACTAGGAGAAAGGTGAGAATATCTTTTTTAGGATGGTTTTCTTTTAGTGAGTGTTTGCAAGAGTGAAATATTATGCATATCTGGTGTTGTGTTAGTGTAAGCTAGAATGTGAGATTTAGTTTGTTGCAGAGACTTACTTGCAGCATGTCATCAGGTGTAGAGATCATGCCACCCCAGCGGGTGACTCTCGCTCGAGTGAGAGAGTTGGACCATCTCACTACCTCGTCTCTCTCCATCTCCTCCGCCAACGCTCTCATTGTCGGGTTGTGGACTCGCATTGCTCTCATGAAATCCTGTTTCAACAATACAAAACAAATAAATTGGCTACTTGCCATTGAAGCCTTCACTCTTTGCTAAAACTATTAGTGATGAGACAAAATTTTAACGGCAAACTTTACACAAATTCCAGTTTTTTTATAAGGAGAATGAAGGGACTATCAATAATAGCAATAATTACATTGAGTAGATAAAACATCTAAGACTGTTAGATACTAAAACTGTGAACCATAGATACAAATAGCCTCTCCTTACAACTAAAAACAATACTTTCTCCATATACTATGGTATAGGGGGAGAAAGTAAAAACATGAACAGAGTAATTTAAGGAGAATATTTTAATTACAAAAACAAGTTTTCTAATATTAGTAATATTTAGCCATTAGAGTGGCTTTTAAATGTGGCTCACTTAGTCTATATGGTCAGCCAGGTTTTGCCAGTGTTCCCACGAAAATATTTATCTTAAGTGAATTCCCTGACCGAGTTTTGTTAATTTCCCTGACCACGGCATATTATAGGTACCGTGCTATGAGTTTTCTTAATATTTAGGTATAAGTTAAGTTTTTATAGCTTAAATACAACTTGTTTTATTTAATACGACCTCCACCATCCCCATAGCCACCATTACACCTCATTTTAGTGAATTTACCATAGGGAATAAGCTATTACCACAGTTCTCATGATAAGACCTAGACCACCGACCGATTTACTTTTTTTGTTTTGACAAATTTGTTTATTTCATATTAAGCTATCAAGATTTTAATAAAAAGCACTCTGTAGCCTACTATATTTTCTATAGCAACAAACCTATGTACGAGTACTTGTTAAAATTAATCTTATTCGAATAGGAAATAATTTTAAAGGAATATTTTTAAAATCCAATATTGGGATCTATCTATCTATATATTAATAGGCAAGCATGTTTCTTTAAAACCTTTTTTCTCAGCTCGTGTGAATCGTAGGGAAAATCTACGCATACCGTTGGAAAGCTATTTTCCTGTAGGTGTGCAGAATCCCTTTATCAATTTAAATAGGCTCAAAGATAAGCACAAAAAATGAGTTTAAAAATTTGAAAAAATTAACATTGATCTTATGCGTTGCTATGCTGGTTACGAAATAACAACGAAATATAAACAGAAAATCAAAACAAATGGAGGAAACTCCAATCACATGTTTTATTTACAAGTGTGGGGTGAAAATAGATAAGTGAGTACATTACATATTTTTGGTCGAGTTTCGACCACTGGACGACCTCTCGTATTTATTAATACAATACCAAATAAGAAATAAAATTCTAAATACTTACAGCCCTAAATAAAAAAAAAAAATGGGAATAAATATTACATACACACCACAGATTTGTCATAACTTAGTAATCTTTTCAGCAACTATCTCATTTCAATATAACATAATCATCCAAAAAATTAATGTGATCTATAGAAGTTTTTTGTAAATTTCCCTGACTTCATAGATAAACAAAATAATAACACATCATCATTCACAATATTTAACTAATCTTTAGAATTAGAGAATTGTTTTTGATTTTTGATCCAAACTTTGGGATATGTCCCCGTTATTCAGGATCTGTGGTTTTCAGATGAGAATCATGTGATATGATTCCGATCAAGGAAGACAGACTTCTGTGAAGATTACGCAATTGAAAATTAATTGTCGACTTTACTGTTGAATAAAAATATTGACAAAATATGTTTACTATATAGCTAAAATGGTTATCAAATAAAAAATCACAATGTTTTGTGAAACGACAAATCCTTCACACCAATGGTACTGAGGAGTTTTGAGGAACCGAGAATTGTAGCTATCCCATCCCTACTAATTATCAATTGGAGTTAAGAAGCCATAAGAGTAACCAGGCAAATACAGATTTTGCAACTTGAGTTTTGAGGTTTGATTTTTCAGTTGTAGTCTCAAGATTCGTTATTTCTGGTTTTGACCATCTCTAAACTGCACCCTACTAAGTTGGATGGCATACATGAAAGTATGAAACTAATGTCATACATAGGTTACTACAGAACAATAGATAGCCTAAGTTTCCATCTTCCAATAAAGTATTGTAAGTGATGTACCTTAAGTAAGTGAATTTCTCTTTTTTGCTGGTTCAGCTGAAATTTGTAATCCGCAATTTCTTTTTGAAAGTCTGTCATTTTCTGCTGCTGAGAATGGATTAGGGATCGTAGCTCCTTAACACAGTTGTGATCCTGCATCAATAAATTGATGTTAGCAGCAAAAAAATGTATTGTCAGAATAAATTATGTAATTTCAAGTGAATCTGTTTGCAATATTTATAATATGTCAACAATCTGTTTAAAAGTAACTTAAAATTCAACAGAAAATAAATTCATCTCTTAAACAATACCTTGACAAAGTTTATAGATTTACTGGTGCTAAAGAATAACATAAATCTAATCAAATCTTTAATCAGTAAATAACATGCGTTACATGAGATAAAACTATAAGGTAATCACCATAACAATAACTCAAAAACATGACTAGGCCTACAGCATTTTAATGTCATCAAACAATCTATTCAAAGGTTTCAGACAACAAATATCATCAGTTCAACAATCACACTTGGCAAGGAATTAATTTGGAAACTAAGTTATAAAACTACTTATAAATAAATAAATAAAAACTTGACTGTGTATGATTTTAAACAAGCAGGAACATAAATCAAGCATACCTCCATTATAAAACCAGGCAATAGTTGTAATTGTAAAACATAGCTGATCTTCAGTAGGATACAGCCAGAAAAATCTAATATTATAAATTCTTTGGAAGATTAAAAATTATCACTTAGAAAAATCTGTTGAAACTTAATAAACTTATATCTGGAATAAGATTGTACTCAGAAGAGTAACTAATTAATATTGTATCCTTAGCCTAATGCTAAACAATGTAACTTCACTCATAGGGTCCTATTATTGAAATGTTTGACAGTTGAGTCAATCGTCAACACTCAACTCAACCAACAACATGATTTGGTATTTTTGAAATCCAACAGTTGAGAAGTGAGCTCTTATAGTCCTCGCCACCCAAACTTGAGGCAGCACAAGGCCGCACGCCGTATATCTAGTGCGGCCTTTGGCTGCCTCAAGTTAGGGTGGCGAGGACTATAGTCAATAGCTGAGTCACTCGTTGGGAAATGAAAGCGGCAACATCGCACGAAATACAGATGACATCATTTTGAACCAACCACAGTGCAGAATGGCTTGCAAGCTTCGATTTAACATCTCACTCAAAATTCTGCATCCTTTTCTCAGCTAATCTCAATCTGCCATATTTCGAGAAACTGAGATAAACTGTCAGCTCCGTCCGTGAGGAATTGAGGTTATGTCTTAATCATAGTGATTGCAAAAGTACCTTGTTTAAGTTTTAGAAATAAAATTAACTATGGACTGGGGGCTTGTTTTAGGCTATAGCTCTTTCTATCTAGGTATACCCGTAGTAAATTAATTTCTTTCTTCGTCTCTATTTAAGAACAAATAACCTTACTTTAGTTGCCTTCATTGTTTTGTTTCACGTTATTTTAATTGTGTTTTAAGTTAAAGCTTAAATGGATATTATTTGCCATTGCACTGAAAGCATACAGTAACTTAAATACACTTGATCCCTTTATTAGGTGAATTGTGGCATTGAAACAAACAAACTATGGTATTGTTTCCCTTTACCACAATCTTTAATAAATAATAATAGTCTATTTCAAAGTATTGCAACATCCCAAAAAGGATAAAACCCTTGATTTGATAGTCTAGAAACGACACAGTAAATAAAAATGCAATTTATTCTACAGAAAACAATTAAATAAAGTATTGGGTGCAATGACAAAGACAACAAATACCTAACCTCTAATCACAATTTAACAACTAAACAAAGCAATAACAACATGGCTGACTTAAATAGAGCAATTTTAGAGAGAAAGAACAAAGTGCAGTCAACCGTCCACTCAACAGCTCAATAGGTGGAGAGTAGTTTTGGTTGAATAAGTCAACTGTCAATCGTTTGAAAAATACGAAACAATAAGAGAGTGAGTGACTCAACAGTCAATCATTTAAAAAATGGGGCCCATAGAGTTAGGTAGTTTGAGGATTAGGCTACCTTCAATTCATCCATAGGTATGATTAGACCACAGCCCTGTTCACAAGGCACCGGTCGTTTGGGGTTGTGCTCACACTCCTCTAGATGGGCAGGAAGTGAGTCTAGCTTCAACACAGCCTCACATCCATACTGAGAGTTGTCACAGCTAATACACAGCCTGAGAACATGACATCAATTATTAGAGTCTTTAACTCTAGACATTACAAATATGTTATACAGCTAGAATGTAGGCTAATGTCAAAGGAAAAAATTAAAACTATGTCCATAACTCCCCTTTTTTATAGTTATTATTTACAACTTACCGAGAAAGAAGATTACGAAGGATACGAGGCACTGGTCTAAGCTGTGCAGATGTGATTGCTTGCCTATCAACAGGACACGTTGGTTGTCTGGATATCCATTCATGAATACAACTTCGGCAGAATGCATGTTCACACAGTGGAGCCTGAAAATAACTTGTGTTCATAATTATCGCAACTTGAAAAATAGCCTAATCTTAAATGTATAGTATAGGCTAACTTATCAATTAAGTTAAGTTAAGTCTTCTTGATTTTTTGATTACAACGAACTATAAGCTTATGGGACATTAAGTTACTTTACAATAAGTCAATTTACAACTTCCTAGTCCCATTTTGATAATTGACTGATAATTTATAAATATCAAAGAAACTTTCTCTGAACCATCTAAAGATCCTACAATTGCTTAGGCTAACTTAAAATGACATTTTGAGCAAAAGATGCTAGAGAATTATGAGCAGAATAGTTACCGGTATCAAAAATGTATAGCCTTGCCAATAATCTAACAAAGTAAAAAACCCTTGCTAAGCTTATTGTGAAAACAAATAGGTGGCGCTAAGGCCCCTTCTTAGCCTTCCAGAGGTCCCATCACAGAAGTAACCTCCAGGGATGTTTTATTTTATGCAATTATATTATTTTGAGTGTTGTCGGCAGTGTGAGTGTTACTGTACCTCACGCACCTCATTCCTAGAATCGAGTGAAGGTCAAAACTCACCCCTACTATTTTATATTTTTTAGTTTTGTAAGAGGCTGGAAGTAGCTTCCTTGTGCGCCCTGCCGATTCTTGTACAGCCTGGAGGCAACTTCCGTGTGCAACCTCTAGTTTAGTGTGTGGGTTGATTTATTGCATGTAGGCCTAAATAATATTTTTTTTACGATGCATGACATTATTTAGTAAATAGCCTATATAGTTTTTACAAGATGAGTGAAGAGGTCAAATGTTGAATTGCAACACTCTTAGCCAGTGCTGAAAGGGAGATTCACAAACGACGTAGGTATGTACAGAGTCATTTAGTATTAAGATACCCACTAAGTTAAATTACTTCAAACATCAGGTATTGTGAGTGTTATCATCTAGAACCACATTATATTACATTGTGGTAAAATTTAAATGAACTTCTTGTAAAAGATTTCTTCATATACTTTGATGTTACAACATTTAATAGAATAAGAATAGTTTAATTTTATATTTATATACCTAATCTAATTAAGTTATTTTATAATTAAGAGTTCACTAAACACTTTTTTGATGTTTAAACTTAAAAATTAACTTAATTTGTGCACCAAAATACACGTTTTATATACGTTTTGAAAACCAATGCGCCCTCTGAAAGGTTAACTTATGTGAGCGAAAAGAGCAGAACGATGGGAGCGACTACATTTCAAACCAAACTATAGGCCTAAGCATAGGAGCTTCCTTACTTAATGGGCAATAGTATCAATAGGCCTACTTTGGCAGCATGCATTACGAGCGTATTTTGAAAATTCAAACCATTTGACAATTTGTATCTTGCCACTGTTTTCGCTCATAAAGAGTTGGTCGTGTCGCTAACAACGCTCGAACATAGAAGTCTCGGCCAGACAGCGCGAGCGTTCTCAGCGGCATTGACGGTTAGTTTTATTTGTGTTCAGTAGCTTTTGTTCTACCACGTGCATTCATCATGTCTGAGGAAGAATTAATTTCTTCAATGCAATGGTAGCCTATCCTTCATTATGGGACGTATCTGACAGATAGCCTAGACCATCAAAACTAGCTAATGAAAAAAAAGGTCAAAGATCGCAGAAGAATGGAATGGAAATGGTAGGCCCTAAGTACTTTCCCAATATCACATGTCTAACGTGGGATTGGCTAGCCTATATTGTGTTTAAACATCAGTTAGGCTAACTTACCAAGTTATTCAACTTAACTATTTGGTTCCGGAAAACCAAACAAAAATGTATAGACCTATAACTTAAGTTAGGTCCAGATAACAAAGAAGGAAATGGCGATATTAAAATGCGCTTGTTGCTTGTAGCGCCAGTCCACGTAGCTTAGGACACCAAAATCTACAACATTCTGGTGATTCAAGCGTTCCACTAGCGTCGCTACTGTTGCTCACATAGGAAGGGGCCCAAATACTGTACAAGGCCTCATCTTCAGCATTCTCATTTTAGCGAATTTCCCTATAGGGAAGTAGCTATTACCGTAGGTGGCACGGTAAGACCTAGACCCGGGACCGATTTACTTTTTCATTTTGATGTCCCCAGAGGCCAAAAACACTATTCGTTCAAATTTTTATATATGTATATATATATATAGACTTATATATATATATACGTCCGTGAACGCGATAACTTGAGTAATTTTTGTCCGATTTTGATGAAATTTGGTTTAAAGGTGTAAAGCGGGATAAACTTGAATGAGTTCGCGAACCAGCACGATCGGACCATGGGAACGGGGCTTTATGGGGGGTTTTATGGGGTAAAAATTGGTTTTTCTCACTTTTTACCCTCAAAACACAAAATTTCCCAATTTCTCTTTAGACCTTTTTAAAGAGCTTAAAAAAACAAATAATTTAGTATATAAAAGTATTTTTGTTCGATTATTAGTAACGGAGAAAATTAAAAAAATTGTAAATTTAAAATTCCTATGTTATTCTTATGGAGAATATTGTCAAATGTTGTAGTTTGCTTGTTTATGAATATATTTTGATCAAACTTGGCAAATTTATTTATTTTGTACTAAGCTATCAATATTTTACTCAAAAACACACTTTATTAGTTTCCTTGTAGCAGCAAACCTAGGTACTCGTTAAACCTAATGTGCTAATGTGCTGCCTAAGGATGCTAATGTTATTAAAATATATTTAACTGAAAATCAATTCAGACAAATGGAAATTCGCTTAGTCGGCAGGTTTGCTGCGGCGGGGGTATTTTTATTAGATGTGGCACAACCGATATCCTATGTCGCCAGAAGATTGTACTTAGACCAGGCTAATCTAGGTCAAGTGAATTGTAAAACCATCACAATAACCTTTTGTATAACATATCCTAGGTCCACACATTGTTACGAACAATATATAGGCTACTTGCCCAAAATATTTCACAGACAAGACGAAACCTTTTTTATTGGGCCAGGCCTACTACCGCAAACAAATTAAACTTATCCTAGTCAGGCCAAGGTCTTAAGTTACTCCAACAATAACAATAATTTAGTAAATGGGCTGATTAACTATAGGCCTAATAAGGAGGTAGGCATACAAGTTCAAAATTTACTTACCTGAAGTGGATCTTCAAGCACTCCAGAACATATGGGACAAACAAGTTCCTCATCTACATCTCCAGAAAATCTATGGACATCAAATCCCATTTTTCTAAGGGTAACTACAATCTAAATAAAAATATAGGTATAGTAAAAACAGTTCTAGTTCCGGTAGGATGCTTTAACAGATGCCCATAACGATTCTGGTGATGGAAAACTTGAAAACATTAAAAACAAAACTGGTTACATCTTACATTACTGGCACTGACTTCCGTAGTTGATATCAAACACTGGGGGCATTTCTTTACAGATTTTAGTTAGTTGAAAAAAGGAAAAATCTAAGGTTTAAAATCGTAAAGGTAACATTTCCGAAACAAGAATCATAAGAACAGTCCCAACAAAAGAACAACATCAATAGCCTATCCCGAAAATTATCATGACAGACAGGTTAGAAAATATGAAAATAATCACTCTATTGACACTGACTGAAATAGAAGAACAAGAACAAGAAGAGAAGCTCACTCCACTACTCCACTCGCTACGCTAGCAGCTCGCGCAGCACGCACAACATAAGCAACACAACACAACACAAGCAACTGGACTGGAAAGGCGGCCGTGACTGGACTAGGACGACGGCGATGGTCAAAGCTGGAAACAGCCAAAGAAAAAGACTGTGAATAAAGAGCCAATAATACCAATCAGTAGTTATAATCCGTGGTTGTTATAGTATAGATACCTGATCAGTTACTTAATACCTTTGACTATCAATATCAATAGTCAATGTTAATACCAAAGCAAAAATATGGTTTAGATTCCACTATAAACTGTATTGTAGTATGTCCCTTCGTTTTCATTGGCTGTATGGGTTATTAAGGTCGATTCACACACATCAGTCCAGTCACAGTTCCGTTAACACTGTTAACAGTCCAGTCGCAGTTGCATCCGCAATTTCTCAGTCAATTGTCCGTCAGTTGGTTTCAGTCAGTCTTCCGTCTATAATATTTACAGTCAAAATTTTTAAATTATATACCTATACTCTATTAAATTATCATTGCCCATCTTGTTGATTGTTGCAAACAGTACTCAAAATACAAACGCAACCATTTAAATAACAATAACACTATTTTCTAACCTCAAACAGTTCCGTCAGGTGTCCGAACAATAAAAAATATCGGTGAAAAGAACCGTAACCGCCAATTCGGTACGATGGCATAGCTTATAATGTCATAGCTTATAATTGCGAATTTGTTGCATAGCTTATAATCTTGAAAATGTGGCATAGCTTATAATGGATAATTTAAATTGTTCCATAGCTTATAATCGTAGAAATGTGGCATAGCTTATAACGGTTTTCTTAAAATGTGGCATAACTTATAATGGCATAGCTCAAATGTGCTGCAGCTTATAAAATCTCGTTTGTTCCATAGCTTATAATTTTAAAAACGTGGCATAGCTTATAACGCGCGGGAATTACGTCATAGCGGATGGGACAGCTGATCGATCCTGAGTAGACAAAAAATTATCGTGCAATGGTCCTCAAATTATCGTATGGACTAGCAGCCGCTACTCGGCAATAAGAAGTCGCATTAAGTGCAGCCAACGTAGCAAAACCAAAAGTATTTCAAGTTATTTTTACTCCTGGACGACATATGTAATAGATGTATATATTAAATGGTTTTTTGTTGAATAATAGAATGATTTTTTGTATCTGCTGTTTTACTTTAATTATGTAAGCTGAAATATATTATCATAAGTTTGATATTGCTCGTGTTGCTTATTTATGCTATGCATGATAACAACTATTGTATAGGTAATATTTATATTGTAATATTGTGTAATACCGGTGTAAAAATACTTTTTCATAGATAAAACCGTAGACTATGCAACATAAGTAGACTTCTCATCCCATTGTTGATTTTGAAGCTTGTTTTTCGTGTCTATTTCATGTACGTCGACACTGATCGCTAGTGTAAACGAAATCTTGTTTCTATTATATTAGGGTAATTTTATGATTTGTGCTTTACTGTTTGGTTATATAACTAGGAGACCAGTTATTTTTATGATTAGATAGTTTTATTTGGTTAAATTAGGTTTTAAATAACTGAAATAACGATTAAGAAACATACTTTATTGTAAAAAAAACACAACCTCTACAGTCGGCATAGAATAGCAATAAAATTGGCTTCAGCTTTTCAACAAGAATGACAAATCTTCTAAGGGACTAAATGTTTGATCTATGATCAAAACATATTTAGTAGATTTGTCATACTTATGGAACAGCTTAAGCCCAAATTTTAGTTTTATTTCTGTACGGTGCAATGTAGATAATAGAGGTCATGTTTTGTTTACAATTTGTTTCTTATTATTTCACTGTTTACACCTTCATTTAGCCAAATAAAACGATCTTGTCATGTAGCGGTCAGTGTCACAGACAAGAACTACAAAATAGTGCAACCCCCATTCCTGTAAACATTATGTTTCAAAAGTTAAAGCAACTTTTCTGTTAAAAAGTAACCCAAGCATGATTTTTTATTGCAAGAAAAATTAAAATATTCTTCCCAAAGATCGGAAACATAAGTTTAACAATAGTTTTGTCCATTGATGTAATTTCTGTAATATCAAAAATGATATATCCAAGTATTTATAAACAGTACTAAAATTCTAAAATCCATACTGAACTCTACGTCATTAGCAAAACTTGACACAAGAAGGCACTTCCAAAATAGTCATAGTGTAATGTATTAAGGAATAAGTAATAAGTTCATTTAAGATTTTATTTGTATTGATCAAGTAATTCAGTACTAAGTAAAAGTGTAAAGAAAAAACGGATTTCTAACAACATATATTTAAATATAATAAATATTCAAATATATTTTTACTCGTAAATACTCTCAAATACCTCTCGACTGACTGGTTCTTTACAAATTGGTTGCCCCTGGGTTGGAAGAACTAAGTGAAGAAAAATATTACAACAGAGCGTTGGCAGTGGAAGCTTGATGTTAAATAAAAATTTAGTGAGCCCTGTGGAATAAAATTACCCCCAGAAGTCCTTAGGGGACGTTCTTGGTAGTGTTTAGTTCTTCCAAGGCTGAAAACAATCTTAAGACTACACTGACTCTACCTTGCACACTACCACACTAAACTTAGTGTTGCACCCAAGGTGTATCTTTTGTAGTGGATTCTTATTGGTTATAATTACGACTCTTTGAAAGAACTATATTTATGCTAGGATTGAAATACCAAAGGTTAATGATAATGAGCAAATAAATCACAATTCCATATATTTAAAAATAACTTCAGTGGAGGATAAATTACAATATAACGATGACACAAGGTGATGTGTTATGAAATGTATGGCCTTTTACCCTAATATATTTGCCATTAATGTTATCACTACTATCATAGACTAACCAACGTATGTTTTTATCTATGCTACTATATATCGAACCTCTCGGTAGAGGAATTAAGTGATTGGCGCGGTTACAATATAGCCGCGACAGTGACATTAAGGTGTGAAATTTTAATGTTTGAGACGATCCAACACTCACAAAATCCAAAGACAGGGTGGCTAGTGAAATCACATTGAAAAATTTCCTGACTTTTCCATGATGTTTTTAAACTTTCCCTGATCGACAAATTCAAATTACAATTTTAATACTAACTAAATCTTCAAAAGGACTAATCTTTATCTGAAGAATATCTTATGTTTGTTGACATGAAAAAAATACATAAAATCTATAGATACAGGCTTGTAGCTTATATTCAAACTTTGCAGCTTGCTTTAATAAAATTAAACAGAGTTTGATAAGATGATACACAGTTTATAACAAAATTTAATTTGTACAAAAACACAAAATGTATTTGTACAAACATATTTTTTAGTTTTCCCCGACACGGCATACGTACTCTCACCAGATCGACCTTTACTAACAATTATTTTAAAAAATTTACAATTTTCCCTGACTTTTCCAGATATTTAATATTCCCTGACATTTCCAGGTCACTAGCCACCCTGAAAGACTATAAAATTGAAGTGTAGATCTCGTTGTCCAATTTGTTACACAGTATAACTGTACGTAACTCAAAGCAATGGTATGAAAGATTATTTATTATTTATAGCTAAAGAGTGTTATGGCGGATACGTCTATATTGGAATACACTCCCACTAACTACAATCGCAAGCCATAATCGAACCTGCAGCCCTTCCAAGTGTATTAAATTTTCCAATTAATTTCACCATTGGCAATTGAGTGAAAATTTAAAAACGTACGTTTTTAGGAAAAGCACTTTGCAAACTTTTTTCCCCTTTTTTCAAAACTTTTATTTTTTTATTTCATTAACATTTGAATTTTCATTAAATGTTCATGGTAACGAAATATCTTTGGTTTTTTTTTTTTTTAAAGAGCATCTTTAGTGGAAAAACACAAAATCCTGTCACGACCATAACAGACGTTTAAATGAATATTAAAAATAGTTAATATTATTTTTATAACTACGTTTTGCTATAAACTAATTTACTTTTATAACCATTATAAAATAAAAAGGTCACTGAGCTTTTGGTATATTTGGTCTTTCTAGAAAAAAATAAAAAACTAAAAAATAAATAAAATCTTTATAAGTTTGTATAACTCCAAAAAAACTTACCTGAGACCCGAAAAATCGTTATGTTTGTATAGAGGTGTGCTCCTTTTGTGTCTAAAACATTGAAATATGACGATATTTTAATTTTTGAAATTTTTATGATAGAAATCATAAACGTGATGGTCAGGGACAAGCGGTACGGTCGTGAATTGTCTAAAATAATCTAAATCTTTCTAAACAATCCTTCAATTATACTGTTAGTTATAATAAAAAAATGTGTTTCAATTGAACTAAACGGTTCAATTTACAATTATATTAAAGTTATTGTCACGACCAAACACAGTATAATCCATAAGGCTGGATTGGTCGTGAAAAAACCCGCGATGGTCGTGAAACTTTGGTCGTGAAATTACGTGTTGGCTATGTTCTGGCGGTAGCCCTGCACCTCATGTTCGAGGATACAAAGTGGACTTCTAAGTTAATCTAGCAATTGAAATGTCTTATAAACAAAAATTAACACCATGTCTACTTCATCGAATGACTACGTACGGTCATGGACACACCAAAATTACAAAAAACACAATCTTTCCTTTATCAACCTTGTAATTCCTCCTTTCAACTCGAAACGACCGGCACTACAATCCTGACGTACACCCCGAACTACTCTCTAAAACCAACTGACTCCATCGACGCCAGGCTTGCCACTGTCGTGCTCCAAAGTTCAAAATTTTTTCCCAAATGGTCGTGACGCCAAATCGAGGGACAGGCTGATTTTGTCATGGTAGTCAGTTTGCAATGACAATAAAATTATAATATGCTCCTTTTTTGTAAGTTTAATAACCATTGATGACATAAAAATATGGCTTTATACATTTCGGCACGAATAATTAGTCTAAAAACAGCGTGAAAGTTGAAAAATGTACCCTAGGGACACGTCATGGTCGTGAATTTCGAGACTTTAAAAATACAAAAAAAAAGGAATCAGAGAGAATACGGATGAGTTTTTTTCCAAAATGCGGACAAATTGAATTTTGGTTGAACCAAGACGTGAAATTTCGGGAGCGGTATGTATAAGTTGGTGAGGATGAAACGAGTTTTTCCTAACTTAATTTAATTCCAAACACGTGGCAATTATATCCCTGCGGGATATAGGCTTTAGGGTTTGTTGAAAATTAAATTTTTGCCAACTAACACTGCAAACTACGAGTTGATTTGCACGACTCCACTTAACAACTCACCCCACGCATAGGAAGGTTGGAGACACACCGGTCACTGAGACAGACCCTTGGCTAGAAGCTTTCCCCACCACGTCGTAGGGCCCTTGGGTAAGTCACCTATGTCTAATCAGCTGACTGGATTTGCGTTTCTAATTTGCTGTTTATATTGCATCACATTCGGTACAAAAGAGAGAAATTTAAATTTTGCTTGTTACTTGTTTTGGGCGACACACCAACAGGGCCGGATTTCCCAATAGGCCCGGGCCTATGGGCGCAAGGTCCTAGAGGGCGCACGTTTGAGGCCGAGAGTAAACCTTTTGTATACCTAGGTTATCTAAAAATAAAAACAAAGCATTGTGATTCTGAAGTTCATAAGAAGAAATCGTTGTCAGGAAATTTAAACTATTTTTCAGAATTGCGCAAAAAGTTCGTTACAAAATTGGTAACGAAAATTGGTTAAACGGGAGTATGCTGTAGGGATGTTGACATTGACGAGCGCCCAAGGGGTACTCATTGTATTGCCACTGCACTGCCACTATGCTGGCTCGGGCTCTCGGCACCACTACTGATCAGAGTGGATTAGGTGTTGACACCAAGCCTTAGTTGCAACCCAAACTTGAGCAAAAATGGGGCCTAAGGTAAATATCAGGGCTATCCCTAGGGTTGGCAGCGCCCGGAGCAAACATGGTTGTGGCGCCCCCTTCCCACCAGTAATAATAGTCGCATTCACATATTTTAATCAATTTTATGTATAGATAATGAGAAAAAAGTTATAAATGAACATAATATTTGTATTAGCAAGCCTATTCTTTAAATATAATAATCTTAAAAATTTGGTTGTCCGGATGCAGATTAACTCCTAGGGAGGAATTTGGAAATCCATATTACTGGGATAATTATGAAGTACTTTTATTTAAGGACTGGTCTTGGTTGTGTTACTTACTTTTTTAAAAGTAGAAAATCAATATGATTAGGCTCAATAATGGAGTGTATTTTAATGTTTTATCAAGAATAATAGGCGAACAGCATTAAACATTTTGGTTTATAAAATATTTTTTAGATAAGGGTAGGGACCTTAATAAAACACAACAATGAATCATAATAGGTAGTCTATAAATTGGAGAAAGTTTTACTGTTTAAAAAATACTTCTTACAACACAATTGAAATACAAATAAAGATTATAAGGCGAAGTTAATAGCTGAGCAACCCTTCTGCATTCTTCTGTCATGATATCCTGAAACAAATAAACAATAACTCAAAATTGTTATCACAACTAAATAGAGAAAGGGGTGTCTTGTTAGCTTGGTGGTTAATTTGTCCTGGACTTTGCTGCAAGAGAAATTGAGATTTACTTAAAGGATCCTTGCACAAGGTGAGAGGATTCAACATAATTTTTCCATGGATATTGCACACACTTGCCCAGCACAGCACAAACCTGCTAACAACAGGCTACTATTAAAATTAAAGTAAAGTAAAGTAATGTAGAACCAAATCAGATTACGCTCTTGTGTCCACCATAGCACTATAGAACACCATAGAGCACTAAACGGTTTTCATAGTCTTTTATCAATTAAGTATAAAAAGTATCCATTCAAATACATACAAATTATAACCCAGTGAATGATTGAAATACATGTCATGATGAAACCATACAGCGGTAGCCCAAGTACGGCTTCATAAAATCATATGCTAGTTGGTCTGACCATACTGGGCAGGAGTAGAGTGGCCAGCTGTGCTGCGGTTAGCGTATATTCCGGCACCGACCGCCAGGGGTAATGTGTAGTTACGGCGCATGCCGCTGCAGCATCAAGTGCTAGCGACCGTTTCCATAACAACTTGGTAGTTGGGAGTAGTGTTGCCAACTTTGGAGGAATCCCCCGGAATTGGAGTTTACTGACTTATTTAATATTAAGCAATAAATTAATTTAAATGCCATCTTTTATTGTATTTTTTTTTAAACATATATTTGTTATACTTTTGTAGTTTCATTACAATGATTCAAAGTTTTTCTTTATTAATCCATAATTTTAGGAAGTGGTCTATTGGAAGGTTTTGTTTTATATTTGCAAGGTCAAAATCAAATTTAACCAGGATGTCTAGTAGTCAGGGAAAACGGGAAATTCAGGTAATAGTATTGAATTTCAAAATGGTCTTGAAAAGTTGGGATTTAGTCTTTATTTTGATATCAAAGTCGGTAAATTTCATGATTTTACCTCGATCGCGCTAGACAACGATCACGTTTCCGTGACGGCACAAGACGATGGATGATGTGTCTACACGACCGCAGGAGATGTTCTTAAACCGCGACTGTGCTAGACGACGTTTTCGTGACCACGGACCACAGGAAAAATGATCACGCCTTTTCTGCGATCGCGCAAGCCGATTGTATATACGGCCGCTGAAGATGTTCACAATTTTGCCGCAATTGTTTATGACGATGACGTTTCGAGACCACGGCATTCAATGATGATGTCTACACAGCCGCGGAAGATGTTCATGATTTTGACGCGATTGCAGAAGACGACAATAGCGAATAGTAATCATTTCGTTTGCAAGAGTGGTAGTGCTGGTAACAGCTGGCGAGTAGTCGACGACGACACTGAGTCGAATACTGATAACTGATATTGAACAGCAAAAACGCTCTAGCGGCAGATCGCAAAACCTTTCTTTGACAGTCTATATTTACTCTATTGTCTATGACTATAGTATTACACATCTACCATAGCCATAATGTTCTACCACTTCACCCAAACAAAAGAAAAAAAATAATTATTAAAGATACGACTTTTTACCCAATGACCTTTTCTATTGGTAATATTTTTTGGATTAAAACTACGTTTTAACCGATGTCCTATCTCGTACCGTTCTCGAGCTACAGTCATTTCGATGTATAGCGCGTTCCGCCATCTTTTCCCCCCTCCCCCCAAGTTCTCGACCACCTGAAAAGTAGGAGACATGCGTATTTTGTATCACCACAGTCCATATTACAACTATCAGCAAAGATATTTGATATTACTTCTTTGCGACACTCACAAATTAATTCTACTTTCGGTAAAAAATCTACACGAAAAGTCCATTTTTACATATTTTATACAATAACTTGTTTATTTATAGAGATACGACCTCGGACCCAATGACCATTATTGTTGTCCACATTTTTAGGATTACAACGACGTTTTAACCGATGTTCTATCTTTTACCGTTTTTGAACTATCAGCGTTTTAACGCATAGCGCAAACCGCCATGTTTGCCCCCTCCCCACCACCTTATCGACCACTTTTGAAATAGGCGACATACGTAATTTTGATCACCACAGTCCATATTACAATAATCAGCAATAACATTGCGTACTACTTTCATGCATGCTCAACCCCCCTCAGCTCCTGGACTATAGTATGATTGTTTTTGCTCAAGCTCATACGTATGAGCAATCGATGTATCTAAGGTTTAATGGGTGTTGGGGAAAAATAACTAATTTAATTCTGTGCTGGTATTAAAATTTTTTTACCACAAAAAGATGTGAAACTACTTTATTGTTACCAGTTGTGTGGGGGCAATAAACTATAAACAAATAACTTGGTCTTTCCACATATTTAGACTGGTGTAGTTATACAGCGTAAGTCTCCGGTTCCGAAGATAACGGATTCACATCCTGGAAATCACCATGACAATTTGACAGATGGCCACCCTGTGCGTTGCTCCTCATGAACGTTGGTGCGGCCATCTTTAAATGCCCTTACCCACCTGCGTAGGTACCATTCCGCCACTCATAATTTTCTCCCCATACACTTCACTAATCTGTCAAATGAATTTAAATGGCTTTCACACCTTTAGCACTTAAAAATCTAATTACCGGTACAGCGCAAACTTCACAGGCGACGGCAGTCTCAATTGGCGGCACCGTTTTGAATGCTCTAAACCGGATGTAAACACAGCCGATTTTTGCCAAATTTCCAGCGCAGGATTGCCAATACATGCACATACACAGCACAAATGTCCAAAATGCCAATCGCAGCACTGAAACGGAGAAATTTAAAAACAGTACTTACTTAAATAACATGCCTTGTATTATTCTGTCACCATAGGTAACTCTGAAACTTGAACAGTGCTGTAAGTTGATTAAAGTGTCTTTTTTTCCAAATATAAAAACTTAACCGCCACAGCACATCATAAGTTAATGTTAAACAAGGACTGAAAATGCTTCTTAGTCATATTGATAGCTTAGCCAAACTTACTTATCTTTATTGCTTTCGATTCTTTTCCAAGAAAATTTCTCTCCTTCTTATTTGGCCCCAAATAAGCAGACAATTCATCAATATTGTTTACATGTGAAGTACTCTCATACATTAACACCAAACATTTGTAATGCTCCAAGCTTTACAAGAAAATTTACCTGGAACAAAAATAGGCAGTGTACATTATTCAGGCCTTCTTCTTGTTAAAAGTAAAAACAGAATATAGAAACAATGACTCAAGGTAGGGCATATTTTCTTTTCACTTATATTTGGATTGGTAAATAAAAACTTAAAAACTCGAAGGCCACTGGTTCTCTCGGACCCAAGTGTCATTACCCAGGTGGAACTAATAAAGTGTGTTTTTTATTAAAACATTAATAGCTTAGTATAAAATAAAGCTATCAAGTTTGATTTATAAAAATAAATATAGCCTATGTATATAGAGTAAAATATATTTATATAGAGTAAAATATAAATTAAGCTTTTTGTTGGTCGCAAAACATAAACAAATAAAAAGTAGAAGAATATTATTCTTATGCGACAAATTTAAAAATGTATTTTTTGGGTTTTATAATTACTACTGAACGGAATCGTCTTATTTTATGGTGTCTTTCCATTGGTGTCATAATTATGATTTGTGCAATTTTTTAACACTATAGGTGCAACGGTTAGCTTGAGTTTTTTATGCGAACACTTACACACACACACACAGTCAAGCGGACAACTAATCCACGACTCTGCTAAGTTATACACAACACAATACATAGATGACATATTATTTTTTTTAAATTTCTTTAGAAAGGTCTAGAGAATAATTGATAAATTTTGTGTTTTAAGGGTAAAAAATTAGAAAGCCCCATTTTTTGGCCTAGGCCCCTTCTCTGCATAAAACTCATTAAAACCCGGTCCCATGGTCCGATCATGCTAGTTCGCGAACTCATTCAGATATATCCCGCCTTACACCTTCAAACCAAATTTTCATTTGATTTTAGGTTATGAAACAAACATAATACAAGGATTTGCCTTTGCCAATTACAATCAATTGTAAGTATGGTGGGCTAATATGTTCTCAGGTATGTCACAATTTCAATTTTTCAAGAACATTTTTCTTAGGTACATGTTTTTTTGCCATAAGTTAACTACATGGTTTGCTGCCTTGTTTACTGTGTGAAATTAACCTAACTTAAGTTTTGTGACGTTGATTATTGTAAGTTATTTTATAGCCTACTAAATTTCCATTCATACTTGGCTTCCTACCTAATATGTATGGTCGCCATTTCATTGAATAGTATTAACAGTATTAATGGTAGAATAAGTTAAAGGGTACAGTTTCTTAACTGGGCTACGCTAATTTTATTGAAACTATCGATTCAATTAGTAAACCTACATGCAATTTTTTCACCATCCAAATAGTTTGGTTGGTTAGGTTAGGTTATGATAGTTTAATTTTATAATAAACTCAGATATATTTTAAAATATCAATTATTAGTCAATATTTTTAATTCGATAGTTCAATAAACAATATTAACTTAAGTTAGCGTAACCCAGTTAAGAAACTGTAGGCCTACCCAAGTTAAATCTCTTGGCTCAGTATTATCACGCTTACCATTTCTAAGGTTACACTTCCATAAGTTATCTGTTGGCACAAACAATCGAACGAAAATATGGATCGATATACGGTATCGATTATTCGATACATCGTTTGGTATCATTATTACTCATTCGGTTGTTTGTGCCAACAGATATGGAAGTGTACCCATTTCGAACACAGCCTATGCTTACTATCAGTAAATTAAAGCATCCATAGGCCTAGGCTAACCATTTTTTATATACTTAGGCTACTAAGTTAGGCCTAACCTAACAGTAACTTAAGTTAGTTAGCCTATATTTTTAAGCACGCTGCTTCAACAGACAATTCCTATCTTAAGTTAATACACCTACACCTTGTTTAAGAATGTAGGCCTAAGTCATTACTTAGTTGAATAGGCTGCACTTTAGTTTACGTCCTACACTCATTCTAATGAAAAATATCAGTTAGATTATTCGATATTTCAATTAGGCTATTTCATTAATAACCAAACTTGATGGCCTACTTATATCGATTATAGGCCTACTCGAACACTTGATACTCATTCGATATATTCATTCGAATGAGTGTAGGACGTAAACTTTAGTGCAGCCGTTGAATACATTCACTGATATTTTTATTAAGTTAATTGCTTATGCCTGTCACAGGAAATCTGTAACTTAAGTCACAGCTAACTTAAGCCACAGCTAACTTAAGCGTAGGCTAGACAACTGTACCTACTAACTTAACCTAATAACACTCAAGCAAATAATAGCCTACTTACTGCATTTTGTTACTTTGAATAACAAGGCCTAGGAACAGGATTGGATTAAAACACAACTTACTGGATTTCAACACCACAATAGTTTTGGAATTTTTTGATGCTTAAAATTTAATAATAATTATTGTTCCTCTCCTTTTCCTTTATCTTCTGTCAACACCAGCCGGACCATTGACAAGTGACAAGATTCATTAATTTGCAATGCCGTTATCCTTCACTTCACTTCATTTTTATATCTTTTAACTTCTCACTATAAATATTTCTTGCATTTTCATTGTCATATAGCATGTAATTGTTGCCATTTCTCGTATAAAAATCGTGTATAACAAACATTTAAATAAATAAATGTTTAGGTTATAAAATACCATATCGCAGTTGTCAGTACAGTACGGTCAATTACAATAATTATCGTATCCTACCATAAAATATCGTATATATGGTAGACCTGACTGAATCGAGCAGCTGATGCCATTCCCACAATGCAACATTCTCCTCAATTATAAGCTATGCCCCGAAATCAGAATTATAAGGTATGACTCAAAATCAGGATTATAAGCTATAGAACAGATTTGGAATTATAAGCTGTGCCACTATTTGACCATTATAAGTTGTGAAACTGTAAATGTTTCATACCTTATAACGTTTTAGAGAAATTGTGGCATAGCTTATAATTTTTCGTGAAAGTGTGGCATAGCTTATAACTGATTATAAGCTATGCCACATTTTCAACATTATAAGCTATGGAACAAATTCACGATTATAAGCTATGACATTATAAGCTATGACACCCCACGGCCAATTCTACCAGGGGCCCATTTCATAATCAACTACAAACTAATATTATTAGTAAATCAGCTGATGGTCCAATGCAAATATTACAAGTTACAAGTTGTAACTTGTAGTTTATTATGAAATGGGCCCCAGGCCGCGGCCTGGTAAGGTGGCCGTGGTACAGACCAATAGCTCACTATCCCAATTCTGATCATTGTAAACATTCAATTAAGTTACAAAAAAAGATTCAAATTCCCATAAAATATTACGAACTAATCCCTTGTGTGGTTCGTAATATTTAACACAAGGGATTAATGTTTAAAGTTTAAACCCTATGATTAAAGTTACACCGGAGTATGTGTCATCTATGCCTTAATGTAATTTTAGTTATAACCTAAATAATATTGTAATGTTTAAAACCACGGTGGAAGGAAAAGGGTCGCTGTCAATGCGCCACCACGTCAAACCGCCACCTCGGTGTTTTGGTCAGAGGCGTCAACCCGCCACCACAAAAAAACCGAGGTGGCGGGTTGACGTGTACGTACAGGTCAACCCGCCACCTCGACAACAGGCCACCACGACAACCCACCACCACACAATTTTCCAAGGTGGCGGGTTGTCGTACACACTCAAGTCAATAAGCCACCACGACAACATGCCACCACGACAACCCACCAACACCAGTTTTTATCAGAGGTGGCGGGTTGTCGTGAAGCTCCATGTTCGATGTCGGCAACCCGCCACCTCGCACGTAGGCGACAACGTGCCACCCCGTCAACCCGCCACCACTCTTTTACGAGGTGGTGGGTTGACGTGTACGCTCCGTGTTTGGTGCCGTCAACGTGCCACCTCGCTCATAGGCGACAACGTGCCACCTCGACAACCCGCCACCATGCACTCTTGTCGTAAATCGGTTAGATTTATATTCTGTAGCATTAAATATATTGTACTTGGATTCAGTTAATTTAGAGAAAGTTAATGTAACTCTTTAATAGCATTTCTGGAAACAATTATTAACATGGTGAAAACCAGACATTTGATAGGGTCTTACGCCCTTAAGGGTAGGAACTTTTAAATTATAAAAGTATAAAACCTTAATTCAAAACTACGAATTGAGCCGAATCTTTTAACACCTTAAACGTTGAAATTTGTCTACAAATAAGGGAGGAGTAGTGTTCACAAAAAACAGTATACATTTTTATGATCTCTTATATTAATACATGATATATAAGAGATCATAAATACCCCCGCCGCAGCAAACCTGCCGACTAAGTGAATTTCCATTTGTCTGAATTGATTTTCAGTTAAATATATTTTAATAACATTATGTTTAACGAGTACCTAGGTTTGCTGCTACAAGGAAACTAATAAAGTGTGTTTTTGAGTAAAATATTGATAGCTTAGTACAAAATAAATAAATTTGCCAAGTTTGATCAAAATATATCCATAAACAAGAAAACTGCAACATTTGACAATATTCTCCATAAGAATAACACGAGAATTTTAAATTTACAATTTTTTTAATTTTCTCCGTTACTAATAATCGAACAAAAATACTTTTATATACTAAATTATTTGTTTTTTTAAGCTCTTTAAAAAGGTTTACAGAGAAATCGGGAAATTTTGTGTTTTGAGGGTCAAAAGTGAGAAAAAACAATTTTTACCCCATAAAACCCCCCGTAAAGCCCCGTTCCCATGGTCCGATCGTGCTGGTTCGCGAACTCATTCAAGTTTATCCCGCTTTACACCTTTACCAAATTTCATCAAAATCGGACAAAAATTACTCAAGTTATCGCGTTCACGGACGTATATGTATATATATAAGTATATATATATATATATATATATATATATATATAAATTTGAACGAATGGTGTTTTTGGCCTCTGGGGACATCAAAATGAAAAAGTAAATCGGTCCCGGGTCTAGGTCTTACCGTGCCACCTACGGTAATAACTACTTCCCTATAGGGAAATTCGCTAAAACTATTTAAAAAGATCGTCCAGGCTGGAAACCAATCAAAGTGTGTATGTAATTTTTAATAAATACAGTATTTAAAAAAAATAAGTAATTTTCAAGATATATTAAAATGTTAAACAATATTCCTTTCGATTAAAACCAAAATAAAAAAGTAGTTATATAATGCTCCTTTTCATATGTAAACACTTTTATTTTCTTGACAATTGAATTAAAAACAAAAATAATATGACATTTAAATGTATACCAAAAACAAAAATAGAATAACCCATTTTTTTTTTCGTTAGGCGTATAAATATATATATATAAGTTTTTATGCTTACCTACCACCACGTGCGCACGCAACATGTGAAAAGCGTGCATTTTATAAATTTAAACCGGTGATAGTCAGGGATTGCCCATGTGCCATATAATGGTGATTGCGAAAGCAAGACGCAAAGAAAAGTGTATTCACTTGAATTCAAAAGGTAAAATGATCGGGTGAAATGATCGGTATTCTGTGATTAGACCACGAATAGTAGAAAAGACCCGGTATGGATTATAAACATAAACAAATAATGTTTTAATCCCAAAATTAAACAAAACCATATCTTAGTTAATGCATTAGTATAGGGGTTTTGTTTAATTTCTGGCCAAAAACGTAATTTGTTTATGTTTATGATAAATACCGGTATTTTTCCAGTATTCGTGGATTAGACTATTTCACCTTTAAACTTACCACTGATGATTGTTGCTTCGTCGATCAAGTTTAAAAAAATCGTAAGTCTGGTTCCGTTGCACAGTTTCCACCGTAGTGACTTCTGACTACTTACGGATTATTTACGATGGAGACCAGGTCAAGTCCCTTCAAACGCACGCACCCCCACAGGTCTCTATCGGCACTCCCGTTTTGCTAACACTATACCTGTACATTAATTTTTATTTAACATATGATATGATTTTTTTACTATTCATTCAATTATTGTTCACTTTATCTTTCTACTAAATACACGTATTTTTTATTATCATCTTGAATTTGTGAGTTTACAACTTCATTTTGGTGACCCCGACGTGAAAGAACTTAGTTTCGTCGACCATATGATCCCCGCTACAGAAAACTGGGTTTCAATTTGTGCAAACCACAATAATTCTGGATCTGAGAGCCCGAAAGGGGGGTAATCTTGACTTGAAAATTCTGTCTACTGATTTTTCTCCGTTTGACATCACGTCGGGGTCAACCCCTGGCAAGGTGCTGAAGTTATGGCTCTTTTAACTTTGAACAAAATGGTACAAAACAACCCCCATGACTGTGGAAGTTACAGTACAATGGTTATTATCATGTAAGAATGGTCAATGTTATTATTAACTTTTGTGATTTAAACCACAAAACTAACTAAGCTGAATTTTTATTTCCTCATTATCGAACCACAATTTCTCGAATGCTAAAATACGTATAATTCACTTATCTTAAATTAATAAAGATGCCTTCTCACATACATCTTGCAATTCTCAACTTCATTTGATATTTTGTAAAATAAATTTGAATAATCTAAAATACAGTTGATATGATCTGAAATTAACACGATGCTTTCTTTAGATTAAATCGATCGATTGTACCTATTATATCTATTGCAACTTAAGCTCATGTTGAAATTAGTCACTTTACGCCCTAGTTTTAAAATGTATTATAAATTGGTTATGCTTCGATCATTTAGTTAGTCATTACGCCTTTTTTTATTTCGCCAAAATGAAAAAAAAACACGTATCAACAAAGACACCAGCTGACTAAGAGAAATGAAAGAAGAATTGTACCTCACAAGCGGGCCCAGCAAAATGTTTATATGTTACGATTAATGTTCATATTTAGTCCAGTCAATGAATGATCCAAAAGTAGGTGTAGAGTGCGTGAGCAGGTAACTAAGCGATTCCTTCAGAAACTTGTTCAGGGGGCTTAGGGTGTTAACATACCAAAAGTCCTGACTCCTAGGTGGTGAGCCAGTGGGTGGAGGGGGGAAAAAGGGGGGAAAAAGGTACGCATTTTGGGTTTTTTGATTATATCTCGAAAACTATCAACTTTTTGTATACTATAGTAAATTATAAAATTGAAGAAGATTAAATTTTCTACAAGAAAAGTATATAATGTTTTTATTTTGGTTCAACAGATTACGAGTTATAACTTATTTAATTGATATCTTATTAAAATACTCCTTCCATAAGAAATACATGTAAATGAGTATGCGAAATGAGGCGAATCCTATCCGCCCAAAGGAAATATAACTGATATTCTGGAAATATTGACAAAATTTCCAGTAATTTGACACTTTAATCATGAAATTTTGTCAAAAATTAAAGCGAGGGTGAGCGTTTAATTATGGGATGATTTAAGGATTTTTTTTATATTTCCAATAAAAAAACACCAAAACTCGAAATTTTGTTACCTCGCCCTCGCCTTAATTTTGGATCATTTTAATTATTAAAGTGTCAAATTACTGGAAATTTTGTCAAGATTTCCAGAATATCATTTATATTTCATTTAGGCGGATAGGATTCGCCCCATTTCGCATACTCATTTACATGTATTTCTTATGGAAGAAGATTTTAATAAGATATCAATTAAATAAGTTATAACTCGTAATCTGTTGAACCAAAATAAACACATTACAGTATATACTTTTCTTGTAGAAAATTTAATCTTCTTCAATTTTATAAATTACTATAGTATACAAAAAGTTGATAGTTTTCGAGATATAATAAAAAAAAACCATAATGCATACCTTTTTCCCCCCTCCACCCCCTGGCTCACCACCTAGGAGTCAGGACTTTTGGTATGTTAACACCCTAAGCCCCCTGAACAAGTTTCTGAAGGAATCGCTTAGTTACCTGCTCACGCACTCTACACCTCATTCCTTGACTGGACTAATTAAGTGTTTCATGACAGTTGTTAGTCCTGTTCTTCTGGCCGAACACGGGAAATGCTGCAGGTGTCACCTTTTCAATCCATTTATCTTTTAAATATTATTGAACGACTTGCGAATTAACGGCTATTTTATTCACCCCGTCAGATATACGGACTATATGACCTTTTGTGTTTATGGAAAGTTTTATGTCAGGATTTATAATGAATCTCATAAAACCATGTTTTGACGTTTAATAATGTCACACCATTGTAACAGTACATAACTTACAAACCAACTAAAACAACTTGTTGAAGTATTTGAACATTTTAAACCAGTGCTTCCTCCAGATATTATCACTGGATAAATTAATCACAATTACACATGGAAATATTTCATTGAACACCCCATGTTAACTCTCGTCAACCCGCCACCTCGCATGTAAGCGACAACGTGCCACCGCGTCAACCCGCCATCACTATTTTATGAGGTGGTGGGTTGTCGTGTACGCTCAATGTTCGGTGTCGTCAACCCACCACCTCACACGTAGACGTCAACCAGCCACCACGTCAACCCGCCACCACACTAAAGAGGTGGCTGGTTGACGTGTATGAACACGTCTAAGCACCACCAGGACAACGTGCCACCACGACAACCCGCTACCACACAATTTTCCGAGGTGGCGGGTTGTCGTGCACGCTAGAGTCAACGTGCCACCCCAACAACGAGCCACCACGTCAACCCGCCACCTCAAACTTCTTCTTCTTTTTGATGGCGGGTTGATGTGGTGGCTAGTTGACGTGGTGGCGCCTTGGCGCGTTCCCAAGGAAAATACATAGGTGAACTAGGTATTCGTTTTTCTAGTGGGGCCTTGTTGGCTATTCGCTATTCCCGTCATGTCTGACGTCACTCAGATTGCAAACAAAAGATCACCTGACTGTCAAATTAGTATGTATTTGTTGAGATTTGATTGTTATTGTTTTTATTGTATTTGTTCCTTCCACCATTCTTCCAACATGCGTTTAAAACCAAAACCGAATGAGAACTAACATAAACTAACATGCAGCCCAGCTATTTAACAAACAAACTTAATAATTTACTGTAACCATAGATAAAACATATGTTGGTTAGTCTATGCTGTAACTCACTCTTGCATTCTTAAGCTTGGTTGTATGATAATAAAATTTCTAATTGGTTTATCCGTTTACACAGCCAAGATTTTCCATATCCCAACAATTTTGTTAATTCAAATAAAATGTTTCAACATAGTATTATCCATGTTTTATCTATGTCTTCAGCTTCATGGCTTTTAATCCAGCACACGACAGTAAAAAAAATTCCCTCCTAGACTGTTTTACACCAATCAGAGGCAGTGTTTTCATAATGTTTTATCTATGGTGTTATTCAAACCTAGACAACACTTTTTTTTGAAAACTTAAAATTCAGCCAACCAGAATCGTTGTTTAATAATGTGAAATGTGACTGTTCGTTCACCGGTTCAACGTTCAACCATTTCAACTTTTATTGTCCATGTTTTGTTATTCACATTTGCAGACCAAATAAGTTATTTATCTAATTTCATTTTTAAAATCTCGTTGATGCGCTGCTGTTGCTCTGTGTGGTATAACTAACTATCATTTTTGTTTTGGTAACCATTTATTATGCTGTTTTATACCTGTGAAATTATAGAATCTTGTAATATTTCACACTAGGCCTCATTAATTGTGCCGGAAATAAATAGGTAAACTACTCATGTTTATTGATTGTATTGTAATCAGAGTGTGTATCTTAGGATAAGTTACATTTTAGCACATAGGCCTACTCCCTTTAGTCATGTTAAGTAGGCCTAGGCTATGTAAACTCTAATACATGTTAGACATCCTAAGCCGTTCGAACATGAATGTAGGCCTATGTAGACCTGCCAACATGACAATAGACAATAGACTTTAGAACATTGCCTTGGCCCATCGCCTAAACACAAGATTGGAATGAAATAATCGTAATCAGCAATCTAACCCATAGGCCTAACCTAAGTTACTTTCTCCAATTAGCTTGTCAACAACCTTAAACATAGGTAAGCGGTGGTAGTAATAACTATGAAATTTTATAGGGGATAAAATCAGAAACGCTGCAATGGCTTTTGAACCTAATTTTTACAGCAATTGGTGGTTGTACACTATTTTATTTTCAATTACAACGACCATAAGATAGGCTAGGCGTAAGTTACTAAATTTTAACCCTCCGAGGGTCACTCGTCAAAAAATAGACGCACAACACACTTTGTGTAGGGTCACGCGTCGAGTTTAAGACGCACAAACATCGTTTACGGCGAAGGCTCTATGACTGACTGAATCGGATTGAACTGGATTGAGTTAGGTATCGTTCTTTCCGTAATATTCTAAGCTTTCTCCAGAGGTCTGTCTCTAAGCGCTATTCATTTTAGTTCCGAAAATATTGTAGCAGACAGCTGACGTGCGTGTATTTGTAAACAGCTACGTTCCCCCGGACCGATGACTGATGTGTTTTATTACGTTTATCATTTTTTTAGTGTTAAAAATCAAAAGTAGTGATATACGTGGTGCATTATAAGAAGATTTAAGTGGTTTTGAAGTGCTGGTTGATGATCCTGAAGAAGTAGGTAGTGATATTGATGTAAATTATCAGCCAGATTCCTAGCTATGGTAGGCTATGCATTCTTAGCTAAACGCTATATACTGAAATCAGTTTTTTGCCCATAACTTATTTATTTGCAAATCTACTTCCTTATATTATTATATATTTGTAATCCTCATAAAATTTAGAACAAAGTGGCTATTTTCAAATATTTATAGGCCTATAATTTATACAATTTCATTGAGCGCGAACTTATTTTTTTTTTGAAAATTTTCAAAATTATATTTTTTTTACCTAAAATTTTTTTTTTTTTTAATGTTCCTTATGTTTTATATATAATATTGAAGCCCATGATTTTCCAAACAAAATGGTATATAGAACATTAGAATTAACATTGTTTTAAGCTTCTCAGATCCGTTTTAATAAAACCTTGCAAATGCGCCAAAAATAGGTGGACATTAAGGCCTAAACTATGGACACTCGGAGGGTTAATAAAAACAGGTTGAGCTGGTTCTTTCTCAAATTTCAAATTTTCTGCTTTTTATTGATTTTCATGGGAAAATAACTCAACATAAGTTAAGTTACAATACATTTTTCCTACAAACTTACCTGACATAAACAGGCTTCCTTGTACTGATTATATCACACAAAGTAAGTTAGCTAATGGCTGCTTTTAGGCTACTTACTTTTGCCGTACTCATTTTACTTTGCTGCATTCCAGTATTCTAACCAAACAACACAAAACAGTGTGCTTTTATAAAGCACGTAATACGTGTAGGCATGCTTAAAAATAAGTCGGCAACACTTATAGATAGCCTACTACGACTAAGTAACGATCAGATGGTGCAGCGTTTCACAGCCTTTGAGTATTACTACACTATACAACTTAACCTGATGTTTCATGTTAATAATCTATTTTTGTTACACACTTGGATTGAACCTAATCTAACTTAAAACACGTTTCGTGTTTGAAACACCATTAGGCCTAACTTATTTAAGTTATATGCTAATGTTTAAGTAGTACAAACAAAACCACCCGGTTAACCAAAATAAAGGGGGGGGAGCCGTTTCGGATAACAAATTTTTCGGTTACCTAACTTATCATATGCTAAAAATAGCCAATGTAAGCTTATCACCACACTGTGTAGGAAAATGAATTTAAGAGAATGTCTAGGCCCTATATCATTCAGTGTTTTATTTCAGCTACAAAAACCTTACTTTATAGAACCATGTTGGTTAACCTGGGTTTCGGTTAACCCGAATTCAGTTAACAGGGGTTATGGGAAATTCGCTAAAAACAAACAAAAAGCCAAAAATAAAATTACAATCTAGGGTATAATTTTGTAATTGTAAAAAAAAAAAATGGAGAACTCACTTGACAGCGTATTTTTATGTCTGTAGAGGTGGTTTTTAAGATTCACAGATGTTACACCACTTTTTTACCTCTTTAAACTTAAATAAATAAACAAGATAAAATAATCAAAAGGGATAAAATAAACAAAAAACGGTTTTTAGCGAATTTCCCATATAGGTAGGCTAGGGAAAAAGATATTACCGTAGGTCTCATGGTAAGACCTAGACCCGGGACTGATTTACTTTTTCGTTTTGAGTTCCCTAGAGGCCAAAAACACCCTCTGTTCAAACTCATATGTGTTTTTGAGCAAAAATGATCCAATTATTTTTTATCAACTTTGGTAAAAACGTGTAGACCTCCGTTTATTCAAACAAGTTCGCAAACCAGCATGATCGGACTATGGGACAGGGATTTATGGGGTAAAAATTGGTTTTTCCCATTTAAATAAAGATAATCATATGTAGCCTACCTAATCAAACTAATCAATGAGTTTATTAAGCACTGTATATGATAGACTGTTATAGTTACCAAAATTATTTTGCAGTGCTTGAATCAAGTTAATAGCCTCTCCCTTAGAAGATGTTCCACTCTTTGATAAACCTTTTCATAACAAAAACATATTCTTCAATCAAATAACTACCTATTTTTAAGAGTAAATATCCTCAACGATGAGTAGTTACACAAGTGTTACCAGATATTCAAGTGTGTCTTTAAAAATTTCACATGGTACTTATCTTAATTAATTTAGGATATCTTGTTAAAATAATAAAAACAAAGGTTCTAGCTAAGACCAATTTTTACTTGGTCTACTATGAGTTGTTTTTTTTTACAGCTTTTAAAAATGAGAAAGTCATCTCTAGGCCGAAGGTCTTCAACTCATATACCTGTCAGAGTTCCCAGTTCTGGAGGCAGTGCTTCAAGGTAATTTATACACAAGTTTTTTCAAACAATAACATTGAAATGAGCTTTATATAAGTTGTAGGAAAAATAACAGATTTTTGAAATTAACTATTGTTTAAATGGTAATTAATTGGTTACTATTTTGCCGAGTGTACAACTATCGTTCACCAAAACAGTTACAGAGTACTCTTTTTTACCAAGAAAAATAGTTTTTGCGTCAATTTTTAATTTATTTTTACTTAATAATGTGAACGAGGCCTTAGATTTTATCAGCATACATGGATAAATTAGCAATTTCATATTGAAATAATAAAAAAATGTCTACTTGTATAAATTTGTTTTCAGATCATGCACAGGGAAAAAAAGCACTGGGACTTTGTTGAAGCCAGGTTATACTCAGGGTCGAAGATCACAATCAGCAGACCGGGAGAGTTGTGGGTCTTATGGAGGTTTGTTATCTAAAACCACTTTATTAAAATAAATACCTAGGTTTAGATAGCCTATATTGATATATTATGCAGATATGGTAGGCTATTTGATTAACGTCGCCCCTTATGAGTCCTTGGAGCCTAGACGTTCTAGCTCGTAAAACAATTTAAGGACTACAAAGAAAACTTCTAATCTCATAGTATACTAGATATTTAAATTACAATCACTTTGGAGTTTGAACAAATATTTTGAGGTGGTAAATAACTCTTCAGCGGCTGTTTGAAATTAACAAAATTAACATTGCTCGGCAGGCAAATCCAAGATGGCCGTTAGCTTCCATGTACTCCCTTGGAGAACAATTCATAACTACAAAGAACATTTCTAATCTCACAGTATACTAGATATTTAAATTATAATCACTTTGATGTTTGAAAAAATGTTTTTGGACGATAAATAACTGTTCAGCAGCTGTTTAAAATCATCCAAGATGGCCGCTAGCCTCCAAGGACTCTTAAGCTCCTTTCTAATAAACCTATAATCTTTAGCATTGATCACAGTAAGAGATTGTTGGGACAATAAAATATTCATGGTATTTGAGTTCATTTTCCCAATACAATCGCGGCCGGCTCGACGTAAGCCTGCACACACCACGATGTTTTACGTCCTGGTTCAAGAACGTAAATGTAAAAAGTTTGTACCACAAATATTGTGTCCGTTGTATTCAATATCAACTTTACGTGTATTTGACGAATCGTTTTAATGAGGATCAAACTGATGATGTGACCGTCGTCTTGAAAGTGGTAGTCATCTGACACACCAAAGGATATTGAACAGGTAACAATTTATTTGGATTTGATGAAATGGCCATACTCAAAAAAGAAAATTAGAGAAAGGTAACTTAAAACAAACGATTTACTAATATTTTTACATTCCCACGTGATTGCAAAGACATCGTCGCTGCCTCCTTTGATGACAGCAAATAAAATCAAAATCATATTTATTAAAAAAGGGATTTAAAAACAGTTTTCATACAATTTTCAATATGGAAAAAGTCTCGCATAGACCCTGCAAGACCTGCATACTGTGCATCTCTATATTCCTTTGGGGTCATGATATTCTCATTGCCTCTCATAATCGCGGCAATATCTTGGAATGGTCCTGCGGTTTGCGAAGACCGAAATAATTTTAACAAAACATTCTAAATTTACAAAACCGAATAACAAGAAGGTTGCTACTAGTAACAGATCATATCGAATGTTTATCAAAGTTTTATTTATTACAAACTAAACTATCATAATTTCCATTATCATACCTGTAGCTACTTTTAGACTGTAATGTTTTAATTTGTTTATTAGGTCGGCAATTTCAAAGAGCCAACACAATAGGTGCCATGACTCCCATCACGCCTCGCCACACGAGTGTGCACGGCAACCTTCCCACCGGCAGTGCTAGGGCACCCAAGTAAGTCTAACACAAGTGCTTCAAGTAAAGAAATATAGAGGTTTATAAAAAAAGTCATTTTGTCATACAGTTTTACACCCCCTAGTTTTTTAACAGAGTGAATACTTTGGTTAAAAAATCCAATCAGACTAACACCAGACAAAGTGAAGAGTCAGTGAAAACTTTAACTGAAAATAACTCACCCTGGAACATTCCTTATAATTGAGGTTTTAATAAAAGTAAAAACAAATTAGATATTTAATTTTTATCAATATAATTGAAAAAGCTCAAATTGTAATGATTAAAAACCAGCTTAAATCCTAGTTCATGAGTTATTCAATCACCCTCACAAGATCTTGCATTTGTAGTTTTATGCAAAGTTCAATAAAAATTGATCTCATTATTTTTATCATTTTTACCCATGAAACATCAATTTTCCCAATTTATCTTGAATGTTAAAATAGAGCTTAAAAAATAAATAATTTAGTAAGATAAAAGAGAAAATTCAAAAAAAATTTTAGGCCAAACTTTAAATTTCCCATGTTATTTTGAAAAGAATAAGTAAACTTTTGTAGTTTGATTGTTTATGGATATATTTAGATCTTGGTAAATTTATTTACCTTATATTCTACTGAGCCGTGAGCCGATAACATTTTACTAAAAAAACACACTTTATTATCTACTCTGTAGCACTAAACATAAGTACTCGTTAAACCTCATATGTTTAAAGGAGACATTTAATTTAGAATCCAATCAGGCAAAACTGATTTTTTATGGATGGAAAGAATTGAGTTTTTTATCCGGACGGGACACGATGGGATTTTTATTTCCTTCTCAATTTTTGGGTCGTGTGCATAAAAATGGGTTGTTTTAAAAGTCCTGAATATTGCAGTTACCAAAAAGACACTCTCTCGGCGCAATAGTCTAAATGACTCGCGATAACGGAGTGATCGTCGGTATGACTTGCGGTCACGGTGTCATCGTCGGTATGACTCATGGTCACAGCGTGATCGTCGGTATGACTTGTGGTCACGGTGTAATGGTGGTAATGACTTGTGGCCATGGCGTGATTGCCGTAATGACTCGCGGTCACATCCCGATCATTGTAATGACTCGTAGTCATGGCGTGATCGTCGAAATGACTCGCGGTCAAGCCCGATCATTGTAATGACTCGCAGTCTCGGCGTGATCTTCGAAATGACTCGCAGTCATGGTGTGATTGTCGTAATGACTCGCGGTAACTGTGCGATCATTGTAATGACTCGCAGTCTCGGCATGATCTTCGAAATGACTCGCAGTCACGGCGTGATCGTCGTAATGACTCGCGGTCACAGCCGATCATTGTAATGACTTGCAGTCACGGCATGATTGTCGAAATGACTCGCGGTCACGACATGATTGTCGAAATGACTCGCGGTCACGGCATGATTGTCGTAATGACTTATGGTCACTGCGCGATCGGCGAAATGCCTTCGCCTCCTGCGTTTGCGGAACTATCGTGAACATCTCTCGCTATAGTGGCGCAAAATCGCCGTCTATCGGTTAAAAACCAGTCCCAAAAAATTTCCGAATCAAATGTAATCCTGTCCCGAAAATCGTGAATACTATTTTCCAGTAAAATTTCCCGAAATTTCGGGAACCATCCCTAGAATTTTGCTTAGTTAGCAGGTCTGCTGCGGCGGGGGTATTTTACTTCTTACACACTTTATTTGCAGAAGTCAAATGGTCAGTACCGATTCGGCCAGAAGAATGAGTAGTTTTGGAGGAGGTGGAAAACGCAAGGATACAAGACCAATCGCAGAAAAGTCTTTCCAGCAAGCTGCACAAGCTAAGGTAAGATGGCGCCTTTCAATTTTTTGTAACCATAGTGTTGACGTGAAACGGTGTTTTAACAACTTTTAAATCACCAACCAGCCAAATTTCAAAGGTTAATAAAAAATTCTAGTTTTAAGTCGCTTGAGAGGTTTTTTGAAACATTGATATTGATTGATAGAGTAAAGAATAATTTTTACTATACTCTAGCCAATTGTTTTTCAAATTAATTCAGGCTAGACCTGGAGGTTGTGGCATTATCACTTTTTTATTTATTTATTCACTAAACGGTTATAAACCAATACAGTGAAAGTACATTGTTATGCATGCTTAACAGTAACAAAGCAACTATATAGATCAAGAGTAAATATATGTGGACGGCTGTTCTAATGTTGACGTTGAGCTAATCCATTAGTGATTAGTGGGATTTGAATCGGAACCTGAAGTCACGTTCTCTACCACTAGACCAGTTCACTCACCAATGTCGAGAACAATATAAGCAAAGACATAATAGAGTAAGTTCTTTTTTTTTAGACCTACATTATTAAAATAGGTAGAAATGAAGATTTTTGTTTTAGTTTCCAATTCAATCTCAAAGAATTACATCCTTAAGGCCTACATCCATAAGAATTAAAAAAGAACCAGGTCAAATCTCAATGTTTTGTTTTATCCAGGTGCAAGAGTACTTTGATCGGCATGCATCTGACGTTATTGGACCTGGAAACAGCATTCGTCCAATGAACACTAAGCTGTTTGTGGATATGATCAATCACCTTCTGCAGAATTTGGATTCAAAAATTGTCATATCAAAATCAAACTACTTAGAAGAAATACCATTAAATTTGAGGAAGTTGGGTTATCGTTCCAAAGTGGACAGATCCTGGCTTATGACTGGTACAGTGATCAGTTATCTATTTTTGTTAATATAAATTACTGCTTACCAGTTTTTGTCGTCTTTAAGTCTTTACTTTCATCTCTTGTTTTTTTTACTTTGAGTATCCCTACTATCTCTCAAAGATAGTTCTGAGTTTGAAACACTAGATTTCTCCTGCAATTGTGGCAAAGTCGTGAACAAAGCAAAATCTCCTATGGTTACGAAAAAATCATTGTATCAGACAATTGTGCCGACAGTGCATTTTTGAATGTGCAAACTTCTCAGAAGCTTTCAGCAATTGGGGTAATATTGCATGAATTGAAGCTTAACTCTGCTCAATTTTCTGATTCTTCGCTCAATCACTCAAGCTTATAATATGCTAGGCTTGACTTGGTTCAAATATTGAGCTGCTTACATACATTAAGTTAAAAAAAAAAACAGTTCAGCAATTAAAATTTAAATTTTATGTCTACTATTGGTTTCTGATATGCTATATAAAAATCTGTGGTACGTTGTCTCTCATTTCCATGTAATACTATCATGGAAGTGGCATGCTAGTTTATGGATGTCTTTCTAAAGTTTGGCAAATTTATTTTAGTCTAGGCTTGTAATGTGGCTTGTAATTTGTCAGAACAACACTGGTGTGTGTTCCTTAAATTAGCTAACCAAATTTCTCATTGAGCCAATGAGATTTATACTAAGCGCGAATTAAATCTTACTAATATTATAAATGTGAAAGTTTGTGTGTTTGTTTGTTTGTTTGTTTGAAGTTCAATCACGCATAAACCACTGGACAGATTGGGCTGAAATTTGGCATTATGATAGCTCACATTCCCGATTAACATATAGGCATATTCTTATCTCAAAAATCCTCTCGGGCTCCACCCCAGTGGCTCTGTAATTCCCCATGTTAACCTTATTAGTATTCATATTTAAATGGAATTAAAGAATTTAGTCAGCTGTTTCAACTAAAAAAGTTGGTTCTATGATATACAAAAGCATTAAAAAGTTATAAGATTTACCTACAGGGTGCAGCACAAATTTTTTTGCATTTAAGTAAATAGCTAATTTGAACTACAGCAAGGAAACACTCTGATATTCAATGAGAACTGTCAAAGTGGAATGGATGGCACTCACAGTTATGTTCAAGTTTTTAATGTCATGAAAAATTTAGATTTTTTGTGAATTTTTTAAAATTTATTTTTCTTTATTGTTTAGGTGAAGTGGTAGAACATAATGCTATGGTAGATGTGTAATACCATAGTATAGTATACCGTAAATTCAAAGAAGCAAATTTTATCAAACTTTGTCCTCCCCCATTGCAAACGCAAAGCTTGAGTATAACTGCAATAAGCATTTTTAACTTATAAGCCAACCCCGTACGAAGGACGGGTACTCTGCTAGTGTTTTATAAATATACAAATGACTGTAGCTGTTACGGCTATAAGTATAGATCGGGCCAATGACGTCATTTGTTTATGTTTATGACCCACACCGTTTCTTTTCAATTCGTGATTTTTACTAACTTAAAATAACAAAACTGAAAGGACAGCTTATTGTGAGCCATCGTATCCAATAGTATTAGTCAAATAAAATACTATAGAGAGGACAAGAGTTTTTATGGAAGCACACAATATGGGAGAGACTCATTTTACCTAACTGAAATAGAGTTTGGTACAGCTGCCCCTATATCAATTAAAATGTACCTAATTTGTAAAATATGTTTTAAAAATAAACTCAATAACTGTAAACTAGCTTAGTCTTTGGGTTTTCTGCAACGGTGTTGTTTCTATATTATTCCAGACTTAAAATACTGTTTAATATAGCTTTCAACAAACACTGGCTGACCTAAAATCAATAAATACCGTAAAGTTAATAAACAGTGCCTATGTGTTGCTAATTAAATGTGTGTCTTTTTAAGCAGCATTGTTGATATGCATATTCTTTTGTTTTCCCAAGTAGCCTATTAAAAGAATTAAACCGTTTATGAAGATAATTTAGATTGATATTGGAAAATTTAAAATTCTTTGAACTGTAACTTTATTCATATTATCTATTGTTGTAGTGAATACACCACACTCTTGGCAGCATGTGATTGCGGTCTTGTGTTGGCTCGTGGACTTGAAAGAGGTCATGGATCTGACTGATCCGTTTGAAATGATCTACCCGAACGTTGTTGAAGACGAAACTGAAGAAAAAGAGGACGAGGAAGAAGATGAAATTGTCATTGATAAAGATGTAATGCTTAACAATTAATACACCTCATCTACTGTAACTTTAAAAATATCTAAAAAAAAACTTTTGTTGTACTTTTTTTAGTTTTGTTACTTTTGTTTTTGTACTTTTGTTGCCAAAGTATCTATATAGTGTGTGAGGACGGACAGTTTCCAGTACAAGCTTGATAAAATATCTTCTCTGCTTGAATAGCTTTTATACTCTGGATTTGTATTTTTCTATAAATTACAAATGTTTTCATCCCCATACAGTAAACTACCACTTCTTCTTAAAATATTCATTTCATGTTTGGACTTATTTTTCATGGAATTTAACATCAAATTTAGTAACTTAAATCACTTTATTGTATATTTAACTTGAAATTAATTACAATTTTGAGGCATCATACAACAGGTGTTATATTTCTAGTTAGTAAAGGGATTTATGACGGTGGTGAGTGTACATTCAAGGGTTGGGTCCCTCGCAGGTATGGCTGAGCTCCAGCTGCTCTCCTTGAGCAGTGTTTGATTTTGATTCTTAAAATCATTACAAATGCCTGCATAAGAGTAAAACATTATTATTAATCTACTGTATTTAAATATAAGACATTTTTATGGAGATGATAACATTGTTAAACAGGCTACCAGTGGTATAAAGTAATTTGTCTTTGTTTTACAATCGTTCTTCTTTTGGACGAATTAGACTGTCTATTAAATTTAAAAAAGACTGAACATCTATCAAAATACTTTGGATTAAATATAGTCGATAACTGGTGTCATATGTATGGTATTAATAGCAATAAATTTCAGATGGTTCTCCATCTCAAGAGGTCGTATCAAATGAGGAAATGTGATGAAGACCGGTTAGCTTTGATGGATGAAGAATTTATTGAAAAACAAAGTGAGTACACTTAACAATTATAATTTCAAAAAATAATACAGCACATTTGAATTATTTCATGGATTGTTTGTCTGAAAAGTTGTTAGTTTTTTCAGTTGCAAGCTAAGAAACTAGTACGTATACCCCCGCCGCAGCAAACCTGCAGACTATGCAAATTTCTATTTGTCGGATTGAATTTTCACCAAAGTATCCCCCTAAAAATGTCATATTTATTCCTTATTTTCTAGAGAATAGCATTAGTTTTTTGATTTTTTGAAGTGCTTAGGTTTGCTGCTACGAGGACGGTTATAAGAGTTTTTGACCAAATGTTGATAGTGATAATATGAAATAAATAAATTTGATATATGTTCATAATCATAAACAATATATGTCAAGTGTCGAGGATGTCAAGTGTCAAGGATGTTATTTGCCATTTTTAGATTATCTGTTAAATTGAATTATGAGGTTCATTTCCGGTCAAATGTCATTCCACGCATAGTTTTTCTTGTTTTTGTTTTTATAGTCAGAAATACTTTCATTCCACAGCACTTGCTGTTCTCTGTACAAACTAATAATATTGTCATCTCCCCATTCCATCTCAATAAGTAGATTTTCCATCACTTACAACTCGCACGATACGAGACAAGTCACAACAAACACGAGGTAGCTAGTAGCAGCGTAGAAGTCTAGACAGGGTTAATAACACTGAGGCGAGACACAGCATATTGCGAGTGATCACGTGGAGGTGGCAGCGTTGGGGATGGCGGAGAAATGTTTCCGTTTCGTGTTTCAACGGCTCATAGTGACAGAAACTAGTGTTGCAAACAAAGAGTTTGCAACTCCCTTTGATCTTTACCGCCTTCAAGTGGAAACAAAAATTTCTGTTGCAAACACTGAAAAACTGTTTGCAACAGCGAAATGTTTCGTCTAAAAATGCGCGTTTTTAGAGGTGTTTGCAATTTCTGTTTGCAACTCGTGTTTCAAACTCCGATGTAAACGCGGCTTCAGGGGGACTCAAAACTAAGTACTGTAGTAGTATATTTACTAAAATTAAATAAGTTCCGGGACTACTAGGTCTTGCCATGAGACCTACAGTAATAGCTTATTCCCTATATGGGAAATCCGCTAATATTAATGTTGATTTCAGTTCAGTTTGCATTATGCTCTAGGAACTAATAAAGGTTTTTGTTTTCAGTTATAGACTTAAAATGTACAGAAGAAGATTTTGACACACTACAAAGGCAACTTGATCTAATCAAAGAAGAAGTAGAAAGTGAAAACCAGAGAAAAGCACTTGTCATAGATGAATTGCAGGTAAGCCTAGACTAGTGTTGTAGAACAAACAAAACTTTGCTCTCAAATCCTACATAGATTTTCGGTTGTAGCCGCTTACAAAAAAAAAAAAATGTAAATTGATGTACTCTTAATAAGAATTTTTATTTTTTTTTATAAAGAGTGTTTAAACCTAAAAGAAGACAATAGATTTCAAAGAGAAATAACCTTTCACAGAGTTTGTAAAAAAATACCTTTAAAAATCAGTATATAGGCCTAGTAAAAATATTATTGGGGTACCCTTCAAAATGTGTGCTTATGAGTTATTAATAATTTTTCAAACTTTTGTACAATTAGTAAAAGTTGTTCACTTTTAGAAATATATGAAATGCATACAAAGATAAGAAAATATTACTCAATTCATTGGTGTTAAACTGGGAACTCTTAAAACTAATAACTCAAACAAACACCAGAATTAAAGGAATTAAAACTCATGTAGACTGCACATAGACGTAAGCTACCAAAGAGTGTTTCTTTGGTAGCTTACTTGGTTCATATTACTAATTGACAATTTTATATTCGCTTTGTGTACATACTGTCTGTTTCAACCCAGCAATTTTTTTATAGAAAATCAAGGAGAAAGAAAAGGCTGTAATTGAGGACAGTGAATCAATGAAAGAATATATTGAAAAATCAAAAGCTTTTGTTGAGAGTGTTGAAGTAAAAATGGCAACAACAGATAAAGAAATAACTGTAAAAAGTAAGTATATTATTAATTAATGTCGACTCTTTTCTATAGTTAATTATTAGCTGCAGTTAGTTGAAAAATTTGATGACAATTTGATATCAAATTTTGTAGGCTATGATTATGAATGAGAAGCTAATACATAAAGCATTTTATTGTCAGTATATTTATATTTCACATGTTTTATTCCAGGTTTCCCAATCAACTAGGACTAAACTTAATAGTTTGTTTTAGCTTTAAGTAATTCCTATGTAGAGATAGTGTTAGAAAAATTTAATCTGGCTAAGGAAGGTTTAGAAGTTTTAAGTTGAACAGCTTTAATGTGAATATGTTAGCATTATTTGCCACCATTATAAATGCTGACATTAGTTAAGTTTACCAATACAGTAGTTTTTTTTTTTTTTTAAAGAGGTTGGCGGCCTCTTTTAACCTTGCATTTGCCCGTCCACATAGACTACAGATCTGTGCGTGGAACGTATCCAGCAAAGCAAGGGGTGATCCGGTACAGTACAAAGGTGAACTGTACTGATAAAAGTTTGTGGCAGTGACCAGGATCCGAACCCACGACACTTCTGCCTTGGGCCCTAAGTCCGTGACGCTACCAACTGAGCCACCGACTCACCAAACATAGTTGCTTTCACAAGTATTTTTCAGAAGGAAAACAATCACATTTCAATAATGCTTACTGACTGGTCGCCATTTTAATTAAAACTAAAAGTATTAAGACTCATCTGCATGAAATATTTAACTTATTATACCATCAGTGCATTTCTTATTTAGAAATAATGCTTCAACTGACTAGGTTAGTGAATTAAAAAAAAATGACCTGTTATTTAGGAGCTGCGTTGGAAAAGAAAAAAGAGGAGTTGCAAAAAATCCAGGATAAGGTTAACACTCAGCAAATATCTCGTGATGAAATAGATCAGTTCAATGTGGAGAAAAATAACCTGCAGCGAATGATTAAGTTTTATGAAAGTACCATAAGAGAATACCAAAATTCTACTTTTGCCGTAGACATGAAACTAGCAGAGGATCAAAAGAGGGTAAGTTATAAAAATCAATCTATTAGTCTTATACTAATTTGGCATGAAATGAGTCCAGGCAGTGAGATCGCCAGATTACTAGAGTGGAGTCATGTAAAATCTATCATAAATGAACACGGAAAAACTAAAACTGTCCTAATTACTGTTCCATCTTAAAATCACGTAGCAATCAAATTTCTGCCTATCAAACCATGTCCAAACCTATAGGATTTAAATAATTTATAACTAGTGAGGAGTTGTAAACGTAATGAGAAATTAAGTATTGCTTTTCAAAAAGATTTTCATTTTCTGTGTTCTACTCTAGGCAAATTTTAGCATCCTTTTTATTAATGAATTATAACTTCAACCAATCAAATAGCCTTCCAATGTCTTCAATGTCATGATTTTTGGGAGTTGTGTAAAAATTATTTCTCTTTTTATCAACCGTTTTTTAGAAACACTCATAAGTTGAAAAATGTTACATAAATTTTTGATAAATGGTCGGTCCACTTAGTTAATTAATTTCAACAAGTAACTTAAACAACATTACATAAAAGAAGGCAGAATTTGCATTAACTGTTAATGGATGCTAGTTCTTAGATGCCCCATCACACTAACCGGGAAAAAAAGCTGAACACTGAACTTATAAGATGGAAAATAATAAATACGTGTTTAGATAGATCTCATAATGATTGCTCGGTCCAAACCGATCACCAATTGCCGTTCTTAATTTTATTATCTTTATGAATATGAATAAAACAAAAACATTACTGTAAATGTACTTTAAAGTACAATCAGACATTTTTATTTACAATAGAAATTGAGTTGTTAACAATATTTCTGTCTAACTCTGTTTACCACTTGTTTGATTTCACAGCTTGAAAAATTAGTTTTGGAATATAACAAACTAGTTGCTGAAACAAATGTCCTGGAACCACAATTGAAAAACTGTGAGATCAAACTGCAGCTATTGACTGATGTTAGTGTGCTTGAAACAATTGATTCACAATTGAAAACACTGAAGGATAAGTATAAATCTGCAATAAACGAACTCGAGTCACAGAAACAAGATTGTGAAACCATTTTAAAATTGGTAAGTTAGTATATTAATAAATTTGTTTAGTCATCATAGTGGACGGTTAGTTAATAAATTGTTTCATATTAAAACCATAGTCTAACCAACACAAGTAGACTTCTCATCCCATTGTAAATTTTGAAGCACGTTTTTCGTGTCTAGTTCATGTACTGTGACACTGGGCGCTAGTGTCGACGAAATTTTGTTTCATTATTTTATGGTTAATTTCTTGATTTGTGCTTTACTGTTTGGTTATATAACTAGGGGACAAGTTATTGTTTATGATTAGATCATATTATTTGGTTAAACATTTTTAAATGACTGTAACAACGGGAAACAAATTGTAACCAAAACACGACCTCTACATAAACCGTACAGAACTAACAATAAAATTTTCTTCAGCCAGGGGTGCGCCCACAAGGGGGGGCTGTGGCGCAGACTGCGTCATTGAAATTCTTGGGGGGGGGGGGTGCAAAAAATTCAAATGGGTGGGTGGCTAAAGTTAGTTGCAACAGTGTTCAACGTGACGACAATCAAAAATATATTACGAAATTTCCAGATAGAAAGTCGATTAATTAATGACAATAGTTATATTATTTAATTCAATTAGTTAAAATAGAATTTTAGGATAGTTTAGGATTTGTGTGGGAAGTTATTATTCAAGATTAGCAAGACGTGAGATCTAAGAGGGAGGGCACGGAATGGCTCAACTGCTGTGATAGATAAAGATAACGCGTGGTACAGACACGTCCAGCTACACCACGACTCAGCACAGAACACTTTGTTGACATAAAGCTCGTTAAAATACAATCAAGTAGCAGGCTACAATACTTTACACTATTGTGTAGATACTCGATTACCTGAGTTAATAAAGAGGGGGGGGGGGGGTAATAAAAAATACGGTTAATCCAATATAGTATAAAAACAGATGAAAAACCCATTAAAACGCTGTAACCAGCCATTAACGTCACGATTTGCATTTTTATAAACAAAATTCAATATTGCACAATCATTATTATTGTGCAATAATGACATTTTAAATTATTTATCTTGGTGGTTCAGTTATACGAACGGCAACGTTTAAAATTATAGCTAACTCAAACTCAACTAATAACTAGCCAAACACTGCATTGCTATAAGTAACGTAAATATTAAACCTTAGAAAGTGTTATAACTTATAAGCTACTACTGCTCATGATATACAGATAGGCTACCGGTAGGTGCTGTATCACAACATAGTAGGGATGGACGAGATTGAATTTTTAGTTCGGGACGGGACGGGACGGGATTTTTATTTCCTTCCCGATTTTCGGGACGGGACGGGACGGGATTTTTTTCTGTGCATAAAAAGAAAGTCTTGAGTCTTGCAGTTACCAAAAAAAGGCACACAAAATCAATCTTTACCGTTTGTGGCACTGATCTATAAAAACCAAAAAATGGGTAACAATCTTTCAGGTACCTGTAGAAACTTGTGACTCGCGGTCGAAAGGACTCGCGGTCACGGTGCGATCGTCGGTATGACTCACGGTCACGGCGCGATCGTCAGTATGACTCACGGTCACGGCGCGATCGTCGGTATGACTCCGCGGTCACGGGGTGATCGTCGGTATGATTCCGCGGTCACGCCGCGATCGTCAGAATGACTCACGGTCACGGCGCGATCGTCGGTATGTCTCCGCGGTCCCGGCGTGATCGTCGGTATGACTCCGCGGTCACGGCGCGATCGTCGGTATGACTCACGGTCACGGCGCGATCGTCGGTATGTCTCCGCGGTCACGGCGTGATCGTCGGTATGACTCCGTGGTCACGGCACGATCGTCGGTATGTCTCTGCGGTCACGGCGTGATCGTCGGTATGACTCCGCGGTCACGGCGCGATCGTCGGTATGACTCACGGTCACGGCGCGATCGTCGGTATGTCTCTGCGGTCACGGCGTGATTGTCGGTATGACTCCGCGGTCACGGCGCGATCGTCGGTATGACTCACGGTCACGGCGCGATCGTCGGTATGACTCCGCGGTCACGGGGTCATCGTCGGTATGACTCCGCGGTCACGGCGCGATCGTCGGTATGACTCCGCGGTCACGGCGCGATCGTCGGTATGTCTCCGCGGTCACGGCGTGATCGTCGGTATGACTCCGCGGTCACGGCGCAATCGTCGAAACGACTTCGTCTCCTGCGTTCGCGGACCTATCGCTCGCAATAGCGGCGTCATCGGCACTCGCGAAGCGGCAAAATCGCCGGCAATCGGACCAAATCCCGTCCCGAAAAATTCCCGAATCAAATGCAATCCCGTCCCGATAATCGGGAAGATTTTTTTCCCGAAAAATTCCCGAAATTTCGGGACCCGTCCATCCCTACAACATAGGAATTGATAGATAAGTAATAAAGTGTAAAATTATATTTAGAGATAATAAAAACACTCTTAAAAAAAGAATGTAACGAGAACAATCTTGTTATTCTTTTTCTTTGTTCTTCTGTTCTTTATTAGGTTTCTCTTCAATTCATTCACAAATTCAACAAGTCGCCATATTTAGGCCTACTCCATTGCCCAATCACAGCCTTACTAAAGCTACCATGGTTACTAATCACAGTTTACTAAGCATTATATCGTCATCATTCCCCAGCTGTTGTATCTGAAATCTGCTGTAACATAGCGCACAGCAGACACAAGTGTAAAACGGAGCAGACGATTGTTGGCGTAAACGTTGTTTCCATTTCATTTTCATCGTTGGAGCTGTGATGTTTCCAAAGGGAGGGAGAGGGGGTCGTTATATCAAGAAATGAAATGAAATGCTTTATTGTCGTTAAAACTGAGTACAAAGTTCATGACAATCGTCAAAAGAAAAAGAAAAACAAAACAATCAAGATGGCAACTAAAATAACTAAAACTAAAACTCAACCAAAGTACTCTTCATGTTTATACAGGCAAGCCTGGGTTAGAGTAGTTTTTAAAAAAGAGAAAGACGCTGACAATTTGTTAAGCAGAGGTTACGAACGCTATATAGATATTCTGGCAATAAAACATTCCTTTAATTGAGGTGACTTAAAAAACTCTAATTTTATTTAGGCCTATATAGAAAGATAAGTTTTCCAGTCCTGTAAAACACTGATTCACGGTCTTTTTCCGGTAATCAAAATTCAAGTACAACTTGATACACACAGAATCTCCGGTTCCCGACCTGGATGATGGCTGGTATTTAATTGAATTTACAGTACCGGTAGCATATTATATTAGTAACCGTGATAAATCAAACCCGTTATGTAAGCCAAAGCCACACGGTTATTAATCTCAATTGGTTTTGGATTTGCTTACAAAAGTGGTCGGAAATGGTTACACACGTGATCGGAAATGGTTAGGGCCTACACAGTATTCGTAAACAACATTTATGTAAACATATCAGTGACAGCCAGAAAAAGGAATCTTTATCCAAACAGCTGTTCGTAATTTCATATATGACATGTTCTCTTAACAGATTATTAGTATTTCATAAATGACGTATGTAGTAAACATGGAGGAAAAAACTTGAAAAATCACACAAAATTGGGTTTTTGATTGTCCGTTATTTTATTTCCAAAATTGTGAGGCCATATTTTAATGGCTAAGGACACTCTCGCCAATCCTGTGAATACAATTAAACCATTAGAATCATAATCGGTACTCTAGTTTTCTTTAGAGTAGGCTGCGTAAAATGCCTTCTGGGCCGTGACAGACGGACATAAATTGAGATAAGACAAGAAGTTGAGATGTTTCAACTTCTTCAATGTATAAAATCTATATATTAATTTGAAACTGTTTTTCTTTGTGACAGCTAATTTGAGAGAACGGCTGGGCGTAGAAACTCGGTAGAGGTGTCTAAAGAAAGGGCTTGGTCTGTAGATGAGCCATCAAAAGAGAAACGTGGTAAATTCCCTTGGGGCTCTGCCCCAGTGGCCTTTAAATTCCATCCCATGTTATTCTTATGGGCAAAAACGGGTTTTTGTCACAGCTAATTTCAGAGAACGGCTGAGCGTAGAAACTTGGTAGGGGTCTCTAAAGAAAGGTCTTGGTCTGTAGATGAGCCATCAAAAGAAAAACGAGGTAAATTCCCTTGGGGCTCTGCCCCAGAGGCCTTTAAAGTCCCCTCAGCAGATTTGTTTACATTATGACAATATGTATAATTTTACACTACTTTTTAATGAAACAGCTGTTAATATTTAAATTGTGATTTACTGAATTTGTCAAAATGAAGTATTTGCAATGGTTTTTTCTGATTTTAAAATCAATTTTCTTCTGCATTGTGTCACGTTTTGCAATATAATGTTCAATTGCCTAATCGGTGGAAAATCCTAATATCACAGTAACTCTTACAATTATTTCTTATGGAGTTAACTTATGTCTACCCGTTTTCTGCCTTTTTTACCACTTCTTGGAGATTGTACGTAGGTGTGTTGCATGTAGATGATATTCTTTGGCGTATTGCATCTGTAGACGATATTTGGGATGGTGTAATTATTACAATGGAAAAAAGGGAGAAATCCTGGACATTTTGATATAGGCCTACTAAAAATAAAACTGAATTAACACTGTGCTACATTTCTTGAGCAATCATTGAAAGAGCCGATTTGCAAACAATGGAAACATAAGAAAGTCATAGAACACAACCAAGTAGAAGAAATAGAAATAATGTTTTTTTCTTCATTTATAATCGTTATTATAGAGAACCTAATGGGCTATGAGTGGGAAACATTTGTAGAAAACTCTAAAAAACAAGATCAGCTTTTGAAAAAAGATAAGATATTTACAAACAGTTTTGATTATATCTAACTGTTGTGTACATCGTGAGTATTTCCATAATCTTTGAGTCGACTTTTAAAAGTAATCGGAAATTATGACTGTTATTCGTTTTAAAATAACGCCTGTAATGCTTCGCAATTGCTCGAATTCGAGCAACAGGTACACTAGTGTAAAAATAACCCAAAATATGTATAATTCTGAGCAATGTACAGACAGAACTATAACTTTATTTATATAGATTAACTGGGTTTGAATTTTCAATATCTAAAAAAATGTATAAAACTTAGTAAGTTTTACAAATAATGCTGGGTGGGGGAATAATGTTTCTCATTTGTTGGGGGGGGGGGCTGTTGCTCAATTGGAGGGGGGCGGTTCGTCATGAGTCTAGGGGGGGGGGGGGATGGGCACCCCTGCTTCAGCTGTACCATAAGGATGAGAAATCTACTAAGGGAGTATGTTTTATCCATGTTAAAACTTACTTATGGTGTCAATGTATAACATATAATAAATTATTAATAAACATGGGTTGCTTAAAAAGTATTGGTAAACATCGTGTACACATGGTCACCTAGAATTTTAAGATTTATATCCTTGAAATCATTCATTAGTTTTTTAATACCAGTCATTTAAGTGGTAGCCTTGTAATTTGTTATGCACTTATCATTAATTGACTTTAGGCCTACACGACTAAAAAGTGAAAAAAAAATTAAGAAGATAAGATACATTAAAGACATATACCTATTTAAAAATAGTTAGTATTTCGCCCCTTTTTTATGGCGAGTCTCGTATCGTGTTTAAAATCTTTTAAGCTTAATGTGATTCCAATCAGACATGTATATTCTAATTCTGTCCCAGGCAAATGAAGAGAGGGATAAAACAGTAGAAGAAATCAACAGGGAAAGTAGGCTATTGGAAATAATTGAATGTGATTATGAAAAGCAAAAGGATTCATCATTAAAGGTAATAGTTTAAATTTTAACTCTTTATTAACGTTTCAGAGCTGCTATTGAAAATATGTTGATTAATTTTCATAAAGTAATTCGTTGTAGATCATACTATAGTATTTAACACAAATTCAAGTTCTTATTCAAGTTTTATGAATGTCAATTTTGTTATTGCTAAATAAAGCAATAATAAGCTATTTCTTAAATATGTTGGTAAAGGATGAATAAAAATACAATATCAGTGTTTCAAGTGCTTGACTACTGAAACGCTAGTATTGGTAGAAAAAAAGGCTTATGAAGGTAAAAGCAGGACCCAGCTGTCATATATCATTAGGATTTACATTCAAAATCTTTGCTAGAGTTTGTAGGTGTAAAATTTTACAAAAATACATAAAGCTCTACACCGGAATAAATGAGTGTCAAATGAAGCAAGATGGTTAATATGTTACTATAGTCTCAACCCAGGACTATGGGGTCAGTTAAAATCAATCTGATTTATGAACCAGGATTTACGAACTTTAAATATCTTTGAGCTGTGTTATAACAATACAGAGTGCCCAAAAAGTCCCGGGTCGGTTAAATATTTTTTGAAATATTTAAAATAGAGCTACAAAACTTTTCACAAAGTGACTGGGCATAAAAATACATTTTATCACATATTCAGTGATCCGCTACTTCCTCAGGGGGACGGTCACTAGGAGTCAGAAGAAAATCTTAAATATAAGCATAGGTTGATATGCATATCAAATAAAATGACTTATATAGTAGAATACAATGCTACAAATTTGAACACAAACGGACTACCGAGTCAAAAATGGCAACCGTTCATGAAGCGAAAAGGAGACCTTTATTTTTGTTTAAGTGAAGCAATTAGCATTCGTAGTTGATAAAAAAACTTATTTCCTTGATTAGGGTATAAAGTCAAAAAATAAATACGAGCTAAACTTTCTCATAAGATTGGATGTCCCAAGTGTTCTTAGGGAATTTTCTACTCATGGTTACCCATGGCCACTTAACTTTTTCATTTTGATGTCCCCAGAGGCGTGTGTCCGAGAACATGACGGACACGAACAAGAGCAATCTGTGGTTTAATTTTTATTAAATTTGTCATGTTTGTGTAGAGCTGAATACACTGGAGTGATTTCGTGAACCTAACCAGCATGATCTGACTTTGAGAATGGGGTTTTATGGGGTCAAAAATTGCTTTTTACTTTCTCCCCCTGTACCATAGTATATGGAGAAAGTATTGTTTTCGTCAAAATTTTTCATTTTATCATCAATCAGCAATTCCCCTTCAAACAATATTGTAGAGCCCAAAAAACAATTGATTCAGTATTTTTACGTGTTTTAGTATGCTTAATGGTTACAAAGAAATTATTTAATAAACATATATATATATATATATAGGGTGTCCCACGAAGGGGTTTAAACGTTTGATTTTATATTACGTGCCCATTCATGCACCGAACTTTTTTAAACTTTACACAGTTTACAAAGTAGGTTCTAAAAATATTCTGGAAAAATTTCAACCCCCTAACCTTAGTAGAAACAAAATGGCAGCATATAGAAAAATGTACCAATTTGCTTCCTATAAAAACTACTTTCATGATTTATTATCTGATTTTTACTGCGTTGCGGTTCTAACGCTCATTGTTGAAGAACAGCTGTTTGATTGTAAAATGAGTTTTAAATGAATTCGTCTTGCCCCATTTGAAAGTACCAGAAATGAATCAAGCAATCTTTCAACAAGATGGTGCACCACCTCATTTCGCAAATCCTGTCAAGCAATTACTAAATGGCAACCTTCATGGCCGTTGGATTGGTCGTGGAAATGATTTTTTTTTAGATTGGCCACCCCGATCACCTGATTTAACTGCTTGTGACATCTTGACATCTTGCTGAAACAAGTTTATACCCATAGCTTCATTAATGATGAGCAACTAAAACTATCAATAGAAGAGGAACTTCTCCGGATACCGCAGGTTTCTTTGCAAGAGCTTAAGAATAATTTGTTACGCGCTGTTATCAGTGTGTTACTGTGGATGGGTTACAGTTTGAATAATTTTGGACATTAAGGTTTTCCATTAGGCTATGTTCTAGTTTTTTTTTATTTGAGTCATATTTCCCCTGGAAAGTAACAAAAAAAATATTTCAACTGGAAAGATTTCAACTCCCTAACCTTAGTAGAAACAAAATGGCGGCATATTGAAAAACGTTACTTTAAAAACATTAAAAAAGGTATTTTTGGTTTTATAAAATATTTTTATTGTTACTTTCCAAGGCAATATGACTTTTAAATAAAAAAAACTAGAACATAGCCTAATGGAAAACTAAAAATAAATCAAATAACTAATAAATAATAATAATAAATAAACAACTAATAATAAATCATGAAAGTAGTTTTTATAGAAAGCACGTTGGTAAATTTGTCAATATGCCACCATTTTGTTTCTTGGGGGAGTCGAAATTTTCCCAGAATATTTTTAGAACCTACTTTGTAAACTGTGTAAAGTTTAAAATAGTTCGGGGCATGAATGGGCACGTAATATAAAATCAAACGTTTAAACCCCTTCGTGGGACACCCGGTATATTTGTTCAAATTTCAAAAATTGTATTCATGTCACAATAAACTATTTATATTTAGCTAAAAAATACCCTTTTCCTACAGTTACCTGACAAAGTGGCCTTCCTTGCACTGGTTATAGTACGCCAAGTAGTTAATTGCTTCATTTACTTACTTTGGCCGTACTCCAGTTTTCCAACCAAATAATACAAAACAGTGTGCTTTTACTATGCACGTAATACAATATTGTACGCTTTAAAATAAGTTGGCAACACTTAAAGATATTACAACTATGATCAGCTGTAAAAATCTGTCCCATTTCATTCAACCCTAGGATTTAACATAATCTAAAAAAAACTTATAATGTTTGAAAGACTAATTATTTATGTGCTTTATAGGAAATAGTTATTTGTGTAACTAGTGGGCGAAGTGGCACTTTGCTGCACACAAGAGAAATGTTTACCCACAAGCCGTAGGCGAGTTCTTGAAGTTTCTGCCTACCGTGTGGCAGCAAATCTAAATACTCGTTAAACACAATGTTATTTAAATTAGGAATAAATCTGACATGTGTAGGGAACCAAGCAAAAACTACCATCGGACAAATGTTAATTCTCTTAGTACAGCTAAGGTCGCTTGGATTGCTGACGTAGGTATTTTGACTGTATCTTCGTCCTTTATATCTATGGTGAAAATCCCAAAATAAAATTGCCTTTTCGACTTTTTTTTCGGACGTGCCATGTGATTAGGGATGTTGCGATACTATCGATACCAGTAGGTATCAATACTTTTAATGCGATACTGCTGGTATCGTATCGGTATCGGTTGTTCCGATATTTACTTGGTATCGATACCAAGAGGCCAGTATCGTATCGGAAGGTCATTTCTCATTTCTGACAAATCTGAGTATGGCTACGCTCGTGCCTTCTGAGCGGTTGTTTTACAAGGCTGGACAGGGTGTCTACCAGTCGGGAATTCCGGGAAATTCGGGAAAAAGTCGGGGATTTTGAAAGGTCGGGAAAAGTCGTGAAAAAGTCATGAATTTCGGCCGAAAGTCGGGAATAATCTAACCTTTCAAAATTAGGAATGAACGGGTCCCAAAACTTTAAAAAAATGTTCTGGATCTTATATTCCTGATCATTGGGACGGGATTACATTTGAGGGGGGGGGGATGAAACGAAAATGCATCGGAATTCCAATTCGATTCAGTGATGATCAAAATAACGATTTGAATCATGGGCATTCAGTGTCCATAATATACGTTTTTGAATCAGCATCCATACGTTATGGAATCAGTATCTATATACGGTATTGAATCAGTATCCATATACGTTATTGAATCATTATCCAAATAGCTTTTTGAATCAGTGTCTATACGTCATTAAATCAGTATCCATATACCTAGTTGACTGTTACATTGATAATGTTACTTTGACTATCAGTATCCATATAACTTATTGACATTATTCAAATGATTGACATTAATTATATAAGCTATTTATTGAGATGAGACATTGCTTAGCCATACAAGTCATTACCATCCAAGTACATGGCATACACTGAGACATTGCTTAGCCATACAGGTTATTGCCATCCAAGTACATGGCATACACTGAGACATTGCTTAGCCATACAGGTTATTGCCATCCAAGTACATGGCATACACTGAGACATTGCTTAGCCATACAGGTTATTGCCATCCAAGTACATGGCATACACTGAGACATTGCTTAGCCATACAGGTTATTACCATCCAAGTACATGGCATACACTGAGACATTGCTTAGCCTTAGCCATACAAGTTATTACCATCCAAGTACATGGCATACACTGAGACATTGCTTAGCCATTCAGGTTATTACCATCCAAGTACATGGCATACACTGAGACATTGCTTAGCCATACAAGTTATTACCATCCAAGTACATGGCATACACTGAGACATTGCTTAGCCATACAAGTTATTACCATCCAAGTACATGGCATACACTGAGACATTGCTTAGCCATACAAGTTATTACCATCCAAGTACATGGCATACACTGAGACATTGCTTAGCCATACAGGTTATTGCCATCCAAGTACATGGCATACACTGAGACATTGCTTGACCATACAGGTTATTGCCATCCAAGTACATGGCATACACTGAGACATTGCTTAGCCATACAGGTTATTGCCATCCAAGTACATGGCATACACTGAGACATTGCTTGACCATACAGGTTATTGCCATCCAAGTACATGGCATACACTGAGACATTGCTTAGCCATACAGGTTATTGCCATCCAAGTACATGGCATACACTGAGACATTGCTTGACCATACAAGTTATTACCTTCCAAGTACATGGCATACACTGAGACATTGCTTGACCATACAGGTTATTGCCATCCAAGTACATGGCATACACTGAGACATTGCTTAGCCATACAGGTTATTGCCATCCAAGTACATGGCATACACTGAGACATTGCTTAGCCATACAAGTTATTACCATCCAAGTATATGGCATACACTGAGACATTGCTTAGCCATACAGGTTATTGCCATCCAAGTACATGGCATACACTGAGACATTGCTTAGCCATACAGGTTATTGCCATCCAAGTACATGGCATACACTGAGACATTGCTTGACCATACAGGTTATTGCCATCCAAGTACATGGCATACACTGAGACATTGCTTTGCCATACAAGAAGTTATGTATACCTTGTAGTTCTGATTCTATCCTCTTATTTTATCAATGTAAACCAATTGAAAGATTCAGTATTTAAATCTTACAAAGGTTTTTATTTGTTTACACCCAAACATATCTTTATTTATAAAGTGAATAAAATAAAATAGGTAACATACTTAACAACATGATGCTGCAAGTAAAAATTATGAAATAGGCAAGAAGCTCACTGATATTTCCAGAAATACTGGTTCTTCTAATGTATGATTGAAAACAGATATTTCAATCCACTGAGAAGTATGAATAGAAAAATTCCATGTTGCTTCGAATCGAGTTACGCATCAACATTTTTTTAAATTGAATCGTTGCTTTGAGTTGAAATGTTTTGCTGCTTCACACACCCCTACATTTAATACGGGATTTTCTTGGCATGTGATACGTTTTGATCGTCAGTGATTTTGCTGGGTCGTAAGTGACAACATATGTTGACGAAGGTACCGTGACCGCGAGACGGAAAAAGGTGTAGTAACATGGAGAATGGACCGAGTTTTTGGTCGGGATTTATATAAAAATGGTAATGAAAAGTCGGGAAAAAGTCGGGAATTCCATTTGAGAAATCTGGTAGACACCCTGCTGGAGCAGAAGAGAGGAAACAGACTTTAACCCAGTTAAATATTTTGGTTTTTTTGTTTAGCTTGTCTGATATGTGGTTTGTGTAAATTGATTCACTATTCATTCATAGAACTATAAGTAAAACCGTATATATTGACTATATATACCTACAGTACGGTAGGTATATATAGTCAATGGTTTTACTTCAATTGTAAAACTTAAGGGTTTGGTTGCAGAGTTATTTTCATTACACATCAATGTTAGCAACGTTGTGTTAGGCAAATAAAATTAAACCATGGACTATTAAACATCAAATAAATTAAAAGGATGGCACTAAAGTTATTTCAAAATTTTTTTGTCAATTTAGGCTGATGGTAAACACAAATGTGTGTGTATGCGTTGGTAATGTAATAAAATTGTTTGTTTTTTTTCAAGATAAATGATGAACTTTTACTTTAAGGTAACATTGAAAACAAAGGTTGGCTATATTCGGTTAATTTTAATTTTATCAATTTTTTACATAATTAAGTAGGTCTTAGCAGCTCGAATAAAAATTTTATATTGGCTGTACTGTACTGGAGCGAGTGAACTTTAATCGAAGATCAGACAATCAGAATATGACATCACCGGTATCGAATGGATACGATACTGATGGTATCGATACTTTGGTTCCGATACTGAGCCGGTATCGATACTTAATTGCGATACGGTATCGATACCAAATATCGGAAAGACAGTGGTATCGCAACATCCCTACATGTGACTCTTATTCAAACAAACGCACATTGCAACTCTTGCATGTGTACGTAGCAAAAAATAATAGGAAACAAATGTTTACAAAAGCCAGTTATATTTGATTTTGATTTCAACTGTTTTAATCCCCAGGAAACTGAAAAGTTGAGGGAAAGTCTCAACCATTATCAACGGATGTCAAAAGATACTTCTGAGGAACTCTCACAGTTCAACCCATCAAAATTAAATGAGAAGAGGCGAGAGTAAGTACTTCTTATTTTGACTTAAATATTCCCTAAACCTCATTCAAAATTACATACATTTTTATCGTGGGCATATTATACTCGTAATTTATGTTGGCAAGCCCCTCAATCGCATGTTTTATTGGGAGCGTAATAAATTATCTCAGTAACAATTTTTTTTTTGTCTCACCGACGCCTAAACATATTTGGGTTAAAAATAACCAAAAATTGTGTTGGTTCATAAAAAACAGTAATGATAAACTTGACTAAACGTGTGTATGTTCACATCTGCTTGTGTAATTGTAATTGTGTAATTGTTTTTTTTGTCAAAGGTACATTTAAAAATAGAAATAAATTTTACCATAAATGTAAAGACTAAAAACTTGGTTTTAGATAGTTGCTGAAAATATCTGGTATGAAGTAATAAATTCCAATTCATCTCAATCATGTAATCTATCCTCATTTAATTAATTCTCAATTTATTATTATTATTTTTTACTACCCTGTAACCTGTAATTGAGTTATACAAACACATGTATATTTTTCCATATCACACTTGAAAATTTGCTTTCAAATGTTTATCTGTTAAAAGATCAAATCATCTTACCTTATTTCAGACTACAGATGCTTGAGCATGATTATGCGCTTCTTCAAAAGAGATCAAAAGAATACTTGGAAGGAGTGGAGGAGATTGTGAAAGAAAATGTGGTTGAAATCACGGTAGGTAACATTACATTGGTGATTTGTACATTGATATTGATTGATACAGTTAACAAAGTGGGTTTAAGTTTAAACCAATTCTTGAATGGATCACTTACTTGCTGCAATTAATAGTTGCTGTTTTAGCAAAATAGTAAAAGATTGACATAATGTTTGTTTCTGTGAGCACAGGTGAGGTTATAGTTTTGCCACAATTATAGGTGATTGTCACAACATTGGCTCAATCATGTAATATGAAACTAGGTACAGTAGAACCCTGTTAATCTGACCTCGGCTAGTCCAACCAAGCCATTGCCTATCAATGAAAAAGTTCTCACAGTAATATTGTGACCATTTCCCATGGTTCGTGTGGACATCACACTGTCTCCTGCAAAAATGTTGTCACTGACACATCTTTATCTTTTGTGATAACAAAAACATCGTCATCCCGCAATTACAGAAAAATCTTGAACATAGAATCTGTAAACATTATCTTAGTCTCCCAGGATCGTGGCCAAATAACGAACATCTCCCGCAATGAAAAAAGTCATGGTCATATACTCATCTTCGGCGATCGCAGCTAAATCCTGAACATTCTGCTCCTCGAATAATCCGACCTTTTCACTATTACGGCCACGGTCTTGGTCCCTTAGGTGACACATTAGCACAGTTGTACTGCACATTAAGGACATTTAGAACCAATTTTTAGTTTTTACTTCTATAAATAATCTTGACCAAGTAGTATAATTCTTGACTGATGGTACTAACACATCTATAACTTATTGATATATTTTGTTTAATTAATAATACATTTATTTTTGCAGCCTTGGGTGGCAACATTCATGGAAAAAGTGAAGACAATTGAAGATGAATTTTGTTGACTGGTGTATTGATGTAATTTAACCACCTATTTTGTATAGTATATTTTAAGATCAAAGTTATTCTATTTGAAAAATAATTAATAAATATTTTATATTATTATGCTTTCAGCACACATTTTGTTTTATTTTACAGTGATCCTTATTTTCACTTATACCATTTTTTGTTTACAAAAAGTGAGCTCTTTAAAAGAATATTTGTAACCACTAGTTTTCTAACTGGTGAATTTAAAATGGTCAAATGTGTTTTTATGCCCTTTTTTAAAAAATAAGGTAGTGTTATTGAAGAGACGTAGGAATTGGCTAACTCTGGAACTGGCTAACCGTCTCAGTCAGGAATTGGCTAACTCCGGAACCCGCACACTCGATTTTGTCTCGCAGCGGAATTCGCTAACTCTGGAAGTCGCTAACCCGGCCGCGCCCACTGCACGGAGCGTTGCCAACCTTGTACGACGAAATAATCGTACTCTGCCGTATTTCAAAATGTCAGTGTCAATGAAGATACTACAGTGTTAGCAAAACGGGAGTGCCGATGGAGACCTGTGGGGGTGCGTGCGTGTGAAGGGACTTGACCTGATCTCCATCGGCACTTCCGTTTTGCTAGCACTGTAAATGTTATTGTTTGTTGTTATCAATTCCACTTTTAACAGCTAACTAGTCCAAAGTAATTGAAAGGCAATTAATAAATCATGAAAAAAGTGTTTTTTTTTATTTAACTGTACAACGGCTAATTAAATGTTTATGATTTCGATCTAAACATATAAATGCAATCAGTATTATAGGAAAATAGTAGAATATGAAAAATATTGAACATTCAGTTTAATTGGTTAAATTAAACTTAAACCTAAGCAATTATACCTCTACGAAATTAAGCTAAAATACACGCAAATTCTTAAACACGGAAAACTAATTTAATCGTAATGTAGTAATAAACCAAAACCATTAATTAATACAGTCATCAACCAACTTAACGTTCATAACTAATTCATAGATTTAAAATTAAAGGTTCGTCGTTGAATCGTCCAACTTACGTGTAAAAATATGACATAGCTTACACTACGTTTCATATCAAATTATAGAATAGCTGTAGGCCTAATAGTAATAGTTTAAAAAACAAACCAAAGCCTTGTAGCCCTACTAGTAAATAGTTTCCTAATTCTAAAATGTGTTCAATTTTTTAGTAATAATGTTACATATTTTAAAACAGTTTTTAGATTGTACACCTAAGCCCTACTAGTAAATAATAGGAGAAGATATAATATTCTTATATTAAAACTTGACAGGGTTATTTTAATTCACGGTTCTTAGAGGCGGTTCACGAGTACGGGGTTTCGTGGCCCGCGGTTATCGTTGTTCTCGGCCAATTTTAACCGACGGCCAAAAAATGGGTTCACGACATAGAGCGTTAGTCGAGATCAAGCTTAGCCGAGACCAACGCTAGCCGTCACTGAACAACAGGGATTTAACGGGAAACTTTCGTTATAAGGTTGGCAACAGCCACATATGCTACCTACCGGGCCGCTGCTCGCGGTCGCAAGTCCCAGGATGACGTGATAAATGATTTCAATTCTACAGAGTGTTTACTGATGTTGCATAAAAAGGTTAAAAACTTGCACTTAAATTCATGCTATACTAAAGTTTACTGGATTAATCATTGAATTACGAAATGAATAATACACTTTTACTGACATGTCATTGAATCTGGAAAATACAATTATGTTTTTAATACAATTTGTTAAAACTAATATTGGTAATGGCTGCAAACTAAATTTAGATCACCATTTATGTTCAAATATACAACATACTTATCAGGTTTGCAGTTTTAACCAAACATTCAAAATATTTCATAAAATGAATGTTCTTTTCAAAGATTTATTATTATCTTTTATGTATCAGTAATTTGTGAAAAAAATAAATTTGGATAGGAACAACTGGCTATTATAGGAGTCGGGATGCCCTTATAAGTAAAACATTATAATATAAAACGTAAATATTTTTGTTTGAAAGTGGTTGCAATATATGTGACGTAGATATTTTTCTTTTATTGAGAAACAAAATAAATATTGAACATTAGTTATAGGCTAAGAGATATTAGAATATTTCATTTCAGTACTTACTGTGTAGAGGAGTGGAATTTCTAAATCAGATGGCAGTAGACACCCTAGTTAGTATTTCGCGCTCTTTTCAATACATCATCATGTAGCTACAAATAAATAAAAGGTTAAAATACCTGACTGTTGCCTTGTGGTCCAAAGTATTGTCCTATACGGATCCAACGATGGCGCTCGCGCCGAATTGTACATAATCCACTAGGACAATACTTGGGACCACAAAGGCGACAATTAGGTATTTTAACCTTTTATTTTTTGTCAATCAGTTGGTCCGGAAACACCACAACAAAATATGAAATGTCGCTACACCTTAGGATTTACTCAGACATTAAGCATGAGAAATCTTAAGTGTATAAAAACAGGTTATAATTTTTTTATTGTTGTAATACAACGTTTTGTATATTTAACTATAGAATTTACCTTTTACCTCAGCAAATTGAAGCAATTTATTGTAAATCCCGATATGACAAATATTAAGACATTATCAGATGAAAAGGTCTTTCTTGAACAAATGTTAAATCATAAACATAATAATATAAACATATACCTAATTTAAAACATACAAAATAAAATTTGGACACAAAATGACCTATGTTTTATATGAATTTTATGGAGGAACAAAAATTGTACTAATTTTATACAATAACAATTCTTAGACAAACCTAACAGTGTTTGATGGAACCATTTTTATTTTGATATTATTCAGCTGAAATAAAAGGATTCAAAAATGCTAAAATAAACATAAAACAATTACGCAATTAGATTCGATTGCAATTTAAATTTATTTGAATATGTTAAGCTATTAGTTATATTTTTACTTAGTAATAATTAATTAAAATGTCTCAACAGTTACTTTTTACGATGTTTTGCATGTTTTCGGCAATCAGTAGTAAAAAATTAAAAAAATAAATATCATGTTGAGGGTAATGAAATTGTTTCGGAATTTAATGGCGAATCCGAATATAACATTCTTTTTGCTAACAAAAAAACAATAAACGAGCAAATGAGATAATCCCGACATGATGTCACCTTAACCCTGCCCCCTAGCAGGGTTAAGTTGAAGTCCAAAACCATTGTTATTTACGCCCGAGATTATCCAGTTTGCGCTAGACCATGACTCGTGAACCCGACATTTGGCCCGGGGTTTTCTCTAATTGAACCCGTGAAGCCGACTTTTTGCGCTCGGGTTTATCCCTGTCATAATTGGGTGAAGTTTATCTGTCCGCGCCCGAGCGCGGGTAACCTCGTACTCGTGAAGCCGATTTCTAAGCCGTGGCGCAAAAAACTGGCTATAACTGGATTTTGCGCTGGAACTAGGGATAACCCGTGACTCGTGAACCGCCTCTTAATCAACGACTTGACGGATTTTCCTGATTTTAGTTTTGGGTTTCCTTTATATTGCTTTTACAATCGAAATAAACTATACCAAGCCATTGCTCGGTTCCCCGTTCCCCAGTACTGAGCTACTAAAATCTAGACAGTAAGTAGCTTTGTTGTTGGATAAGATCAGGTAATTTTAGCTATGGTCATCATTCATAAAAATGGTAACAAACAAGAACGCCTTGGTTCATTTAGAACCATAAAAACTCCAGACTTTTAAAAAGTATGCCTACTGAAAAACGTAAAATTAATATTAATTAAACAAAATTAAGAGGATGACCCGGGTTCTATACTAATAGCCTACGATAAGAGAAATTTACAAATTGTGTTTATGCATAGACTAATTTTAATGCAATCCATGAATACATTAACACTTTATAATGTAGGCCTATCTATTCTATACATAATTCAGTTTTAAAAATCTTTGTACGACTAAATCTAGAGTTCTACTGGACCGATTTTAATAATTAATGGGTCATTGGAAAGCTTAATTCATGTAGATTTGCAAATAATTATGAAAGTTTGTTTTTGTTATGATTTATGGTGAAAAATAAAAAAACATGTTTTCCATGAGAAATACATTAAAAACGGTGTTTTTCACACTTTTTATTTGGGTGAGACTTTCGGCTGCCTTTTTTGAGTGTTTCCAAGAAGTGTATGGTATCAATTTGTTGGAAATTTTATCCTCTTTCAGATTATTACCTTCCACTTTAGTCGATTTCCTCACCATTTAAAAGTTATTTGCAAAAAAGCTAAGCAACCTCTGAATTTATAGTAATGAGAAAACTAGGGATATTTTTGTTAAATTTTGTACAACTAAATCTAGACTTCTACTGGACCGATTTTGTTAATTAATGGGTCATTGGAAAGCCCAACTAATGTAGATTTGCAAATAATTATGAAAGTGTGATTTTGTTAAATATTTGTGGTTAAAAAGTAAAAATAACAAAAAATACATTAAAAAAGGGTTTTTCAGGTTTCTGTTTTCGAGTTTCTATTTGTAGCCAGCTTTTGGCTGCCTTTATTAATAATTTTCAAGAAATGCATAGTAGTTATTTGTAGTAAATTTATTCTCTTTTAGAATATCACATTCACTTTGGTCGTTTTCCTCTCCATTTAAAAGTTATTGGCAATAATCTAAGTGATCTCCAAATTTATAGTGGTGAGAAAATACTGAATTACATATATTTTTGTTAAACTTTGTACAACTAAATCTAAACTTTTACCGGACCGATTTTGTTACTTAATGGGTCGTTAGAAAGCCTAACTCATGTAGATTTGCAAATTATTATGAAAGTTTGATTTTATTACATATTTGAGGTAAAATAGTAAAAATAAACAATATTACATTTAAAACTCATTTTTTTCCAAGATTATATATCCAAGTTTATATTTGTAGCCAACTTTAGGCTGCCTTTATTGAGTATTTTCCAGAATTACATAATATTAATTGTAGTAAATTTTATTCTCTATCAGAATATCACCTTCCACTTTGGTCGATTTCCTCACCACTTCAAAGTTATTTGCAAAAACGTTAAGCAACCTCCAAATTTATAATGGTGAGAAAATACTGAACTAAAGATTTTGTTGTTAAACTTTGTACAACTAAATCCACAGTTCTAC